CCAATATCTGTTCCGACAAAACTGGCACTCTCACACAGGGGAAAATGATCGCTCGATGTGCTTGGATTCCAAATGCGGGGACTATGACAGTGCGGGAAACGACTAATCCATATGACCCAACAAGCGGCCTGGTTCAACTCGATGGGATGGACTGGAACTCGAGTCAGCCAATCGAGCAGCATCCTGCGCTACATGTCTTCTTCTCGGCAATAGCTCTCTGCAATTTATCAGCCGTGCATCAAGCCAACAATATATGGACTGCTATCGGCGAGCCTACCGAAATTGCGTTGCAAATTTTGGCTATGCGTTTTGAATTTGGAAAGAATTCGATCCTTGAAAAGCGCAAACTCGACCTTCACACGGAATACCCATTTGACTCCGCTATCAAGAAAATGACGGTGATTTACACCAATTCCACCAATAAGATTAACGAGGTCTACACCAAGGGTGCACCCGAAGCAGTCCTTCCTCATGTCTCAGCCAGCGAGGCCGAGATAAGTATCATCAAAGAAACCGCCGATCGAATGGCAGGCGAAGGCCTCCGAGTTTTATGCGTTGCCCACAAAACCGTTCCCATGGATGACTCCTCTAAAATCGCACCGCGGGACTCAGCAGAGTCAAACTTGCAGTTCGCGGGCCTTGTCGGACTTTATGATCCACCGCGAATGGAAACAGCTGCAGCAGTGCGCAAATGTCAAATGGCAGGCATTACAGTGCACATGCTGACAGGCGACCATATCAAAACCGCCACCGCTATAGCGTCGGAAGTAGGAATCCTCGATCGTCTGGATGCTTCTGTGAAATGCAGAAAATTGGTCATGTCCGCCGATGAGTTCGATAAACTTTCCGATTCCGACATCGACAGCATTGAGGAGCTACCTCTGGTAATCGCACGATGCAGTCCCACAACAAAGGTCCGCATGGTCGAGGCAATGCATCGGCGGCGGGCGTTTTGTGTTATGACTGGTGACGGCGTCAATGATTCTCCTGCTCTGAAAAGGGCAGATGTTGGTATTGCGATGGGCAAGAATGGCAGCGATGTCGCGAAGGAAGCGGCGGATATGGTTCTGACCGATGATAATTTTGCGTCGATCGTCAAAGCCGTTGAGGAGGGAAGACGATTGTTTGATAACATTCAAAAGGCAAGCCATATTTTTGTTGTCTCGAATATACCTCTACTAACTAGCAACGCAGTTTCTCATGCACCTTCTCATCTCAAACATCGCCCAGGTCATTCTCCTTCTGATTGCCCTAGCATTCAAAGACGCAGATGGCAGCTCCGTCTTCCCGCTCTCGCCTCTAGAAATCCTATGGGCCAACCTGGTCACATCCTCCTTCCTAGCCGTGGGCCTCGGCCTAGAAGAAGCCCAACCAGACATCATGTACAGACCACCGCACAACCTCCGCGTAGGTGTCTTTACCCGGGAGTTGATAGTAGACAAGATGATCTATGGCACATTCATGGGCTCGCTCTGCCTCATCTCATTCATCTGTGTCATCTATGCCGCCGGCGTCGGGGCCTCCGATCTAGGCGAGGGATGTAACCAGGAATACAACCCGACTTGCGATACAGTCTTCCGTGCCCGAGCTACTACGTACGCAACGTTGACATTTCTGTTACTCATCACGGCCTGGGAAGTGAAACACTTCTCCCGATCCCTCTTCAACATGGATCCCATTCGCTATCCACAAGCCCTATCTGTGTTCCCGACAGTCTGGCGCAACCGCTTCCTCTTCTGCGCTGTCATGGCTGGATTCATCATTGCGTTCCCTGTTGTTTATCTGCCCGTGATAAACGAACTTGTGTTTAAGCACCACGCTATTACATGGGAATGGGGAATTGTCGTCGGCTGCACGGCTGTGTATCTGCTTGGTGTTGAGAGCTGGAAGGCTGTAAAACGGGCGCTGCGGATCGGGAGTGGGAAGCATGGTATTTTGACCCTGGAGGATGCGGAGTTCCGGGCTGGGTTGGCTACGTCGACACCTTTGTCGATGAGCGCTAATGCCAGTGTCGAGATGAAATGATGATATTGTTGTTTATTGGGTCACCTCGATTCAACCGCGGGGTAGGTTGTGCCTGCATGGCTGGCACCAGTGTTCAACACGCTGGGGTTGATCTTTATTTGTTATGTTTTCTATGCTCCAGAATGACAGTGTGATTCAAACCAATAATATGTGCCGTCAATTTCTAAAAACGGACATGAGCAATCAATAGAAAAGTTAAGGATGCTAGAAAATTTAGAATGCAAGATCTTAATGGACTTAGGATCAAGTGAAGACAGAAGCATATATTGTTCCTGACTTTACAGAGATTAGGTCTTCCTACAAACCGTAAATGTCGTAATTACCCTAATTGTCTAGAGATGCATGGAGCTACTAACTGAGACTTGCGAGATCGGCACGCCGAATTGAGCGTCATTGTTTTCATAATGACCGGATATATCATGTAGTATAGACAAGAGCCACAGTTTTACTAAGATCCGTTATCCACTCCTTTAAGATGCATAATACGTCCTCCAATCTGCCACTATGCAAAGAATCATGTATCATATTCAGTACCAAAATTGTCTATGCCGTTTCTGACAAGTCCCAAGGTGCAGCGAACGTAGCCCAACCAATGTGGATTTGTTTTTCTTCAACAGGTTTGTCGTATTTCTGCATCCGGGAAAATATCCACGTAGTTCATCCATAAGGAGCTGGCATATCCGCTGGAAGAAACAGAGAGTATGTATCCTATCCAATTACAGCCACAGATGGTGCAATATCTCGATGCTGGTCGTACCGCCGTTACAGGACTATTGACGTGGTCCTCATCAACACTGCGGTATTGGCTATCGACTTGTAGGGACGATGATGGGCACGTGGTAGTCACGCTGTAGGTTAGCGTTGCACTAGGAGAAGTATTTTAGGAATTATTCCACCGTGGTCGGTGATATTGTCTATTTCGAAGAGACGAAAAAACAAATATAGAACGGAAAGTTAATTCAGTACCAGCATTGCGAAGGTTTCTGACTCGTACGTTATTTCTCGGGATTCGGCTTCGCCGAAACAGTTTGAAGGGAAAACTGGTTCATGCAAGCGGGGTACATGTGTGCTGGCTGGGTGGTCAAGCGGCGCCTCACCGCTAGAAGTTGCAAGTGGAAAAGCACCCTTTCTGGCCTGAAAGCGGTCATTTCCGGCATCAATCTCACGGGTCCTTTTATTCGATGTGTAAAGCGACGACTGGTGAAATTCAAGGGCTAATTTTGCCTCTTTTGCTTTGTCGCCTGCATACGCTGTCACATCCTCTCCGTTTCTCGGCCCAGAGAACCTGAAAACAAGATCTTTGATGTTCGTTGCGCTGGTGACCCTTTGAGGCTGCTGACGGCTCGGGAACATGTGGCTCTTTGTGAGCACATAAGCGGGGGAACCTGTAGCAGCCAAGATTTGATTGGCTGGGTCTTGAGTGTGTCTTACACTGTGCAGAGTACTCAGCAGTGATGTCAAGTTGTTATGATGTACTCGGAACCTATACTTTACGCTAGATGTCTCACTTATACCTGAGTAAGACATGACTAGCAGGCGTCTGTCGGAGTATTCCGTACGTGTTCTTCTTGTACTGTTACATGCACTAGTCTACTTCAAGGAAACATACCAGAGAATGTAGCTATGAGAATACGAGGGATGGTGTTGAAGAAAAGCTTTAAATACCTTCGTTCGCTCCTTCAATTGATGTTCTTATTTCTTCTCTCATCCGCAGCTCATCTCCCTTCATACTACATAAATCCCCATTCCAAGCTTCTCCACTTCTACCTCCCAAAATCCACGAACCGCAAACATGCATATCTCTTCGCTTGTTCTGACCACCCTCGTCTCGGCGGCCATGGCCGCCCCTGCTACCACCGTGTCAATGATGGCCGCAGGTCCTGAGTGGACTATCGAGAACATGAAGCGTGTCTGCAACGCCAAGGACACCTCGTGCACCTGGACCTTTGATATCGAAGTCGGTACCGCCGCCGCTGCTGCCACCGCTTGCACCTACGTCGTGAAGGGCGCCGACGCCTCCCAGGCCAACGGAGGGCCTTCTGATTGCGGCAGTTATACCATCACGTCGGGCTGGAGCGGCCAGTTTGGTCCCGGCAATGGCTTCACTACCTTTTCCGTTGTCAACAACGTGAACCGTCACATTATCTGGCCCGCTTACACCGACAAGCAGGTTCAGGCTGGGAAAGTCGTCAAGCCTAACCAGAGCTACGCTCCCGCTGCTCTCCCCTGATTGTGAGAACAACATGAGAAGGAGCGGAGGAAGGGAGGCTGAGATACAGGCTGATTTTATGATGACAATAATATCTTTTTTGTACTTAAATTCTGCTGTGGGTGAATGGAATGGTGGACATAATGTGAGCTTGCATGTGAATAACATGTTCTTCCCTGGTCGAGTAGTTTGCTAGTTGAATAAAGCGGAAGTAGTTCTGACATCCATGGCAACTCTCTACTCTTTGATAGAACGTTAAAATCTTTGTAGCCCGCATCCTGGTGAATAACTGGTACCGTGTAGTCTGGGGCAGCACGTTCTCTCCATATGGACGTTGTGCAAGTTCACGACTTTCAGGAAGGGGGAAATGGAGAAACTAAGCTGAGTTTAATTGAGATAAGAAATCCGTGTGAAGATCCAAGCGGTTATTTTGTCCATTGCAGGCAACACACTGACTACTGGGATGTTTAGTTGTTGGGGATCAAATGTATAAATAGAGACGGGTAAAAGGGGCTATTCAAGCGATTGGTTTCTGGCGACCCGGCTGCGCCACCTCGGAAGCTGTGGGCAATAATACGAGAACCTGGACCCCTATGACCGCCAGGCTGCCTCCCCAATAAACGTACACAGCCACACGACCTCTGTAGCCAGGCGGACAAATTACTGGAATAATATGCCTGGTACAGATTATGACTTGGCATATCTCACGACATCAAGGCACACCTATTCCTATGGCCTCTCTTTCAGGTTGGTTGTTTGCAGATTCATGCTAGAGACAACAGCTGATAACCCTGTAAAAGGTTCGAAGCCAAGGACAGATGCCCATTTTCGTTTCCTCGACTTACCATATGAGCTTCGTAGCAAGATCATCAAGTACGCCATCCGCTCTACATACTCTACACACGAGCTCGAGGCATGGCAAAAACTTCGATACAATGGATATCGCACGGGACGGGAGATAGAGCCAAAGGACTTCACTATCAGTTCTACTGGTCTCAAATGCCATTCTATGACATCGTTCAGTTTTGCTTGTGTGAATAAGCAACTTCGGCATGAGGCACTCAACATCATCTATCGGAATGCGACTGTTTGCGTTCATGTACACATCCCCAGATACGGACCATTCAGCACAATTCCGAAAGACATATCCAAAACCTATCGCATTCTTTGCGGGTATTCGATGCTATTGGAACTGGCACGCGATATCACTTTTATCGTTGACCCACAGCCTGTACGGAGCCAGACATTGGAGCACAAACTTTGCTCTGCCTTGGACGCAATATTTGGGTACAACAGAAATATTCTTTGGGGTCTGTTCTTTCTCCTATGCATCATACTTCCACTTGCCTATGTCGCTCAACTGGCTGGACGGCTTTCCGGTATTATGCCTTTTCAAGGAAAACGACATAGTGATCTTCAAGCTCTTATTGATCTTCTGGTGCAGGCGCCCGGGAGTGATGCACACTTGAAGCTCATTATATATCTGGAAGATTTGCATCTGCAAGATCTCGCAATTGTCCTCCGTTTATTGAACTTGCGATGGGGGCCCACCACGTTGGAGGAGGTTTGGTTTGCCTGGCACTATTCTTATGAAATGGTCCGACAGTATACTAAAGAAGAGTATGACAAACACTACAAGAATTTAGTGATGACTGCTGCGGAGCAAGCTGGATGCCTGGAGATTCTCGGTATTCCTGCGGAATTTGACGTTGAAGAGACACACCGGGAGGATGTTCGTGGCACTCAGCACGTCGGGAGGAGCCGAAGAACCTGGATAGAGAATAACAATGTTGAGGTAGTGATAGAGTGACACTAGAATAGGACTATTTTGACCCCAAAATCTCTCCGAGACTTATACTAATTCTCCGACGCTTATAATTATCCCCGTCCGTCTTTCCACCTCGACCAACGACGCGGGCCCGTGCTAGGGCACCCCCTCACCAAGAGCCGAACAAAGCGCCGGATTTATCTATTTGAATCGGTGATCTGCTTAATCCATCCGAAATAGGCACTTAGTTGTCGGGGATTCCCGCTATTAACCTACTTTTGGCAAGCTACAAGCTTTCCCGACCGAAGGTCGTTGCAACGTACTCCACCAAACAAGCATCCGGCAGCCACGTGCATGGCCTCTGATGGGTCCAGCATCTATAGACCCCTGCATCGTGTATTGTATAAGAGAACCCTTCAATTATTTAATTAAGGCTACATTCTTAATTTTCCCTTCTTTCAATCTTCACTCCCTGGTTGCTATTTCGGATCGCCCATCATGCGGTTCCCGACGTGGTCAACAACTGCAATTCTTGCTCTGTCCTACACTGCACAGGCGCGTCGGTACCATGTCACTACTGGTCAATCCGATGAGGATGTTGCTGCAGCTCTTAGAGCCCTCGGTCGTTCAAATCTGCGGCAACCTGGGTCGCTGCCGTTCCCTGACCTGGAGCCCGGGACAGACACAATGCCAGACATCGAGCACATTGTCTTCTTGCAACTTGAAAATCATTCCTTCGACAATATGCTTGGTATGCTTGGGCGCGGTGATGGCCTCAGTGTGGGATCGAATGGAGAAGTTCTGAACACCAATCCTTATCCCAATGGATCCCTTCAGCATGCTTTCCCCATGCCCAACACCTGTCAGCTGCCAGGCCGACCGAGCCAGGAGTGGCTGGCAAGCCACAATGCTTATGATAATGGTACAAACGCCGGCTTCGTCCGCACGCGCATTAGCTCTACCATCGATGAGATGGTGGGCGGTGTTGCTATGGGCTACTATACCTCGGACCACCTGCCATTCACATACAGTTTGGCCGAGCACTTCCCTATTGGAGATCGATTCTTTTGCTCCCTCTTGGCACAGACATGGCCAAATCGACGTTTCCTTATTGCTGGCACCCCGCGTGGGATCGTTGATGACAACGTGAATTTGACTGCCGGGTACGCTCCTGCCGGTACGATCTTCAACGAGCTGGACAAACACGGCATCTCATGGAACAATTACGCCCCGGACTGCTGCTGGAGAGATATCAGCGGCAACACACCCGATTTCTTTGGCAAAAACAACTACGACACTGAAACCAAGCACCACAAGGATCTGCCCCAATTTATGGTTGATGCGTTGGAAGGAAACCTGCCGGCGTTCAGCTTCATCGATCCCAACTACGCCAACCAGTCCCAAGAAAATCCCCAAAATGTTGTTAACGGAGAGGCACTTCTGGCTGACGTGGTCAATTCTATCGGCCAGTCCCCTCTTTGGTCCAAGACCATGTTCATCCTGAACTACGATGAGCACGGTGGGTACTATGACCATGTGCCTCCACCCCCGGCCCTGATTCCCGACGAGGTTCCTCCACATGTCCAGCCAGGGGAGTATCTATATGAAGGCTATGGCCGTCTGGGCTTCCGTGTGCCCGCCATAGTGGTCTCGCCATACGCAAAGGCTGGCAAATATGTGAGCAGTGTTGTCTACGATCAGACATCCGTGCTTGCCACACTCCAGAGGAAGTGGAACCTCCCGGCTTTCACCTATCGGGATGCCAATGCCAACGATATGCTTGATTTTCTGGACCTCGATGCCCTAAAGCGCAAGGAGCCAACTTTCCCAAAGATGCCCGCTCTTGCTGCCCCTGGAAACACTACCGAGGCGCTCGCCTGTTCTACTACTGGAGCCGGTGTTATCCCCCCGCCTGGTTCTGTTTCCAGAAACTGATCGGTCTCTACCGGTCTCGCATTAAATTTCCAGAAAAAGTGACTTGCCTTGTTGATTTTCATTCTATGCGCCTTTGCTACTTTGAGAAACTGAACATGTTTGCTCATGATGTTCTTGTGTTAGATATAGTCATCAGGCTGTTTCAAAATATCTTGTCTTGCAAAACAAAATTTGATTAGAATTGAAATTCAGTTTTGCATATATTTAGCTACTAAATAATGCGCCCACATAACTATCCATACATGACCAGGGCGGACGAGGACAGGTGACGAATCCGATGGCCGGACATCACTAACCAAGACCAACTTTTGCTTCGTAACATATGGTCCAAATGTTCGCGCCAATTGTTATGAGATAGGTTATTCACGCGAATTTGCCCTTAACACCGCAAAATCCGCCTATATCGGGCAAGATCATAGCTTTCGGCTTTTTGCTGCGGAGACTATGAGCCTTACTCGGACTAGCTCATCTTGCTTTGAGCTTGTCGTCTGCAGGGACAGGCCGAGGCAAAACCATACGCGGTAATGAAGGTTTTGTCGGGATGCCATGGTTCATGATCGAGATACGCTTAGAAATGTCAGTATGGTGAATTAATAATTAATGGCCGGAGCTAGAGTGCTTCGGCGTGAACGAAGACCTGACAAGACGGCGCTTGATAATCAGCATAACCGAGGAATTGCCAATGGCAATGGTCATAAAGCCACCGCCTGTAACAGATTATGGAAAAATGGAAATCCGGGACAAAAGAAGGTACGTAGAAGCTGAATTCAAGCAGCCGCCCCTAGCACGGAGTACTAGCGCTAATGAAAACTCATTCTGAGATCGGACCCGAGTACATCAAAACTCACGGAGTCTCCTGCACATTGTAGACCAGCTTCTCTCCGCTAACTTTGTCCGCTTTGAGCAATTCCAATCCCTCCAGGACGCCCTTGAGTCCATCCTTTCCAACCTTGGGAGGGTGAACTTTGACTTTGCCTTCGGCCAACAGCTGCTCGGCAACAGGCAAGAAGCTCTCCATGAAAACCTTATCATCCGGTTTGGCCGGGATTTGCATACTGCCATATTCGAAAGCCTCGCCGATGCTAGTGTATGCCAGGGTAAAACGATCGTTGACGTTTTGCCGGGGAATATTCACGTTCAAGAGCGCGGTGTACTCGCCACCCTCAGTGGACAGAGCATTGTCGCAGAACTTGGCACTTGCCTCGAGAGAGATGCAATCGAAGACAAGCTTGAGGTTGTTGTTGGTGCTTTTCCGGATCTCGTCAGCGGATTTGGGATCTTTGTAATCAAAGACCGCATCCGCGCCGAGCCGGCGGACTAGATCGAAGTTGTGCTGGGAGCAAGTCGTAAGAACCTTGTAGCCGGATAGCTTAGCGAATTGAATCGCCAGGGTACCAGTAGCAGTAGATCCGCCATAGATGAGAATAGGAGTCTGATCTTTGATTGGATCCGTGGGCAGTGCCAATTTCAGGCTTTGATAGAGGGCCTGGCCGACAGTGCTAATACCAACACCGAGCGTGGCGGCCTCCTGGAAGCTTAGGTTGGCGGGAACTCTGATTGCGGTATCACCCTTGACGACGATGTATTCGGCGAAAGAACCGTCTTCGGGCTGCACCGAGTTGGCACCGTGCGCGAATCCGGCCACGCGGTCGCCCTTGCTGAATTTCTTGTGGACATCTTTCCCGACGGCTTCCACAACACCAGCGTAGTCACAGCCGACCAGGACACCAGGAGGAGCTAGGAAAGCGACATGCTTCCAGTCCGTCGGGTTCAAGCCCACGCTCACGTTTTTGAGGAGGAGATAGTCGTCCCGGAGAGTAGGGATGGCCCTGTCAGTGACAAGATCCGCCTTCTTGGGCTCAGTAACGACAATGGCTTTTTGGGTAGGCATTTTCAGTAATTTCGACAGGACTTGTGAGTGTGAATAGTAGTTTTCGACGAAGGATGGGGCTACGGATTTAAATGCCCCTCAGTGCCTGTCGATGACAAATGCGATCTACAAATGATGACGCGAGTGACAAACCTACGCAACGATTTCTTATTTAACTACGTACGTAGCACGTAGTTATCAATAGACTATTAAAGATGTGGATCATTGCTAAGCTAACTCCAATTTTTGCTCGATCGGTGATAAGCAAATCTTGCTTTTGCTAAGCAAACCCGTTTTGTTGAATCCGTCCGGACGATACTTGTGGAATACAGGATCTAGTTTTCTCAGCCCCTCAAAGAATTACATTCCTGGCGGGTCGTCTCTTGTCAGTGGCGCAAGGCATGCGAGGTTTCCGTCTCACAGGGGACATGTGCTGTGTGTGGCCTAAACACATTTTCCTAACGCGGCAAGAAGCTCGCTATAGTGGAGTGGAGGGGACCCGGTTAGTTTAGCAAACCTCATAGTATATTTCCTTGCTCTTAGTAAGGAAAAAGCGCATGGCCTGCCGCAATTATTGCCTTAGTGTTTGTCTCTTAAAATTCCGAATACCAGCATTGCCAATTGCTTTATTCGAGGGGCACTGCCCGGTTATTCAATGACGGTGGCCTCCGGGAAAAGAGAGCAACAATGGAGTTCGCAGTTTGATTGTAAGAGATATGCATCTGAAACATTATTTACTTATGAAGCATATATATGAAGTGCATGAGAAGTACAAAGAAAGTTGACGGTGGCTCCAGAGCCTCCACCGCCATTAGAGCCTGATGGCCCGAAGGGGTGTGTGGAAACTTTCACCAAGAGGATTAGTTGCGGGTGTTACTGGAAAATAGCTTATTTCACCAGCGAGTAAGCGGCCACAACTCCGGGAAATACTAACGTAACCCATAGCCCTAAAAGATTAAGCCAGTAGTTAACCTGGGTTTGTCGCATGGTGGATGGTACGTTTTGATATCCAGAACAAAAAAAGGTATGCAACTAGACAGAAGAAGAGAAATGCGGTGTTTAGGTTGTTTAAAGATCAAATACTTGGCTAGTTTCCTTTTGTCCGAAGGCGCGCAGGTGGACAGGGGGACCAGTCTTGCGGGCGCCAGATCTGACAAACAGGCTACAGGTATTTTTCAGGCATTCTTAGAATATCAATGGGATGTCAACGAGGGGACATTCTTTGCTCAGAGCATCCGTAAGTGAGCCCCGGAGTATATACCTTCCATCATACGTCATATGCCCAGACTATGTATTCTGGTGTATGACCGCTCGTGAGTGGGGGGACCCCGCGCCCCTCGCGAACCAAAAGTCGGTCTGGGGGCCGATGTCTTTTGCGGTGAGCGACTGACAGACCAACTTTGTCCAGATCATTGCCTCTGTCAGTCAAGGTACAATCAATTTCATCCAATTGTTTACAGCCTAACAAAACCAAAAATTGTCCGAAGCGACGGGTGCTGCCGCGCACTCCCAAACACTTTGACTCGGAGAACGGTCCCTGACGCATTCTTTCACGATCACCCCGCCCCCAATCCGACAAAGGAATCAGCACAGTCACGATGCGAATACTTTGTCTGCACGGAAAGGGCACTAGTGGTACCATTTTTAAGTCCCAAACGTGTGAGTTCCATCTGTAATTCCATTGCCGCCACGTCTAATCCTGATGTCCCGCAGCCTCCTTCCGTGCCCATCTTTCCGATGAAGACATAGAGTTTGACTGGGTGGACGGACCATATCCGACCGGCCCAGCCCCAGGCGTTGATCTCTTCTATGGTCCTCCGTACTTTTCATTCTGCGATGGAAATTCATTAGAAGCCATCCGCGCGAGCTGCACCTGGCTATCTGAGTATATTGCCAAGAATGGCCCGTATGACGCAGCACTCATGTTCTCTCAAGGCTGCTGGATTGGATCGAGTGCCATACTCTTGCACCAGGAAGAGACACCGGATCTCCCGCCGCCCTTCAAGGCCGCCATCTTTATCTGCGGCGGTCCTACTTTGCCTGTTCTCGAAGACCTGGGATTTCATGTCTCTGCCAAAGTACTTGAGCGGGACGATGCTTCGCGGCGTGCTCTAGATTCACAGGCCGACTCTTCGGCCATTCAGAAGCACGGCTTGGGCCGCTGGACCGGCCTGAGTTCACACAGTCCCGATGCCTCTGTGGAGGAACTGCAGAACGAGATCACCTGCCCGTTCCGCATTTCTATTCCAACAGTGCATGTTTACGGATCCAAAGACCCGCGCTATGCCTCTGGCGTACAGCTTTCTGGTATATGCGACCCAGAGAAGCGTCGAGACTTTGATCATGGCGGCGGTCATGAGATTCCCAGGACAGATTTTGTGAGTCGAACTATTGCAGAGTCGATTCGTTGGGCAATTGCACAGGGAAGTGCTGAGAAGTAAAGGTGCTTTATATGATCATTTTGGCGTCGTTTTTTAGTGATGATCAGATAGAAGTATATGAAATGAGATGGTCATATATACAATCGAATTTGCCACGGTATTGAAACGCAAGTGTTGTGGCGCCTACAGAGACCGTTCTATGAGACCGGAAATATAGGCGCAAATGAAACTGTTGGTTCAGGAAGTCGACATTGGCGCAGTGGAGATCAAATTTGCTGGTTGCTTGGGTATCCAACGGATTTCGCTTGGAAAGTAGCAGGCGCATCAGGGAAAGGAACAAGCAACCAAACATAACCAACCCGGGGCTGGTACAAGACTCAGCGCACCGAGCTTTTTCACTCTTGGACATGCCAGGTAGCGAGTGCTCCTAGCCCCCCGTTTGGATGCTGAACATATGAATCCACTACTAGTTACCATCATCATCCTGGAACTCAACCCACGTCTTCATTTTCGTCCGCACATGCTCGCCGTAGACGACGAAGCCCTCCTCGGCATCCACAGACCGCACCAAACAGTTTTCGCCAGGCTCGAAAAAGAATGGAACGCTGATTCGTCCCAACGCCTGGGTCTCACCGTTCTGTTGGTTGCTAACAACCGCAGCTGACGAGCTTGGCTCGGGAGCACGGACGCGATGCATAGTAGCGACGAATCGGCCTCCAGAAACCTTCGCCATCAGATCACCGATGTTGACTACGAGAGACTCCGGGATATACGGCGCAGCAACCCAATCGCCGGACGAGTTGCGAACTTCCAGGCCGCCGGTGGAGTCCTGGTGCAGCAGAGTCAAGATCCCGCTGTCCGTGTGCTGAGTGCAACTGAGTTTCACTTGATTCTGTGTAGTGGGCCCTGAACCCGACGCGACGGACGTCACAGCAGGATAGTGGAGCAGCCTCAGCGTGCTCAGTGAATCCACCAGGTACGGAGCGAAGAAGTCCGCCGGTTTCCCCAAAGACATGGCCAGCAGAGACAGAAGTTTAGATGCGAGACTCTGCATCTCGACGTACAGCTTCTCCAGCTTTTCCCGAGAAGTGAATGCCTTCTCATCTGGCCAGACGTTTGGCTCGGCCAGGTTGAACTTGGACGACGGATCGACAGACTTCGCTTGGATGAGCTTTGCGGGCCCCATTTCGAAACCCTCCTTGAGATTGTCGCTGGCCAATTCTGGCTGCGTGGGGAAGTACCTTCCACATTCATGTCAGTCCTAATATCGCCTCGGAAGATGGAGTCCAGGGTATTAACCCTCGGTATGTGTTTTGGTGATCACGTCGAAACGAGCGCTTGGCGAGCTTCATCTTCTCCTCCGTTGGCAGCGCAAAGAAGTCGCGTGACATCTGGAATACCTCCGCATGCTTGAAGCTCAAAGGCACGTTCGTCAGATAAGCGAACCCCGTCGTGGCGAATACATCATATAGTCGCTGACTGAGGGCCGACAGTTCCGCATCAGTAGCACCCGCGGGTGAGCCTAGAGGGCCAACGTCAACGACTGGCAGAGATGAGAAGGTGGTTGTCATTATAATAGATCAAAGCATAAACAAAACTTAGACCAGAATTGCACAAAACCGAGCTTCGTGCAGGCAATGGGGGCTTTTATATTTCGAGTGACTAACAACGCTCCACTTGATCGATCCACTTCCCCGCTAGGGTTGGTAACCCGTCGCGTGCTCAGGGTTGTACCACACAAAACTGGCAAGTCCTAATTTTAACACTAGCAGCCGTGTCTTCACCGTCGATCTCGGTGCTCAAAGGCCAATGCGCATGCATAAGCTGAGAGATCGCACGTATCTGGAAGACCGACAATTAGGCTTCGATATCACCCTCACGCGATATTCGGCATTCAACCGACGCAAAATGCCGCGGGCCGAATTGCAGATGCCATTTTAAGTACACCGAGCGGAGTGGCCCGACAACAGCCTGAACTTTTAACCCACTGCAGGTGTCGTCAATGGCTTGCCGACCCGCTAGTGGGGCTACGTCTCAGTTTCTGCCATGATATTTCAAAGGCTAGGTGGGTTTGTGTTTCATGCGGAAGTCATTGGCTAGATTGGCGGCTGGCTTGCGTGGGGGTGATACTAACGCTATGCACATCATAATCTCCGTGTGGTGGTCGAATCTAAAATAATCTTATTGAATATCTAAGGCGTCTATTATTATATCTGTGCGAAGAATGGGAAACACCGAAAGTAAGGCCACTACTGGCTACCATGAAAAGGCTTCCTCGAACAAATCAACAGTTTTCTCTCCCTGGACGCCCCGAACAGCTGCGCGCACACTATCCCCGAGGCCACCAGGGCCGCACACACTAACAGCCATCGCACCAACTTGCTCTGCCTTCTTATTCTCCAGCAGTGACTGGAAACAGGGTTTGCCGTGATCAATACTGACTGGAACGGTAGGCGGTGCGCATTGTGTCCACGGTCTCTCTGGGCGAAGAATGTACTCCTCGAAACTATCCTTGTGTGCTGTTACATGGACTTCGATCGAGAGCATCAAGGTTGGGAACTGGAAGTATGTGCGTCCATTTGGGTCGATCTGCCTGTGTAAGGAGGGGTGCTCAAGGATGTCAGTCATCCATGTTTGGATCCAGGAAAGATGATCTATTGATTATTTTATTAGCAGGGAGTACCAAGCGAAGCATTGGAGAGCTCAAAGTACCTAAACTGCGAATCATCCAGACCAAGTCGACTTTCCGGGTGGCCATGCGGTTCGAGGAGGAATTGATGATGGCCTCATGCAAATATGACATCGAGTGAGTTATACCGATACCGCCGGCCACCAGAAGCAAAGTACCGTACGAAGCGAGTGAATGATTGCCGCCTGGAGTGTAGGATATAAAGTCAGTGTGTATCCACGAGTGTGGTCAAGATATCGTTCATACCAAACGGGCCTTCTGCCAGTGCCATGGCCTTAATTTTTCCCTCCGGTGATTCTTCAACTTTGCGGAGGAGCTTCTTTGTGAAACCATCTTGTCCTTTGATCAGGATCGACATGGTAGTCGTCTGAGAGCCTCCAAGAAGAGCCACAAAAGAGTCACTCGAGTCCCGCTTTTCATTCATGTTTATCGTGTCGGCCCCGGTAGATGTCCATGCAACGGTGAAAGGATGCGAAGTCCAAAGGCCCAGAAATGGCATGTACAGATACATGTGCTGACCAGCGTGGAAATTCCAAGCTCGTGATACGGCAACATCGACGCGAGCAACTCCTCCTGGCAGGGCTTCAGCCGTAGCTGTCGTCCGCTGTTTGCCACAGTTTCTCCATATCAGGATTCCTAGACGACCAACGCGCTATAAAGTGTCAGCCATGACTCTCAATCCCTATATTGAGATATCATCATGCAACGAAAAACATACATCAAGGCCCCAGAGTATCAATGTACCCATCAAGACACGCTGTTGCAATAGATTTTTCAGGTGATACCACAGCGCAACAAAGGCCATGATAGCTAGGGCGATATGCAAATGAAGAAAAAGCTCGTAGAACGTGTGTCGAATGGGCGACAATGATTGAAAGAAAATAAAAACAAATCCAAGAAGGGCCTGTGACAAGGTCAGATATCTCTTTCCCTTAAGGGGCTCTGAGCGTACATACCACGAGCCCGTATATATAAAATGGCGTCTGCCAAATTGTGTAGATAATGTAATTCGTGCCATCTGGGAAAGTAACGTCAGCTAAATGTTTTTTGTCGCATTTGAGTCCGGCTTACGCATATAGGCTTGGTTGGCCAGAACGCTGCTCATATGAATCACCGCATTGATAGCAATGACTCTGCCCATCCAGCGATGCATAAAGTTAAAAGTGTCGAATGAGATCCCCAGAAGTGGCACCAAGGGGTTGTTCCGGCCCGCACTGAGTACCAGTCCAGGAGTGTTCATCACAGCCAGATGGCCAGCGGCATACTTGAGCTGGAACATTTTCTTAGGGAATTCCTCCCACCAGTCGACAGTCACAACGATAAATGTGAAGTTCAGCGCGAGATAGACAAGCAAGAGAATCAACTCCAGCCGCAAGGGCAGAGATCCCATATGTAGCCGATTGAACAATCGGATCTCGCGATTGTGGCGGGTGTCCCAGATCGGTGCATAAAGAAGGTGCTTCTTGAGGCTTGCATTGACAGGGCTTGTTCGAGAAAGCTGGCTCTGGTTATCTGTCTGGTTGGCCAGTTGTGATCGTTGACGGTGTCGGATGCGAATAACAGTTCGCCAGAGGAACAATGTAATCAGGAAGCCTGCAGCAATGAAAAGAGGGACCGCCACCTCCGGGTTCATGGGCGGTTCACCTAGCCCGTTGCCCTGGAGTTCGACCCCCATTCTTCCATTCGGCGGATACTCGATATGAAGACCGGAGGGGGACAGGGATGGACCGTCAACGGGCCGGCCTCAGTGTGAGATATGCGCAGCGACTCTCCTTAAAGACTCCGAACGCCGGTAATCAAGCGCTGCAAGTTTTAACAGTGATTATTTGTTGCATAGCGACACAGCAGGAATAAATTAACCAAAAAAGACATCATGGTGTTGTATTGGCATCCAACTCGATCGCACCTGGATGTCGTCATCGACCCCTGGCCAAGGAGGGTCCAGCAAGCTTAATCTGGTGGCTTAAATGAAAACATCGTCATTCCGCACGTTGCCAGCTGCTCTGTGCAATCATATCACAGAACGCAAGTGCAACCACCCGAATTAGAGCTGGCAGATCTCACCAGCCTAGGGCTTGTCCATGGTACGGGAGCGGTACCTTGGCGGGAAGTCTCGAATCCAAGGGCATACCAGATCGCCGACATGCCAGGCCTAGAAATTAATCGCGTCTCCGGTTGTGGCATTGGCGGAGACGCGCCGGTCTAGACCTAGACGCTGAACGAAGCGGTTGATGAGGGCAGCCCGAAAACGGAATGTGGGTTGAAGCGCCCGCGAATCGCATTCAGACATAGGCCATAGCGGGCAACATAATCAGCATGGAGGAACATTTCCAAGATTTACACAATTGAACGCAAATTAAATTTTCTACCGCGCAATGGAAAAGTCAAAGACTAGGGTCGTGACGACAGCCACTACAGATAGACTCAGGTACCTCAGGCCAAGCTTCGTCAAGTGGAGCCTCGATCGCCCCGGAACCAGCATTTGATCCGCTCGCAACTGCAACGTTTAACAAACAATGACCAGGTTTAAACCGGTGGGTACGCCAGGGTAGCAGATGACGGCATGGACTCTCAGTCTTAACGACAGGAGTGAGGACTTTGACTCTTTGCAACGATGACTTCAGCATCTTGATACGCCACTGGAATCATGATTTTTTATCAATAACCTTGTCCCTAGGCGAACGCATCTTATCGCCAGCCTCATTGACCCTCTGTCAACCTTGCTGCCATTTAGTCTCTCAGTCAATCCAGACCTGCCGAAGCGCCCCTGCGGGAGTGAGAACAAGGGAGAGTAATATAATAAGAATTGCGCCCCGGAAACCCCCCAAATCCGTCGCGTGCACACGACGAAGGTCCCAGAGAGCGAAGAGCATGGTTATCACAATACTCGCGTTCATAGACATAATCTTTGCGGCATCGCCAAAGACCTCGCCGTTGTAGTACATTGATCCGAATGTGGGGAGTTGTGGAAGAAAAATGCTGGCCGTAACAAAGCTAAACAATAATGGGAAGAAAACCTGAAATTCTCTGGAATGAGGCTAGTACTCCAATGTCCCGGTCACCCAAGAGCTGCATTTTCGCCTTAGCAGCTTCACTTGAACTCTTGGTTCGGATTCTTTTGAAAAGCGCGATGGATATGGGGAAGAGAACATGCGCTCCTTGCCATAACCAGGTGGGAAAAAAGGTCGAAAATCTCCATGTGTAGAGATATGCTGAGCCATAGACGGCAAAGTATGCAGGCATAATTGCTTTGGCCACGCCCACATCCACTGCCCTAGTAGAGGGATAATAAAAGGCCCGAGGAGAAGTTGCAAGAATATAGAGCGCAAAGTAAAGTGGCAAGACGTACTCCCAAGGGAGTATGTTCGACGCCAGGGCAAATATCAGTGCGCTGTGATAAGTAAGAAGATGTTCACACTAGATTTTAGGGATTTGCCTACCTGCTCACCGGCTTCAAAGCAAAGGACTGCCTATGAGATTCAATGCACACTGTGCTCATAACTGCCGCAATTGAAGAATGGTAATAGAGTTTTTCATTCCAGGACTGGTCTTCGTTGAACACCCATGGGAAGAGCCAGCCGAATTTTAATACCAGAACTGGATTTGATAGGTGTGAAGTTCGTGGCTGTGTCTCTCCCCCATATTGAAAGCGGGTAAAATGGATCAGCAAGTTCATGGCCAATAGGCGACGGCGGAAACGTCAGTATAGATGGAGAAAAGAGATAAACTCATATCATCGGGATTGACCTACTGTGCGCGGAAAAGCAATCCGTCAAAACAAGAGCTTTTGGCTGAGTATTAGTGGGAGGAATACAATCTCCTGTTAAGGCGACACAACTTCAAGGAGACCAAGGAGCTGCAGCTCGTCGCAGCTAGCTGCGAACTGATAGCTATCTTGTCATAGATAAGCTCCGCCGTACGTGGTGCCTCAGCTCTTTTCGATTTACTTTTATGAACTTAGAAGAATATTATATGCAGTCTTTGGATTTAGTATTTGGCAGCCATTCCTTCATGCGCCATAACCTATTTCAACACTGCTTTTCTCAAGACTAATAATAACAATGCCAGCGTTGGACAGCCGAGACAAACGCCAGTCCAAAGCGAAGAACGCCAGACTCATTACCAAGATCCCGATAAACCACCCACACCATCCATTGTTTATGTACAAACGCATAGTGCAAACCCTCAAGCAGAAACCTCCTGAACCTTCCCAGGAGCATTATAGGGAGCCTGCTGAACATCTTCCTCGATGCTCAAACTGCCATATCCCGTATCTTTGCTAGCGGACCGTTCCCTCCGCAGAGGCTCAGTGAATTGCATGTCCATCACATCTTGATCTTGATCGGCGTCACTAAGGACCGACTGGTCGGATCCGCCTCGGCGGCGGCGCCAGCGTCGCTGCTTCGATGGGGACGGTTCAGGTACGGCGTGGAGGTAGTCGTTCACATCTATGCCGGCGTTTTCGCATAGTTCGGAGCATGATTTCACCACGACATCCACGAGGTCAGACGAGAAGCCATAGAAGGCGGGGTTGTAGGCGTTGCGCGCCCAGTAGATCAGTTCTGCGGCGACTCGGCCGAGATTCGGGATGTCTTGTGGACAGATGGCGCGGTTGGCGAGTGGCCGGGGTTTGTCATCTGCTTCGTCGTCGGCGGAGGATGCAGCCTCGGAGACTGGTGAGGAAGGGGATGAATCGGATGAGGCAATGTAGTCCACATCAGAGGCTAGGAGGTGCAGGAGGTGGTAGACCGCAGAAAAGCCCAGCAGGGTGAGCTCGACGGGATCTATTGGAAGCTGGTTGAATATACTGATCGCCTTGTCAACGGTGAAAGATGCAGGCAATGAGGTGTCGCCGGTGGAGCGAGCAGTGACGATGGCTGCGATCATAGCACAGCGCACGGCGACAGAAATCTCCTCACGGACAGAAACTGGAAGCGACGAGTCCAGGAAATTCGATGCATGGCTCTGCTCGCCTTGTCTCTTGTCCTCTGGCAGGGCGGCGAGAACCGCACTCACGTTCTGGATTCGGTTCTGTTCAAAGAAGACCGCTTTCATGACAAGCGCGCGGGTGTATGCTGCGGAGAGACGGGGAGCAACATCAAGAGACATACGAATCTTCTCTTTGAAAGAATCGCGGCTCGCCTTCGACACTGGGCCTCCTTCGCTCGCTTCGAAGTAGTTGAGGAGCGCGTTCTGGAGCAGGTGGCTGGACCACCACGCTGCGAGAGCATCCATGGAAGATTGAATCGCGGGATCCTCCTCCACCACATCAAGAAGAACCTCGTCGTCAACACTACCCTCCTGCGTAGGCTGATTCCATGTAAGATTCACAGCCCTTTGCATAATAGTGTCGGTCATGACCTCGTCACAATCAAGATCAAGTAGCGCAGCGAAGTTACTGGGAAGAGCGTCTGAATGGCTCTCGGGCAATGAATCGTTGATGGATTTCGCAATACCCCATTGGTATCTGGCTAGAGCACGTGCGACGTCATTGGAGATATGGAAGGTCCACGAGCCTGGTTCACCAACCCTGAAGAGCAAAATTCGAATGTGCAATGCCTTGAGCATCATCCGCATCGGGGTGCTGGGCAGCGTTCCCGCAGCAAAGATCGTGAGGACAAGCCGGCTCTTGCTGATTTCGGGGTCACCACCCGTAAGCTGCGCGTCGATAGCAATGTCCCACGTTTTCACACGACCTATTTCATCTTCCTGTGTGATCCCTGTGGCCCAGGAGTAGAGCTTCCACCCCATAAAGCATCGCAGGACATATTCAAAGCATCTCGAGGTTACCACGTACCACTCGTGGAAGAACCTATGCCGTGGCACACCAGCCCGTTGCATACTAGTCAGCCAGGCTTGACGGCGGAAATCACTAGAAGTTGCCGGTCCAGCCTTGCCCTCGGATTCCTTCGACGGCGCTCGCTGGGTAACGGGCTGTGCGTTGAAAAGATAGACAAACACCACAAACGCACTGCCGACGATTAAAGTGGCGAGAGCCAAGAAGTGGGTGATAGCCCGGGCGTGCCATGAATACCAGAAATTCTTGAGGCAGTATTCCCAGTGCGCAACGGAAGGTGATTGAAGGCGGCGGAGGAGATTGAACGGAAGAGCAAAAAGGCCTTTCGCGTCCGACTCTGACTTGTCTGAACCAAAGCCTTCGAGAACCATGAGCCCTGCTAGCGCTCCCAACATGTATTTGTTGGGCATATTTGATCGGCGGCGTTTGGTCTCGCGGGTACTCTCGGTATTTGATGGGTGCTTAATATACGACTCGGCGTAGGCCCCTTGCTGCGCGGTCTCCGCTCGGAATCGTTTCCAGGAATCGGGAACCTGAATGAGGCCCTCGGGAGGATTTTTGGATATAGGCGAGCTCTCACTGGAGATTTCCTCAGGGCTCGAGAACACGCTCGGGGATTTGGTATGCCCGGAGGCGGTCGATACGGTGCAGTTGCTAGGTGGGGAAACAGAAGCCGCAGAAGTGACAGCTTGGTCTGCTGCCTTGTCCACCTGACGTAAACGGTTCTTCAGCGACGTGTTTTCGTCTTCCAGTCGTTTGTTGCGAAGCTCGAGATGCTTGATGTATTCTGTCGCCTTGGCCAAAATGGAGGCCTTGTTCAGCTTACTCGCCGGCATCACGCCGTCAGCCTCGTCATCATCATCCGGTGAATCTCCGTTAGAGTTCTTTGAAGCCCGCAAACTGGGCACGCTATCTCGCAGCTCGGCAATTTTGTCGTTCAGATTGGCACGGTATCGTTTCTCAATGACGTTGTGAGCTCGCTTCTGGGTAGGCACCTTCTTGCCAGTGCTAGATTGTATCGGACCAGTGAAGGTAGATGCATCATCATCACTTCCCGTTTTTCGCTTTCGACTGGTCCCAATACTCGAACTTGGTGATATCATGCCAGACTGCTGCGGTCGATGTGGCTGTGAGCCATTGACGGTCCCCTCCGGGGAAATTTCCATCAATCCCAGTGGAAGTCGCGGTGAGAAGTCTTGCTGGTGAATCTGGCCTTGGGAGCCAGTAGATGAACGAGGTGAAACAAACCGGGGGTTCATGGAGCTTGTTGGCTTATGATCACCTTCTAAAAACATCGGGTCGTCCCATCTCATCCATTGCGTCCAGTCCTGGTTGCCATTTTCGTTTTCCCCGCCATCCTGACGTGGAGGGGAGAACAGTTGAAAGTCACTATCCATCCTGAGGCCAACACATCGGTCAGTAACGGCTGGGAATTGATCTGGTGAAACTATTGGCCCGCCGAGACGGTTGACACTAGACCATGTGTTAGTAAGGAGTATTGAAACGTGGTTCCGCACAGGAATGGCCAGGTTTGAGAGATAACAGGCACGAATCCCGCATGGGCCACCGGCGATTGATCTCTTGGAAGCCTGGTAAGGAGTGACGAAGTACTCACTCGGTGAAGAACAAGATTTGCTTGTGTTGAAGATACAAACACAAGTAGCAGTGTCAGAGACAGTGAGGCAAGAAGATAGGATGAAGGAAGAGGGGAAGAAGACGATGAAGGACCGGAAGAAGCGGTGGATTGAGACCAGGCGCAGGTCGGCAACGATAGGTCCAAGGCACCCACCCAATCCAGGCAGCTAACCCAGGGATCCAAGTGGGTTTGGTGCAGAAGCAGTAACTATTGCGCTGCAATGTGCAGACAATTGGCCCTATTGAAGCTAGGTGATCGCCCTGTACTCCAAGCCACGCAAGACTGTAGCAGTAGCAGAGAACCGGTGGAGAGGAAGTAAGTTAGGTGCCGGGTAGTCGCAGTGAATTATTGGGTATTCGTTAGGGGAAGTATGCTCAACAGAGTAATGTCAGCTGTGGTGGTGCACGCGTGGACGGGCCAAGGATTTAGCAGCCTTCCAATTTTGGGTGGTATGATCCCGGCTCGTCGCTCTTCCGTGACAGGAGACGTATCGTGACGGTTATGACCGCTGAGTCAATGCATGCAGGTGTGTACTAAGCGTATTTGTTACACCACTCTCATTGGCTCTCTACTGTCCCACCACTGCCCCTGCTTACTTCAGCACCATCAGCATGTGATCGTGGACTATGATTCCATCGCGGCGGAATTCACTCCATTGAACCCCGCAAAAGACACCTTTAGATCCCTGCAGGTCAATTTCCAGATAATACTCTCTTCCGGAAGAGTTTGCGCAAGAGCCCCCACCCCCTTTTGCCCCTTTATCTTGGCGACCCGCTCTTTCATCTTATCTGATCGTCTCCACCATCGCAAATTGGAGCAGGAACTACGTATGCACGGAGCAGAAAAGGATACTAGTGGAGCGAAAGCTATCCGGTGTCGGTGTTGACATCACATGCTACATTCCCCTCACAAAGCCACTTCGAGATCGTCTCGCTACCTTTACTAGCAGACAATGATTCGTCCAGCGCATTTGCAACACTAGATTCGGATCGATTCAATGAAAGAATTCTTCCAGTGCTTTCTAGCTCCGTATACTTCACTTAACTAGAGCAGAGCGGATCAACATTTAGATCGCCTTCTCCATCTCCCCCACCGCACCCATCAACTCCTTCACTGTCTTCTTAACCCCCTCACCAGCCTCCTCATACGGCGTGCGCGGCTTCAACTTCTCCATCGCATTCTCAATCCCCGCCGCGGGCGCCGAATAAAGCGCGACCGCATACTTAGTCGATGCAATCCCGCCTTTACACGGACTCTCCGCCAACGCCGACTTCCGCTGCAATTCCATAGCCTCTTTCATCTTGCCCGCCGTGAAGAGATCAAACACCCTCGACGCAGTCTTTGGAAACACATTCGCAAACGCAGAAATACACCCCGCAGACCCGACGGTTAGCCCCGCAATCAGGAAGTCAGACTGCCCGCCGAAGATGGCGAATTCGCTGGGACCAAAGGTAGCAGCTAGACGAGTGATTTTGCCCACGGATCCGCAGGTTAATTTCACTCCGACGATATTCGACACCCCGTTGGGGCTAGCGGCCGCTGATTCCCGTACAATGTCCGTGATGGTCTCCGAATCTATGTCGACGCCGTTGCACACACCCGGGAAATTGTAGATCAGGACAGGAAGCGGGCTGTTGCGGGCGACATCTGCGAAAAACCGCTTGACGACGCTCATATTCGTCGCTTTGCCGAAGTATGCTGGCGGCAGGACGAGCAGGTAGTTTGCTCCTGCGGCTGCGGCGTCGTGCGCTAATTCCAGGGTCTGCTTTGTGGAATGCGTGCCCACGCCCGCCATGAGGGGGTAGTCGGGCCCGACTGCTTCGCGCGCTGTGGCGATGAGCTGTGCGCGTTCTTCGCGGGTAAGGAGGAATGCTTCCGAGTTGGTCCCCATTATTACTAGGCCGGCGAGACCGCTGCGGGAGAGGTAGGCGTAGTATTTCTTTTGGGACTCGAGGTCCAGTGTGTCGGTGGCATTGTCGAAGATTGTTACGGCGGGACACCACACCCCGGCTTTGGGGATTCGGGGTTGCGGGGTGACTTGGGCTGTATGGGAGCCCATGTTTGCGGTGGTTGCGGACGTGAGATGTATATTGTAGACCGGTCCTTGGTATGTCTCGCAATGTTCTAGATAACAGGAGGTAAAAAGTGGATTCACACTGCCCGCTTCTTATATTTCCGGAAGTCGGGGTGCCGATGCGGGGAAGAGTGAGCTGGAAAAGAATCCGGGTCGGAGGGACGCCGATAAGCGTGGGGGTTATCTAAGAGCGAGTCTCGTATCCCTAGCAAGGGATTCAAATACGTTTTTAATTACTGACACTACAAGAGTTGAATATCCATCAGAATTTACAGCCTCAGATTAATTCCTATGGCATGGACACCTGCAGTCACATCTCCAATTAACCCGAAATAGAAACCCCGATCAAAAACAATAAACAAGAATGCACCCGAATCGCAGATCAAATTGCAGGTCATCATCATCAGAGCAAAACGAGTTTAATGCTTCATAAGCTGGTCAGACAAGTCAAATATCAATAGTAGTTGCCATCAACTTACAGTAATGTCTTCCCATTTCTCCCAGCCGCGCCCGCGAACTTGGGCCAGTTCCTCCGTAGTGAACTGTTTCCCAGTTGTGAAATAGCCGGCATTGATCTTAGCATCGATTTCGACGCGGGAGTCACTAGGGATCATATACTCCGGGATCGGGACTCGCTCGAGGATGTTGATACCCGACTGCACGATGGCGTCGTACTTCATGTTAGACATGGACAGCATGCGGTCGATCTTCTTGATACCCAGCCAGTGGAGGATATCGGGCATCAGGGCCTGAAATCGCATCTGCAGAACAAAATGGTCAGCATGGAATCACTAAATCGATAACAATGATGCATCCATACATCCCGCACTCCGGCAATGTTCTCCGTCCGCGTGAAGTACTTGTCAGCAGTATCTCCTCCGCGCTTGCGGGCATTATACACCAGATACTTGATCACCTCCCCCAACGCTCTTCCTTCCTTGCGGAAGTAAATGACCACCCCACTTCCGCCGTTCTGCGCTTCACGGATCGCCTCGTGAATGCCAAAAGCCAGATACGGTCGACAGGTGCAAATATCTGACTGGAACACGTCGCTGCCATTACACTCGTCGTGAATCCGCAGAGCCAGTTTGACATTCTCGTCGGACACTCGCTCAGGGGGACCGAAGATGTATACAGTGAGGCCGCCAATCGGCGGAAGGAAGACTTTGAGGTCGGGCCGAGTGATCAGCTCCGGGTAACTTCCCCCAGTATGTTCGAACAATGTCCGACGAAGGGTTCCCTCGTCCACTCCAAACCGGTCAGCAACGCCTGGCAGATACCAGACCGGTTCCACGGCCACCTTCGTCACGCGTACTTCCCCAGACGAATCGACCACGATCGATCCGTCGACCTCCAGCTGGCCATTGCGGACTGCCTCGCCAATCTCCGCCAGTTTCATGTTAGCCCGAGTAACGGCCATAGTCGGACGAATATCCCAGCCTGCATTCAACTCCTCACGAAATTGATTCACAATATCATGACCAAAGGGATCCATCGACACAATCTTCGTCTTATCTGCCCATGCAGACTGAAAGGGGAAATCAAACGTAGGCTCGCTATTGCGCAAATCTGGTCGAAATTCGGGTTCCAGCTCACCGGAGGCAATCGCCAGGGCATTGTAGATACTGTAGCTGCCGCCATGGGCGCCCATGGCATTGCGGCGTTTGAGCAGATTGGCGTTGCGCGACACGATCACGGGGCCGCGCGCTTTGGCGTCACCGGCACCCCATTCTAGAGGGACAGGATCGATGCCGCTCTGGCCTGGATACGTGGTCAACTGTGCAGGATCAGCATCCACAATACGAATATCTCTCCAGCCCGAGTCTGGGCAGCCATACGACGATGTGCTTGCTATATCGCGTCGGAGCTGCGGGAGATGCGGCTGTTGCGACGGCTGGCATACTGGTAGGGTCACCCATGGAAGAGTTGGTGGGTGAGTCTCTACTGAATAATGGAAATGGACGATGAAGAAGAAGAAGAGGAGGAGGAGGAGTGAGAGGATGGTAGAAGGGCAGGTGACTCCGCACGTTATCTCTCCGTTATCTAGTGGGGCGGTTTCGGAGTTCGCTGATCATCTTCGGAATACCGAATGCCGACCGTGTCTGGTTAAGAACAGTACCTATTAACTACACTAGTCACGTTTGCAAATTCAGGATTGATTATGAAGTCAGTGCCCCTGTCTAACATCCAGCTCCCTTCTTACTGATTGCAATAGCTCCCGTCGTCGCAACGGCAAGCAGGCTTCATGCGAGCTCTGCCGCCGGGACAAGGTCCGCTGCGACCACGCTCTGCCCGTCTGCAACCGCTGCAAGGCGCGCGGAGTGTCGAGCCAATGTTTCTACCATCCTGCACCCCTGACTCGACCAAAGGGGCGGCGCATTTTCCCCTTGGCTGAAGGGGTGTCTTTTGACAGAGCCAGGTGTGTTCGAGTCTTTCTTTTCGGAGATGAATTTCCGTTGCACAATGATCTGTTTGGTACATAGCAAGAGCTATCCTTCTAAATATCTTCTAGGAGCACTGGTCCAAGTGAATCCAATACGCCAGTGGCCGCTGATCATGTCTCGCCGTCGCGGCACAAGCCTCTACTGCCAGGCTACCTCGGCCCGACAAGTTTTGTCTCTTCCCTGACCGACGATATGGACCTGTCCCCCGATAGCCAAGGACTGGAGGTAGAGACAGGGCAGCGAGTGTTACCCCCATATTGGGTGCAGAAGATCTCTGAAGTGTTACTCGCCCTGGGAGATTTCTCGACGATCGAGGAACTGATTCGAGAATACTATGAACTGAGTCAAAGTGCCGTCATAGCATCGCCATTTATTTTTAATAGTCTCGCCTCCGTCAAGGCCATATGCAAGGAACGGATCGCCAGTAGAGACTTTGATGACTTTACGTCTTCGCTGACTGTGCGCATTATCCAGAACACTGCGGAGACGTTTGTTATTCCTCTCACGACTCAAGGGGCCGACTTTCACACGCTTTTCACGGGACCACGGACTCGTCTAGAGATCATCGGTGTAATTTGCTCTCTCGCAGGCCGAGCTTGCTATTTTTGGCTCGCTCAAAAGAAATTCGATTCACAGATTTCCCGGTCTCAGTTTACGCGGAAGATGCTTGCAGCTAGCGACGCTGCACTGCAGACATGCAAGATTTTAACGCCTCTGAATGATCTCACAATATGGCTTGTCCATGAGAACCTGCTGCTTTCCCACGTGGCAAACGGGGTTTCAAGTCAGTCATATTTCCCAATTAATGACTACTGCTACTACTAACCAATTCAGGCCCACATGTATGGAGCCGACTCGGAGAGCTCTCGACTGATATCTTTGCACTGGGCTTGCACCGAGAGCCAAAAGGCTCAACCGAGATCCCTGGGTTCATGTTGGAATCTCGTCGACGACAGTTCGCGGCAGCATATCAACTAGACAAAAATCTTGCCACGTTCCTCGGTCGTCCTCCCCGAATCCCTTGGCGATACTCCGATTGCCGAATGCCCCTTGATATCAGTGATGAAGCGCTGGTCGCCGATGGTCTGAGCCTTGACAGCCCACAGGATGGTATTGTTGACTCCATGGGTTGGAATATCAATGGTCTATTCCAGCGGTCATCCTGGCTGCGAGTGCGTTTCATCATCAGCACATTCCGCGATGAGATTCTCGAAATCTCTCTCCAGGGCATGGCTCCATCGACTGTCCGTCTTCTAGAGTAAGGGCCCCGCATTTGTCCTCCGTTACATATCTGATATCTTGGCAGGGACATCTCCAATCGATGCCATTCCGCTTGGGAGTCGCTCCCTATTCACCTACGATACAACCCGCAGAGTTGGGATAATAGTCTTCCAGCAGCAGTTTGCTTGATGCCGATATTTTCCTACCTAGCGTACCTGTGCAATGACTTTCTCATTCAACGACTCCTCGCCGAAAAGAATAACCCTAGAGGAAACGCCGCGCTTCTATCTGTCAGCTCGGATATTCTATCTACGGTCTTGAGACTAGGCACACAGCGTGAGCACAGGGTTGACCTTCGTCAGGACTTTACACTGACGGTAAGCTGCCATCACCATACATAACTTGCAAAACACCCAAAACTAAACTCCATGCCTCCAGATATTACTCTACGGCTTTCCCAGCGCCAGCATCCTAATAAAAGCCCTACAGCACCACAAACGCAGCGGCGAACCATTCCTCTACGAGGGCTCCCGCTCAGCTCTCATTCGCAATCTCAGCGTCTTCATCGCTCACCTCGAGGCGTTTTCACACCCAGATAATGTAAGCTACGCTCTCTTCCAGCGTGCCAGCCAGGCTTTCTCGAAGATCATTGATGAGATTCTCGAGCCGGGTTCTGTGGCTCCTGATACGGAGTTTGAGGAGGTGTCGCTGTTTGACTATGATCAGATGATTGATATGGATGGGTTAGATTGGTTTAGTACGATGGATTTTGGGGTTGCTTTTAACCAGTGGTTGTTTTGAAGTATATTCAGACTGCAGTCGGTGGGTATATATAAAATTTGTTATGTCAACCAAAGTATCTTTCTTCTAGTAACAAACCATAGTAGGAATCCTAAAGGAAAAGGAAAGCGAGGATAAGGATTAAGGATTCACGATATCGAGATTGATAATTGACAGTATGCAGATGCTGGGCTCAAGCAGTGAAAAATTTCCCATTCTTCCATTGAAATATCATGTCCTTTCACTCTCGCTGACCGTCACAATCTTGGGCTGAGCATCCTCGCCCCCATCCCTGGGATACCCCTGCTGAGCACCCAAGGGACCAACTACGTGCGGCGCTGCCATACCAGGTGCAGTTCCACCTGAAGCAGGGTACCCCAACACCTCAGTCGTAGGATCATTCCGACGAAAACCATGCTTAGCCCAGAGCTTGAACTTCTCACCACCGGTCATACCCTGCCACCTATTGGCCAAAACCTCCTGCTCCGCGGGCGTCTTAGCCGGGTACCCTCTAACATACATAAAACTGACACAAGAAAGTATAGGACACAGAAAAGCCCAACCATACGGCAGGCCGCGACGACTCTTCTGTCCCAGCATCGTTCTCCGGAACACGTACCAGCTTTCGAGAAAGCCGACAATAAGAAAGAGTCCCCACCACGAGAAGAAGATCGCTAGGCCCAGTCCCAGCGGCGAGATGCCCCATGTATAGTGACATTTACCGTCGCAGCAGTATCCGCCTGAAAAAGCCGAGCCGTCGATATACCAGGTGAATTCTTCACAGCCGGCGTAGTCACCACCACCATAATCTCCACTTTCCCCGGCGTACGGGCCGCCGTAGCTGTCGGAGTTTCCGCATGCTATGTAGCTGTATGGGACGTTGGCGGAGCTGAGGGAATGGTAGACGTCGCTGGGAATATCGGTAGGGGCAAGCATTGCCTGGGTGATGGAATATCGCTCTGCGATATAGGAATCTGTCCACGTGCTTGTGATCGTGGCAGTTGCCTTGAGCAGTGTCTCCGCCTGATATGGGACGTTGACGGCCACTGCGGTGGTGATAGATTTGCTCACGGTATCTGGGCAAGACGCCGGCGCCGTGTAGACGATATTGACGTAGAACGCATGGTAGTCGTAGCTGGTGATGGCGACGCCGTCTGTCGGTGCAATGACCAGATCAATCTCTGTGACGGATGGGGTGAGACTGCCATAGATGGTTGTCTGTGTTGCTATGGGGTCTATGTTCTTGGCTGTGGGCTTGATTGCCTCCGTTTGGGTTTCTAGGAAGGCTGTCTCCGTGAAGTCGCCGTAAGTGTAGCCCGATGCGATGGTTTTCACCTCCACGGCGATGTATTCTGTTCCGATCCAGGGGACGGCGGTGACTTGATGGATAAGGAGGAATGGGGCGAAAGCGAAAGATGCAGCGAGTCGGGCCACGGTGATTGTTGGTCCCTTTAGCGCCATTGCTGACGACCAAAGTGGACAGGTATTATTAATATTAAAAAGTAAGTCTAGACAGTTCAAGAAAGGAATGACGAGAAGGAAAAGGATAGAATAAATAACAGGGGGTCTCAGCTCTAAACCACAATTTGCAAAATGATTCAGTTCGTATAATAGTCCCGACTAAACCGGATATAGCCCTAATTGACGAGAACCAACAGGGGGATGCACGACCGTGCGGAATAAGAAACTTTGTCAATCCTCACTATAGGCCCACATGTCAATAGGGTTGGGTCACGATCAGCCTGAGCCTCTTCTGGGGGCTCGTATTTGACACGGGGCTTCGCTGCCCTACGGTCGGTTGCAGGGAATACGAGGTGCCCCATGCCGGACGACATCAATAGAGGTGGTGATCGGCTGAGGCTAGACTCTGAGTTGTCGTTTGGGGAGTGACATTGTTCGTTCAGGGTTCAGATTAGTCTCTCTTTAGATTAAGATTAATTAGGCTAAGATTAATTAGGCTAGCTGTTCCGGGAGATAATGGGTAAAATGGCGGGGGGCTGTTGCACCTACAGGACAAGACTAGACAGAGTACCGTGAGATTCGTAATTGCATTTGGTATCTATTCAACCATTCTCCCAGATCATCAAAAAAACAACCCCAGATTCTTTAGCCTAATCACATCAAAACCAGGAGCCCACCCGTTCCGTAGAGGCTCAAATTACAACAAACTTTGTTTCTAGGACATTTGGACATAGTTCGCTTGGGAGCGCGGGTTCTTGATCGTCTTCTTAATGACTTTCTCCACCTCGTCCCAGTCGTCGGTGTCCACTCGGTCGATGTTGCATCCGAAGTGTTCCTGGATCTTGCGGAGCATATCCCACTCGTCCCGGTTTGAGACGAAGGAGATGGCGACTCCAATGCGGCCGAAACGGCCCGTTCGGCCGATACGGTGCAGGTAAGTCTGATAGTCGGGTTCACGGGACTTGGAGCCGGGGATGAAGGCCTCGGGGATATCCTGAATGGGGTCAGTCTGATATTCAAATCGTTAGAGAACAGACATACGTAGTTGACGACCAGGGACACGGTCGACACGTCAATTCCACGGGCAAGAACGTTGGTGGTAATGAGAACCTTGGCGTCGCCATTGCGGAAAGCATCAATCACGGCGTCACGCTGCGAGCCCTCGATGCCACCGGTCAAAGACGCGACGGTGTGGCCTTCAGCAACCATCCGCTTCTCGATCTCCACAGCGGAGTTACGGGTCTAGGGATGTCAGTGCAAAAACGCGACGAAGGGACTGGGTCAACTGACCCTGACGAAGATAATGGAAGATCCGACAGTGAGAAGTCCGTAGAGCTGCACCAGGTTGCGATACTTTTCCTCATCGTTGTTGCAATCCATGTAGAGCTGTTTGATACCCTCAACTGTCAACTCCTCGTGCTTGAGGGTGATCTCGTTCGCTTCCGGCGCGAACTTGCCCGCATATCGGTGGACGTGGGTGGGGAAAGTGGCGGAAAAGAGAACGACTTGAATGGTTCGGGGAAGCATGCTGAAAGCGCCGTTAGCTAGATCCTGTCCATCTTGCCAGTTGAGACTTACGCCTTGACACGGATACACTGGTCACCCAGACCCTGCTGGTCAAGCATGTTGTCGGCCTCATCCAGGACAAGCACCTTCAATTGGCTGGCGTTCATGATGCGCTTCTTGATCATGTCCTGCACCGTACCAGGTGTACCGACAACAACCGAGCAAGCCATCTGAGTCGGACGCGTAGCACTATCGGCGGGGACAGCAGTCCCAATGATGAGGCCGTCGAGGAATTGGCCCATGACCTGAATGACACCGACAATCTGGCGTGCCAGCTCACGTGTGGGGGCGAGGATCAGAGCCTGGGGCGTTTTCTGCGACTGCTCTGACGAGAGATCCAGTCGGCTAAGGATGTTGAGAGTAAAGGCCGCGGTCTTGCCGGTACCAGACTGCGACTGGCCGACGAGGTTGCTGGGGGGTTGCGCATGAGCAGAGGCAGAGCGCGTTCCTGCACCTTGGAAGGCTTGCGGAAGTTCATAGCAGACAGGCCCTTCAGGATACGCTCATCCCTGTGATGCCATTCTCGTCAGCATGGGTGTTCTTGTTGTGTTCGAAGGAAGCCACTCACAGGCCGAGATCCTCAAAGTTGGTGACCGAGTACAATGGGTTATTAGGATCGGCTTGCTGGTCGCTCAGTTTAACCTCAACCGAGTACTCAGGCTCCTGGAGCTCGGAGCCGCGCAGCTCAGAGGGGGCGCCATCACCGGGCTTCTCGGTTTCTATTGGGACGAGGGATTAGCAGGTTGTTCACAAAGTCTCGTCCCGCAGAAGCTCAACGTTGGTGCAGTTCGTACCCGCAGGCTTCGGCGCATCGGGCTGGGTGACGCGATCAGCCAGGGATCCACCGGCAGGGGGACCTCAGACGCCATTGTGCGATAGATGAGGAAGAATCGAGCGTAAGTCGGAGGAGGGCGAAGAAGGAGGAGGGGTTGGCGGGGTTGGAAAAATTCAAGGATGATACTGCAGCCACTGCGCTTGCGGGGCCAGCAGGTTCTTAAGTACAAAAGGCACTGCAGCCAGAGGCAGTGAAAGTCCGTAGAAGCTAAACGGAGGCAACAATGAGGTGAATTGGGGAGAAGAAGAAGAAGAGTGATGGCAACAAGAACAAACAATGATCGGTGAATTGCATGGCGACGGGGAGCGGCTAGGCCCAATCCGGTTAGTGCCATCCTGGTATGTATGCCTCAGGACAAGTCACGGTCATCTCTCTCTCCCACCTTCAACAATACTAGTCTCCAGGACTTCCCGCCCGACTGTTGCTGTTGGCGTTGTTGTGGACAGTGGCACATTGAGGCCCAAGTGAAGTCAAGCGCTGACCTGCCGACCGCTGCTGCCTGCGTCCTGCAGTCTCATGCGCAGTCTGACACCCATTTCAACCCAGCCATGGCGGCAGCAGATGTGGCTCCCCAGTTCGGAGCAGAACTGAAGGTGAGATCCCCGAGTCACAGTCCCAAACAGATCACTGACGGACTCGGTTCTTCACTAGGATGCATTCAAACCGGTCAACGCTTGGGTATGCCCCTCAACGTTCTTCCCCGCAACGAGTCCCGCGTGTGAGGCTGATTGGACCACCCCCTTAGGTATCGAACGGGATATCCTGGCTAGACGAGGTTCAGCAGTTCTACAGAGAGCGCAGTGTGATCGAGAAGGAATACGCCAGCAAATTGACCGCACTCTGCAAGAAATACTACGACCGCAAGTCGAAGAAGATCAGCCCCCTCAGCGTCGGCGATACCCCGACCTTGACTCCCGGCTCCCTCGAGAGTGCGTCGTTGACCACCTGGACGACACAATTGAACGCCGTCGAATCCCATGCCGCCGAGCGCGACCGATTTGCCACAGACTTGGTCTCCCAGGTAGCGGAGCCACTAAAAATTGCTGCCGCGCAATATGAGGAGATCCGCAAGTCCCATGTGGAATTCCACGGGAAGCTGGAGAAGGAACGCGATGCATCCTATGGGGAATTGAAGAAAGCAAAGGGGAAATATGACGGTGCCTGTCAAGAAGTCGAATCCCGACGAAAGAAAATGGAGTCATCATTCGACCATAGCAAGCCCAAGGCGCAGGCCGCTTACCAGCAACAAATCCTGGAAATGAACAACTACAAGGTATGTGTTGGAGATCTGAACTAGTGGATTTCGGTTGCTAACGATATGTTCTAGAATCTCTACCTGATCAACATCAATGTAACAAATAAACTGAAGGAGAAATTCTTCCACGAATATGTCCCCGAGGTCTTGGATGTGAGTGTCAAAACCCTTTGTCGGGATCAGATCGTATTCGCTGACACTCCGCATAGGGCTTGCAAGATCTCAATGAAACTCGGGTCACGAGACTAAACGCCTTGTGGATTCTCGCAGCACAACTAGAGAAATCCTCCCTATCAAATAGCGTCAACCACTTTGCTGGTCTTCTCAATGAGATTCCGCGCAACAACCCGAAGCTTGACTCAATGATGTTCCTCCAGCACAACGCCACGCAATCTCAGGAACCCGGGAACGTGGGCTTTGAGCCGAGTCCTGTCTGGCATGATGATGCGACCATTATTACAGATGAGGCGGCTAAAGTTTTCTTGCGCAATGTCCTGGGGAAGAGCAAGACACAAGTGCGAGAGTTGAGGGTACAGTCCGACCAGAAACGACGTGATGTGGAAACCTCCAAGAATATCCGGAAGAATATCCAGGAGGGCAAGGATAACCGGAGCGAGGTCGATGTCGTTCGCTCAATATTTTACCTCCAGGAGGCCCTGCACGAAGTGGACCGCAAGTGGCTGACGGCGGAGGTTGAAACGTCCACCATCATGGCAGTTGTGGGTGACTTGTCCATCGGGGCTCAGAACCACAACTTCCGGTCACAGACTTTCAAAATCCCGACCAACTGCGATCTCTGTGGAGAGCGGATCTGGGGATTGTCTGCCAAGGGCTTCGACTGCCGGGATTGCGGCTATACATGTCACAGCAAGTGTCAGATGAAAGTGCCAGCGGAGTGCCCTGGAGAGCAGAGCAAAGAGGACAAGAAGCGGTTGAAGGCTGAGCGACAGGCCGGCGCCGCGCCTACTGGTGACGTTGGTTCTGCGGCCTCGACCATGGCGCCCTCGCTGCAACGCCAGAATACCATGAACTCTTTGAGTTCGGGCTATGCCGCCAGCACAGCTCGATCTGTCTCCAACGTTGCCCCCCAACCCACCCCCGACAGTCCAGCCGAGGCACCTCCGCCCCCAGTCGCCGAGACCAAGCCGACTACTGCCAAGAACAAAAAGGTGCTGGCACCGCCACCCTCGGCGTTCTTCAGTACGCCACAAGCCACGGAGACTGGCAATGCTTCCAGGCCGAAGCAGCCAAGAGGCAAGATGATGTACGCTTACCAGGCCACTGGAGCAGACGAGGTTAGCGTGCAAGAAAATGACGATGTTGTTATCGTTGAACAAGACGGTACGTTTATTCTTTAGCGGTGTCTTGACTTGACTAACTCCCTAACAGATGGATCCGGATGGATGCGTGTTCGTGCTGGAGTCAACGAAGGTCTCGTTCCTGCCGCCTATGTTGAAGCAGCACCAACCCCATCACCCATACCATCAATCAACACCAGTCTGACCGACCGACCCGGCTCAATCCGTTCGAGTTCATCCGCCTCACTGGCAGGCAGCACCGCCGCCACGAAACGCATTGGCCCGGCTGTGGCGCCACGCCGAGGCGCCAAGAAATTACAGTATGTGGAGGCATTGTATGACTACGAAGCTCGCAGCGACGCGGAGTGGACCATGGCCGAGGGTGATCGGTTTGTCCTGATCACCCGTGACAGTGGCGATGGATGGGCCGATGTGGAGCGTGGTGGAGTGACGAAGAGTGTGCCGGCAAACTATATCCAGGAGGTTTAGAGTCTTTGTATACACTTTCCGTCATGACTTTTGTTGCATCTTGCAGGGAGCGTTGGGGACACATTTGCCAAGTTTATATTTTGATTCTCTTTTTTTTTTTCTAGCACGGGAAGGCTCATTGAATTTTCCTTCTTATTGAATGTCAACATTGCAGTCATCACGGTCGTGTATATATTTGCATCATCTCTTCATCCCCATATGTGCAAGATCTCTTCCCTCACTCACTCCGATCTAGGCGGAGGAAACCCAGTATCCAAATGCTCAAAGCCCGTCTCCGGTGACCACATATACCTTGACCAATCCTCAACATGAAATGTATCATCCGACAAACCCTCCGTCATATCAACATCCAAGTCATCCAAACAACCAAGTGACCTATCTCCCAGAGCCAGCGCCGGGTCCAACGGGAAATCAAACGGATTGATGCCCTCCGAGGGACTAATCAGTGTCTGTGCTAATTGAGCATCGGAGACAGACGTGGTAGTGGAAGTAGTAGGAAGGAGGGAGTAGGCAGGGTCAAACACGTTCGCCTGGGGCAGTAAAGAAGAGGCATGGTCCTGGTGCGACAATATCCCCGGCGCCGACTGCGCAAACGACATATTCGGCTGGACCATGCTAATCTGGGCTCCCCCCGCCGAGGATTCCGATGTAATCGACAGCCGATGGAGCGGCGTCTGAGACTCTGCGCCAGAAGTCTCAGAACCCGACCAGTCTCCCGGCCAGAGAGCAGCGTGGCTGATAGACGCAGCGCGCTCCGACGACGCAAGCGTGGGCAGCTGAGCCGACGACGAAACGTGCGCGGACGAGGACGTGGAGGCGGAACGAGTGATTGGAGGTGTCTTCTTGTGATTCTTGTTCTTGCCGTTATTCGAGTCCGGCCGCGGCGCAATCGGGAGGAAGCCAGCCGGGTTGGGGTGGCGAGGGTAGAGTCTGGCGTGCGGCGGTTTCTAGATATGCCCAAGAAAAAACACGGATCAGCTAAACCATGCCGCTCTGTATATTTTTCTTCTCTTCATATCTGAAACCGAAGATTTGCCCATTCCAATGGTATTTGTGTAATTGCGTTACTTTTGAGGGAGATTTTAGCTCTGCCTCGCGCCGTGCGCGGGCATGTTCGCTCGGCGAAGAGCAGGGAGTGGCATGGCAGATGGAGCAGGTGGCGAAAGGCCGGCCCTTGCGCTTGATGCGAATCAACGGTCGATCTATCTGCGTCGTTAGTAGGAAGTCATCAGTGAGAAATGTGAGGCATTACCATGATGTTTGCAGCTGGTCACACGGTGTCCCCGTATGCAAGCTTCGCAAGCCCACTTTTGACCGTCGATGAGCATCCCTCGACTGAGATATAGGAGAACTGCGCCATCTTTTGGGACGTCGTGCCTTTTATATTATGATTATTATTATTACTATTATTATTCCGTCGGGGTCCATTCCATATTGATCGCCCAGCTAAGGTAGGACTGAGGGGCAGCCCATGACATGGGATGACACAAATTATTATTATTATTTCTCTCTCTGTGATGAGGGATTATTTAGTAGTAGTTACTTCTCACGGGGTATAGTTAGGGCTAGCTATTGTACAGCCACAGGATCGCCTGCATGGGATTGGCTCGTGCCCTCGGCGGGTTCCGTGCGTGTTTAGCAGCTGTTTCATGGGAGCTTGGGCCAGGAAGAGGTGCTGGCTACGACCTTCCGGGATTGGGATGGGCGTGATGGAGAAACTAGTTGCTGGATACTAATCCGGTGTGTGAAAAAATTACTCTTCTCGTTAATAGTGGGCGGGACAAGAGAATTTTCAGAAAGGCTGCGGGATTTTTGGACACCTCGGCTGCCTAGTTAGCTTTTTTTTTTTTTGGCTTGTCCTTTATTTCCTTCAAATGGAAATTGACACGACCGGGAAAATCCCAAGGGACAATTTCCCACGGGCTGCCAGATCGGTGTTAGCAGAGCTGTCGACAAATGCCTCATATTTATGGGAGAGGGGGACAACCGTCCCTTCAGATCGTCGATTCATGGTTCTCGGTTCGGCAGTAGGGGCCATGACGCCCGCTGATATCACCCGAGACGAGCTAGCCCAACGCTGCACACAATCCTTTGCTTCATCTTGCATCTGGAGGTGGCTGTGCACGACGGTCGCCTGCCTAAGTGGCGCATTGTTTTTCTGGATAGGCGCCATAGCCTGCGACAGTAACCGTACCTAAATATGCCCGAGATCCGAGGAAAGCACTTAGCACGTTCCTGTGCCCGTGGCTGTCTTCCTTCTTCCCAGGAACCCTAATACTTACCAGTAAGGCCAGATTAAGGATAATTAAGCTTCAGTGCACTCCAATCACGGCGCGGCTAATTGCATCATCTTGGCGGGTGTTAACTATGCGCCATTTTGTATACCTGAGGCATTTTTCTATTCCAATTGAAAACCTCGCCTTCATCCCCTCCTGGTTTCCACCTCGCAAAAAAAAATTTATGGCCCCAGAGGCACGGGTGCAACTCGGCTAGCAGAAAATTTGGAAATTCATTTGTCACTGAATCGTTTGTCCTGCTGCTGGGAGGGGCATTCGGAAGTGCCAAAAGAGAGGGTGTCGTAGTGTGGGAAAAGTTGGGGGAGTGGTGATCCATCCTCTCTTCGTCACCTTCTTTTTTTTTTCCACTTGTACAACTAAACACCGCTATTTTCTGTTATTCTTTCTGGTCTCTGCATCAGTTATTTCGTGGTGTTAATGTCGCCACGTGCCCATAGGCAGCAATCAAATTGTGAGAGATGCCGTGGCGTCGTGGACATTCTTTGCAACATGGTAATCTGTCTGTGCTGCAGTCGCTCTTTAGTCGTTGAAATCGTCAATCTTTGAGCCAAATAATAAATCTGATTTTCCGGCTTGTGTTTGTGTTTGGGTATATCTGAGTTTCCCATTGCACAGTTGGGTGTGGTGTGCACCGTTGTGGTGCGCTATACCTAGGCAAACCCTCTTTCCCTCCTGCTTTTTGGGCTGTTGCTTCGGTCGCAAGAAAGATCTGGCTGACGGAGGCAGAGACAGATATTTATACTCAAGCCCACCCCTTTGCCTATGCCCGGCCTGCTCGGATGCAGCGGAAGAAAACTCAAATGCATACATACAACTCGGAAGAGCTGTGCCGTTCGTGCAGATATATTGCTCATGCCGCCGGACAGGGCATCAATAACATCGGGCACTGTGGCAATGGCAGAGGTTATTCCCTCACAATGACAGGCCATAGCACTCGACACTATTGCAAAACGCCATGCTCTCTTTTTTCGACATGCTGTTCTCTCGATTAGCAAGAGGGGGTGAGGAGGGCCCTGAGATGGCACAGACCAACACACTAGTCCGAAAACCGTTGCACGTTTTTCTCCGAGTCGAATCATAGACAAGCATGTCACCCAGCTAGTCGCTAAATGCCCAAATTGCCGAGCGCAGTGAACAAGTAATCCGAGTTAATGTTGCGATGCGTATCCAAGGCTGCCACGCTCTCGATGCGGAGATCCAACCAGGGGCTCCAGAGAAGAGCTGCGCGTGGCACGGGAAGCGAATCAAGGGCCTGGTGGTTGTCCGTCGCGAGGTAGCGGAGCAGCGCGAGCACGAGGTTGCCGCCTGCCGAAGAGCCCGACATCACGATTTGGGAGTGTGGGACTTTCAGTGCCTTCACTGCGTAAACATAGGATGTGATTGCGTCCTGCAGCGCGGCAGGGAAGCATGTATTCTCTTCTATAGAGAGACAAGATATTGCGTTGCAGGCACCGGGCAGCCCATCGCCTTGCTGAGAACATGTGGCCCATAGCCGCCTTCCAACTCTCGCGCGCCACCAAGCACGTAGGCACCGGGATGAAAATGGAGGACCATCCGCTCCAGAGGCTTGTCGGAATCTGGGAGAGAGCTGTACAGAGAGCTGTACCAAACGGCACCAATTCGTGATGGCTGGATTTTCGGGTCATTGAGAACAATGCCTCGGTAAGGCGAGCTGCTGCTGGTGCTCCCCTTCTCAGTGGGAGGGTCAATGACTATAAATCGTTCCTTCTCGCGGCCTGGCTCGAGAGACTTCGCCGTGTGGAATTTCACGGCGGTCGCATATTTGAACCAGAAGCGGAAGAGAGTGTTGCCGAGGACTTCGTGGTAGGTCCAGGATGTATTAGGTCGAGTCACTCTAGGTAAATAGTAGAGGCATGTGCCGAGGATGCGAAGTGGAAGTGTGAGGATCACAAAGGTGGTATAGAGGACTGTTCTGATGGACGGCATCGTGACAGATTTGCTTTCCTACGCTTGCCACTACTGGTATCTGAGGATATCTGACACGGGCCTGGTTCCAGGGGTCCAGACAAAAGGGAGACCAGCTTTAACTTATACATAGGAGGCTGTGAGGTCACCAACATGATTTATCGTCCGCATACTCCATCTAACTCTAGAACCGTTCAGCTTCGGCCCCTTTTTCCAGAATCAACTGATTTGGCCCCACTATCCGCCAATCCACAAACCCTCAGCTGCTCCAGCCCTAGCCAGCCTTAATGGGCTGACGGCAGCAACACAAGAAGGTATATAATATTGGTGGCAGACTCAGATTAGGCTTTATAGTAGTATTAATCAATCAGTTGTGCCCGTATACCGATGGAGGAAGTCCACTTGGGTCCTAAGTCAAGCTCATTGTGCCAAGCAAAACTAGCCCCAGCCTTGCGAGAACACAGCCCATTATTAGTTAGCTATTTTAGGTCTTAGTGAGGGGCTTTGACCCCCTGTAAATGACCAGATAATTAGACCCTTATTATCCACCTTGAAGATTATTATTGCCCCAAATTCTGACTCGAGCTTCTACATTAATTTTCGCATTGCATTGATTTAGCGTTCTGTTTTCATTGCATTGGATTCCATTGCAACGCACTACATCCTTACAACATGGCATCATCACAACAATTCTCCAATCGACGGGTTTTCTTGGTTCTTGCTCTCTGTCTAATCGCAATTTCACGCGCCGCATTCATTTTGCCCAAAGTCCCAGATATCCCGACAGTACCAGAGATCGGACCCGCGACAATTCCAGAGATCAACCCCCCGACAATCCCAAATATCAGGCCAGAGCCAGAAGAGCCAACACCCGGTGGTGGCTCTGACAGTCCTTCACTTGGCGTAGACAGTCCATCGGTTGGTGTAGACAGTCCATCATACGTCCCCGACACGGGTTCTCCGGGCGCACCAGGTGGAACTGATCACACTCCGTTATTCGCGGATAAGGGTTGGTTATAGCAACTATTCTACCTTTATCTATTGTTTTTTCTAACCCTTCGAACAGAGGCCCTAGAGAAATACTTCAAACTTTTTGACGGTGTCACAGACCTTCTTAGCGCCATTGAATCTGCTACCTCCACTAGCGCCGCGACATTCACCCGCGTAGCGCCCGCCAACGCAGCGATAACACCAGAACCCACAGCCGCAGACCCAACTCTAGGCTGTAGCATCTTCACTAGCTACATGTCCCTCTGCGCACCGACCACCTCAGCAATGGGCAGCAGCTCCGTCTTAGGCGTCCAAGCAACAGACCGCGCCTTCGCCTCCTGTGCCTGCTACTCATCCAAATACTGGGTCCCGGATGCTCTCGACAGCGCCGCACGAGTTTGTGCCGGCTATGCCACTGCAACCGTCTCGGAGTTCGCGGTGGCAGGTCTAGCTGCGGCTGCGGCGACTGCTTCGAGGATGGAAGGGTTCTGCCAGTCGATGGACAATGTGCGGTACTATGCCTCTGCGCATTTTGGTGCGGTTACACCTACGGCATCTGCTCGCTCCAGCGTAAGTACTTCGAGTGGCGATGGTTCTGGCTCGAATGGAAATGGAGCTGGGGTGGTGCGGGTTAAGCCGTTTGGGTTAGGAGTTATTGCTGCCCTGAGTGTGTTTTTGGGAGTCCCGTATTAGTTTAGATGTAGAACTATGCAACTGCCAGCTCACCATCAGGTACTTAGAAACTTATAGATGCCTCCCGCCAGCTTATAAATCTAGAGTTCCCCTCTTAGCCTCTCTAGAGCGCTCCGCCTAGCCTAGGCACTATTCGATCGTCGAGTTGCATAGCTAAGACAACCTAACCCCCCACAATAGCATATGCTGAGTATATCGCTCTTAGCTCCTTCTTTTATTAGATCCCTACTCTAGTCGTTCGAAATGCAATTAATCAGGCATTAATCGACTAAGAGGATTACGTCTTGCCTTTCTCTAAAAAGCGCAGGCTAACCGAAGTTCTTACCTTTCTAGCGAAAACTAAGTATAGGTCAAATTATATACCTATAGTTTGTATAGAATAGAACTCACCTAGAACAATTTTAAATATCATCCTAGCTATCAACAAAAGCACCTACTCTAATAGAAATGACCTACTACAAAAACTAAAAAGAAGCTTTAAAGAAATATTCTACGTACTTCATGATTCACAATATGGTTAGTCCTTACTATTTTGCATCTAATAATAACCTTTGACAATTTTCCAAAATTATAGATAGGTCTAAGCTTCAAAGGGAAATTTTTGCGTCAATCATCTCAATGTGCTCACCGTGGGTTCTATGCCGGTTGCGACTCAAGCGGAAGGCAACTAAGAGACCTATTTAAGATCTTTTAAGAGAGGCGATATTTAGTACTCGACGGATTAATCCTTAGAAGCTTTATAGCAAAGAGTTATTTGTCACGTTATCATTATTTACCTCAGAGGCGACTAAGGTCATACAACTAGCTAATCGATAGTTAAAGCACTAAGCTCTAGATAAGCTAGGTGATCTTATAGAAGAAATACATCACTTACAACAAATAGCACCACGCTTTTACGATTTGTTAGATCTAATCTCGAATAATAACATAGATCCGTCCTCAAGGTCTAGCTTATTAAATATCATTAGAAAGGTCTTAAGATACTAGGAAGCCGCTAGGCAACTATATCGAACGGCAAAGAAATTTCTATTAGTCCGGAATATGAAAATTCAACTAGCAAGCCTACCCCAAAAGGCATTCAAGGGTTAAATAAACTCTATCGAGTTCTCTAACCCACGTTCCTATTTATCTAGGCTTAGATTCGTTAAGGAGCAACAAAGTATGTCTCAATTGTACTATAAAACATAGTAAGAGACGTATGTAGAAATACTTCTATTATAGGAGCTCTAAATATCTTATTTAGGACTATCTAAAGGACGCTCTAGACGAAGAGAGGGATAAGACGAAGGATTTAGAAAAATAAGAGGGTGTTAGGGATCAGACCAAATTGTGTCAATTGATGGTATGTCCTATGCACAAGAAGGATTCATTAAAGAAAGGAAGAAAGAAAAGGGGAAGAAAGGAGAAACAAGATGCGTGGGTAAACATGGCAGAACGAAAAGGCGGTCAACAGTCACGAAGCTTCAGCTGAGTATAACAATATCAGGACTTCGTACGAAGGTCCTGTAACAGAGGGCTAGTAAGGGTTAATAAGGACTTTACTAGCCGTCTAAAGGAATCCTTATAGGCTTAAATTATTAATATCTAAGACCTATTAGATTCCTAAACCGATTCCGAATCCTCTAAACCTACTCGAGAAGAGCTTATTGTTATAGGACCTTCGTACGAAGTCCTGATATTGTTATACTCAGCTGAAGCTTTGTGACTATTGACCGCCTTTTCGTTCTGCCATGTTTACCTACACATCTTGTTTCCCCTTTCTTCCCCTTTTCTTTCTTCCTTTCTTTAATGAATTCTTCTTGTGCATAGGACATACCATCAATTGACACAATTTGGTCTGATCCCTAACAAAATCAGATTAACCTAAATTCTTTATGAATTATTTCTCAAACTCTACCGTGAAACAGTAATCTATTTTGGTTACTTTCTCAACAATCCCTGCTCACTTGTAATCGTATCGAGTAACAGTAAGAGATGGGCCATTGTTATAAAACGGCAAGGATCCATAGAAACTTGTAGAAGCTCCCATTCAAACAGAAGGTGAGTCTGGGACGCAGGTCACATAGGACTATCGTACAACTCCACTACTTCTCTCATCTATAATTAAATATCTCGTTCGTTTTGGCGCCTTAGGCTCAATTCCTAATTTCTGGAAGATAAAGACATGATGGAGTACGTAACATTGAACTTCGATAGCGAGCCGCGATGCCTATGTCACAAATGCCCCAACACAGCAAACCAAAATCGAAATTTATCTACCACGGCAAAATAATCGCTGCTCCTAGGGCTATCGCTGCTACAGTCGCCCCAAGAACGCCACTAAGTCCATCCCAAGTTGGTGATCGTGAATTAAGCCTTGCTGCCGCATTAGTTGTGCCAAGATCCGTGGGTTGGTGTACAAGCGTAATGGGATAAGCTGCTGTCACTCCAACAAGGGTAGATGTTTCGCTTGGTGCGAAACTGCCATGTAAGGTTTGCGTAATGGGAAGGTCTGACACGAGGGTTTCTAGCTGTCCTTCAATCGTGACGCCGTCGACCCAGATTTCCGTACTCGTGTCCGTCGATATATCAGCGTTCGGAAAGACGCGGACACAGCCCGTCGAAATCTTATAGTCACTAAGTGTAGAATAACAGCCAACTATCTCGTCTGCAGTCATAGAGCTAGGACAGCATATGACCGCTGTTTCGCTTGGGTCGAGTAACTGCATCAGCACATTTGCGGGCAAGTTGAGCGCGAAAATGTTATTGGTTGTTGGAAGGGGTGTGGCGGGACTAAAGATCCCCGTCCAGTTAACGGGTTTAGTTCCGTCGCGCGAAGCAACTCCAACTTCGTGCCATCCTGACGGACAGTATAGACCCGGGGAGTAGTATTGCGCCTGATATACAAGGCTCGGGTTATTGTTGTACGAAGTACCAGACGGCAAATCAGTGATTGTGCCCGTTGGCCTGCAACGCCAATATTCGGTGTTGATGTCACAGCTGGCGTGAGCTAGCCAGACATCTGGAAGGCTGGACGGGGCAATATTGACATTCCAGGAGCTTTGGCAAGAGGCAGGCGGCGTGAATGTAGTGGTGAGCGGTCCTACGTTGGTAAACGTATAGGCCGAGATGATTGAAGCAGACGGCATGGTTGCGGATTGATTAGATTTTTCAATTCAAGAGAATAAAGCAATCTCAGGCACCAGGACTAAGAGGGCCTATTACCATAGATAAATAGGGGGGAGGAACATGGCGCAGTAGCTAAGCCCAGCACGGGGCTCGCTACCGTAGTATTAGGTTAGCGTGGTTGAGGCTCGCGCGTAGGGTAGTATATGCCGAGCATAAGAAATCGCACCAATTGTAAAGTCCACTGAAGGGCAGGCACCGGCTCGGAAGAATTGGGGGAGAGACAAATGTTAGAAAGATTTTCATATTAGGATAGTTGGTTGAAATCCCACTTCTATACGGATGCAGCGCCGTTACTACGATAATATCTTACGGGACAGCGAGGTACAGGGGTATTGCCTTAGTCTAGTTGCAGCTAATAGAGACTAGCCTTTCATAGGTGGGAAACCTACCCCCGACATGGCACAGCCGGATCGTCAGAAACCAATCGCTTACATCGCTTGATAGTCCCCCTTTTTTTACCCGTCATTATTTATATACATTTGATTCCCCACAACTAAAACATTCTAGTGGTTAGTGTGTTGCCTACCATGGACAAAAGTAGTATGTGGATGACAATATTATGACTATAGGGAAAGATCCAGCTATTTGTAGTCGCAGTAGCTCACCTCCCTATTGCCTAGCGGAGTGGCAGCCTAACAGATAGCCACTCCTACAGGTCTATATACAACACGTGACCTAGGGATCCAATTTAATTGCGAGGGGTCAGGGTAAATGAAAATCATCCATCCACTATGCTGTAACACAACTAGTTCTTGATTAAGACCCTGTACCTTTTCACTAAACCACTTTGGTCATGATCTTTTAAGTTAATTGGCTGGAATTTGAGGTTCGTGAGGGTCACCCTAAGGGTTGTGAGTGTAACGGGCCAGAGTAGCTGTCTGATCACGTGCAAGCACGCGACCCACGACCATTGTTTATCGACTTCGCGCACCTAGATAGCTCTCCTCTCCACGCTTTTAGTAAATTGCGATTGGCATCTCCAGTTGGCATACCAACTCGACTCAGCGCTTCACAGGTATTAGAAGTTCACCTAGTTATATGTGGCCCACGCGAGAACTAACTTAGTCTCCTCTAAGTCTATACGGAGGGCGGCTAGATCGTCATAGATCTCCTTTCGCTTCGTAGGAGACTAATAGGTATTAACGTGAGGAGGTTTTCTATCCAAGACGGACGATATAGGAGTAGACTATATAGGTGTCAAAATCGTACGACGGCTAGGGGACTATATAAAAACTGGCTACGAGATTAGTATCGATATGACTTATAGAGGCAATTAGAAAGCTATAGGCGTAGGAGATATCCGTATAGAAGTGGTCTATGCCAGAGTGTTTACTACCCGCATCCTCTTATATAGTCACGGCTCCCTTAGTGACTAGCTTCTCCGTAAGAGATGTGATTGATTCTATCTCGGGCTATGTAGCGACCACCTTTGTGGGCTTCTTCACACGGAGCTTCTTCGTGGGAGACTTTATGGATGCATCCTCGTCCATGCCTTCCTACAACAATGCCTATATGAAGTCGAGTATAACCTCGTCCTTACGAAAAGAATAGGCGTGTGCTTCTGTCTGCTAGGCACAACTCATATAGGCCCTACCAAAGATTGCTTTTCTAGGCGAAAACAAGGCCACCTTGTACGAAATGAAAGCCTTCGTCGTACTAGAATTCTTGTACTGTACGCAACTTTCCATGTGGGGCAATAATACTAGGTTATTAACTAAAAGCTATACGGCGTTAGGTAGGGTTTCGAATAGGTATATATCTAGGAATGCTATCCACAGGCTTCTACTCCACGTTAGCCACGTTTCTGCCTTGAGAGATCAACCCGTATAGTGCCTTTTCTTCTACGGTTAGACCTTCTAGAAGCAACGGGTTCCCATAATCGTCTAAGGATGATATCTTCGACAATATGCCTATACGAACATCAATAAATGGTCACAAGAGCACTATATAGAGACTTACCCTTCGTACGAGCAACATTCTATGCGAGCGACTCAAAGTCATGCCCAGGATATCTCGCTTAGGCGTCTCTACTGCTACGTGCTAAGCCCCTATGGCGTTAGTATGCGCCCTTATCATAGGCACACGGTCACTCTCATACAATTCTGAAAAAAACAACGCCCACAATGCTCTAAAAGACAACATACGTGGTTTCCCAGATGCGTACAGCCTATCATTTACAAGTTCTATACGAAAAAGTATTCTTCACAACCTCGAGGGCGAGATTTGGAGTTAGTAGGGGAGGATGTGAGATCAGGAACGTCCGTACAAAATCCTTACTGATCACGTGGCATTAGCCTCTTAAATCAGATACATCAAAGGCAAGCCTGGTACTGTAGAAGCCATTACCGACGAGAGTAGAGGATGCAGCACATTCCGCCGTGATCCTCACCCTTCAACTCATCTTGAAAATAATTACCGGTAAGTATCTAGTAAGTAACTCATCTCTACAACCCATTCCTGCACAAGCAGCACCACTCAGGCTTCTCCGAACAGCAATTTCCATCTACTCATCATCGCGGATATCGACGACCGTCTGCTTCCACTTGCGAGCCGGGACACGGCGCCGGAACAGAATGTCGATCTCACGGAAGGACCTGTGCTTCATCTCTGGAATCCACATCCAAGCCATGACGGTGCAGACAAAGGCGGTACCAGCCCAGACGTAGCCGCTCCTCCCGCCCAGGTTCCACTTCTCAGAGTTGAGCATGTAGCTGGCAAGGAAGATGCAAGGAATATTGACCAAGTAGTAGGCACCTCGTCCAATACCGGTTGTCAGTGGCCTGAGACGAACGGAAGATGTCTCGCCGATGATGACCCATGAAGCAGGGGCGGGTCCCAAGCAGAACAGGACGGAGACGATCAAGCCAAGTGATGCTTGCGCATTGCGAGTCGCGTTACTATCGTTACATGAAGCCGCAATACCGAGGAAGATCAAGAATGCACAGTTGATGAATTGACCATAGACATAGATGGTGCGTCGGCCGAGGTATGTGGTGAGGACCCAAGATAGCATAACCATGATCCACTGGAGGGCAGAAGTGATGAGACCAAGTGCGAATGCGGTCTGTTCCGCCATGCCGGCCTCTGAGCTGGTGTTAGTCTGCTATGAGGTTGCAGGAAATGGCTAGACTCACGTTTGAAAAAGTAAACCGCTTGGTTAGCAATCAGATTGCCCGTCAGATTCTGAGATGCGTACACACCGCACACAATCAATGTGCGGTAGCGATCGGTACCTTTCCACAGTTCAATGAGACTGGGCTGCTTCTCAGTCTTCTCGAGTTCGATCGTGCGACGCATCATTGCGACTGCGTCAGCGGGATTATCATTTGCACTCGCGCGTCCAAGGCGTTTGACAGCCTTCTCCGCCTCAGCCAGACGGCCCTTTCGTACGAGCCACCAGGGCGATTCAGGCGCAAAGAAGAGTAGGATAGCGAGGGGAGTAGGAAACATCCACTGGAGGGCAATGGGAACTCTGGGATGACTGTTAGTCCAGTGCTCCTCGATGGCATCTATGGGAGCGGACGAACCTGTACGCTGACGAGTCGTTCTTGGATTGGTAGTGGTAAGTGATACCGCCGACTATGATCGACCCAATCGCCCAGAACATCTGCAACATCTGCGTCGCTGGAGCTCTCAATCTCATTGGCACAATTTCGGCACAGTAGGCGGGTGCATTGGCGATAAAAATGCCCCACGGGATGCCTTCCAGGATCTGGGACGCGAAAAACATCCCATTGCTGTTGCCGAAATAGAAGATGAAGATGAAGCCGTTCAAGCACATGAGACCGCCAATGGTTGCCCATCGATATCCAATCCAACTGGTAATGGGACCTGCGATGAATACACCGATAAAGGCACCGATTGGCCCGCTACACTGGAATGCTGACTGCCATGAAGCTTCGATAAGCCACCCGTTTTTTTCGCTGTATACACCAAAATCCTTCGCGAATTGATGTGTGGCTACGAACTGTCCCATTAAGAAAACACAGTATGACTCCATGATCTATCGCAACGTTAGAGAAATGATCTGCTTGTCATGGGCAAGAGCTTACAATGGTGAATGACATCACGAATGCCCACCAGCTGGCAGCGGGATAGGCCTTGACAGCCTGGAGCACAGTCATACCATGTTCGACCTCCTCGGCATCGATGGCGCCAGCTCTGTCGTAGTCGACCTTCTCGTCGACATCGTAAGCAGGTCCGCCCTTGGAGGTGGGCTGCGCCTCGATCTCCGACGGTGAGGTCTGTTTCTCTGTGATGTCGCTATTCATGTTGACGATTTCTGAGAGAAACGGGTGAATGAAAGAGACGCAGGCACGACTGGGGGTTTCAGAACTTTATATCTGCGACAACACGCGCGTGATGGTGATCCCGATCTTAACTTAATTGAGTGAAGCTTGCCCCGGACCTTGACCCCTCAGCCCAACATCTCCACTCATGAAGGTCATTTTTCCCGGCACTACTGTAGCAGCGTCACTTGATTATGGTAGGCTCTTGTCGAGCGAAGTAACCTGATAGGTACTAGTCGGGAAAAAATGTACCGGTTCCTTTGCGGGGTCTGCTAAAGTGGCAATCTGGTGGTACGGTGTGGTGGTGTGGGTCTAGATGTGGCGTTCCATTCGCCGGAGAATTTCCTGCTTTGGATCGTAGGGGAGAGTCCAGAATCCTCCCTCCTTCAGTTAGTGCAAATCATGCCTGTGCCCCGTCGCAAGGTTTTTTCTTGTTTTGCACTCTGAAATCGGACCCTCCTCCTGTCAAGGTGGTTCAATTCTCTTGAGCCTATCATAATGAGCGAGTAAATTTAACCGAGGAGCTGGGAGTGGATAAGCGCTAATTATTAGTTAGCGCTGTGCTTGACTCCGGGTATCGAGTACCACGGGCAAATGTTCAGCAAACGTGACCCATTCAGAATGTCTTCGAACGCTGGCCTCCGAACATGAAGTCGGATGCTCATGATGCTTGATCTCTCTATCTCTGTAGAATACCATGCTCAGTGGGAGGCAATTAGACGTGCAGGGTCCAAGATAAATATTATCGATCTTTAGAGAACCTGACGAATCCCAGAGTTGGACACGGCTCGGTGTCATCTCATCCGCGGGCTATGGGCTCGGCCAGTTTTACCCCGGACGGTCACTACCCCGTGCCATGACCCCGGACGGATCCTGAATCCCTTCCAATGGAGAAAAGGAGAAATACCGAAATTGAAGAGTACAAAATATTAAATTGCATGAAAAGGAGCAGTACAGTATGTGTATGTGTAGTTCATTTACCCTGACCCCTCGTCGAAGTTGAGACCTTGGATTGAGGTACAAGTGTGATAATCATTCTCTAACCCAATGGGCTAAAAGGCCACGAGTTCGGATGGCCTGTGCGGGTGGCCCTCCACTGGGGTTTCACCATTTCTGGGGATGCGGGGGCCCCAGACGGGTTTAGTTAGTGCTTATCTGGCTACCGCGCTCTGCGTTCTGAGTCTCGCCGGTGTGGTTAGCGCTGGAGGTGGTGGTTGGTGGAACCAAGCACGTAACTAAAGTCTAGGGCTTCGGTGATTAGTTCAGCGACATGCGGCCGGATTAGTGTCCGACGGAAGATCGCGAGTGTCCAATAATAAAATCGGCTTCAACGTATATACACCATACACCAAACATGCAGATCATCTAGCATCTAAAGAAGACATTGCTAGAAATGATCCAACCCGCAACCAACGAAGCAACCCGGCCTCCTCTCCTGCTCGCGCCGTGGTTGGTGGAAATGTGCACGGCCTGGGCTAACCCGTTCATCCCGTTTGTGGACTAGTGCCGACGCCTCAATCCCTGGACCCGGAGCTAGGGAAAGGCGTGAAACGACACGGTCCTTTCGGTTGATATTGGCTAAGCTGGGTGTCTCGGAGTGCAAGGACCCCTCGGCTAGATGTCCTCGTAGCCGAGTCTGAGGGCTGTATGGGGATTATGGTCCGACGGAGTGTCTGTAGTCGCTATGCCGGTAAGGGAGGGCGCGACGAAGACGGGGCGTAAGCAGAGTGATCAAGAAGTGATTCCTTAATTAAACAGCTTCTAGGGCCGGCTAATAGTTCAAACCTTCGTGGTTCGGCGACAAAATACTGCCTGCCCTGGGTCGTCGGTTATCACTTGCTTTCATGCTCGGATTGTTGAGTGGTGATGGGACTCGTTCTGCTTTGGAAAAGGGGCTAAGTTTGATCCAGAGGATCATAAATTTTACCTAGTGTGCGAATTGGGCCACCAAGAAAAATAGAAATCGGAACTTGCATACCAATTCCGAACCCCCGGTCAATTCACTGAATACTGGTATTGCACTGGCGTACGGGTACTGCTAGGTGGCTGGGTTCAAATGGATGAGGACACCCGAGTGTCGTGTCTATGGAGCAATCTCCAAACTACATACACCATTTTGGTCAAGCGAGGAGGTGCCGCTAACCTCTGGCCCGGTATGATGGAGATACTTTCCATGCTGCTGAGTACGGACATTCTGCAATGACACCCAGGTCGGACGAATGCCCTGCAGACTAGATCGTTGAGCGGGATGCAGCACATGCTCAACTGCTCATTATCGACCACCGCGAGGATGGCTCGTTAGATTTTGTGGTCACCATTCGCAAAGAAGTCGGTCATTCGCTTCAGATATATCGCAAATAACACTACTTGAAACATCATAATACTACTCGTTGGCGCAAACAATACACTCTGGCAAGGTGATTGGGAAATCGACTTCTGCGAAAGTAATCACTTTTTTATACATTTGCCAATCGTGCCTTGGCCTTGTACGATATACATGATATTAAGCTGCAGAGCGATCACCTTGGTTTACATCAACCGAGTGGGTAAACGGAGACTTCTCAAGCAGGAGCAATCAATACCTGAAGTAGTTTCAAAGAGGCTTCCCCTCGTCAAACTTCGATTGGTCGACTTTGCTGCAATTTCAAAGAGCAGTTGAAGATCATTTAAGACGGATATTCTTGCAGGTATTCATAGGCAGGTCTCTATGGCATATTCCTTCCTCTGGTTCGGGGACGGTGGAAATTCTACCACCTATTAAAAAAGCGATGTAAAAAAAGCATGCTGATATTGCTACCTTATCCCCACAAAACACAAAAGCGAGCGGCATTAAGACCTGCTGTACACATCCAACACCCGCGATCCATCAACACTGCACAGCCATAAGTATGAAGCAGTCCGTAAAACAAAAATACCCAAATACAAATAAAGAAGAAAGTGCCATCCGTTGCAAATGATGGCATGAAAGAAAAAAAGACAAAACGACCACGAAGGACAAACTACAGGAGAACCAGACTGGCGCCGAACAGCGTCGAGAGAGCCGTCACCAGACCCATAATCATGGAAGCCGTGCTCAGACCAATAGGCTTGACGGCAACAGCGGCAGCGCTGGATGAGGCACCGCCGGAAGAACCGCTGGAGGAACTATCATCGGACACCGAGCCCGAGCCGGGAGCCGCAGTGCCGGTGGACTGGGTGCCTGCTTCCATGCTACCGCCGCCGCTGAATCCCTTGCCCTTTCCAGCTCCCTGCGTCAGGTACTTCTTGGCAGGGGCGGGCATGGCAGGGAGAGAATCGTTGTCAACATCCCAGCTGGGCGAGTTCTTAGCTGGGCAGGGGTTGGGACCGCCGGTTGCGTTGTAGTTACCATCACCGCTAGGGTTGGAAGTCTTGGAGAAGGCGGTCTTGAGGGCGTCGTAGTCGGGAAGCTCCTTGACGTCGTTGCCGCTGATCTTGACGAGGCCGTAGTTGCTCGATTCTTCAGAGTACTCGTAGACCAATCCCCCGGAGTAGACGGAGGTCATCTCGGTGGAGTACAGAGCGCTGACTTCCTCGAACTTGCGCTCGTTGGTGTTGCAGCCATACTCGGACAGGAAGAGTGGAATGCCATATCCGGTGAAGTTCTTGACCTTCTGGTCCCAGCCGGAAATGGTGAATGAGGAAGGATCGCACCAGGAGTAGTCGTTGAAGGCGAAGAAGTCGCTGCGCTCGTCGTCGGGGCCGCAGTTCATGTACTCGGCCATCTCCAGGCGGTTGGTGTCGATATCAGCCTATCTAGTGATTAGCACTGATTGGTTATCAAGGTAAAAAAGACAAACCGCGGAGTATCCAACAGGCACATGGCGCAGTTTCCGCGCACGAAGGTAGGAACGAATATCCCGAGTTACAGCCTTGACGTAAGGGGCAGCCTTGGAGGAAGGACCATCGTTGATGACCTCATTGCCAGAAAAGAAGGCCAGTGTGTTGTCGTACTTGGCAAACATCTCCACCGTGGCAAAGACGTACTGCAGGTAGACATCATTGTACGAAACCTTGGGGTCGGCGCGGTTAATGGCGTACTTGGGTGTGTTGACATCGAGAACGAGGTAGATACCCGCCTCCGCGAGCGCGTTCATGCACTCATCGTGGTCCTGGGAGTTGTCCACCGAATAAACACGAACGGTATTTAGACCCAGATCCTTGAACTTCTGGATATCACGCTTGCAGCCATCCGCATCGGCGATGGGATCGGCCAGCTTGGAGGAGCCGCCGGGCTGATAGTCCACACCACGGATGTAGAAACGGTCGTTGCCTTGGAAGAAGGCGTTGCCCTTGACAGTGATGGGGACAACTGAGCCTCCCAGGACGGTAGAAGTACCCAGAAGGACGGCAGTGGCCACGGATGTGACGGTGGTCTTCATGGTTGAGTGAGTGTGATGAAGTGGTTGAAAAAGAATGGCGGGTCGTCGGATTTCGGGGTTGTCAAAAATGAAAGTGATGGGAGAAGAGAACGAGCGGGAAGTGAAGAGAAGAAGAGGAATGTAGGACAAGAAAGAAGGAGAAGGAAGGGATGAAGGGTGTGGTGTCGCACCTTCCTGGAGAATGTTCAGGTTGTGTGACTGCAAGGGAGGAAGGAGGTATACGCAGGCACAGAAGTATAACATTATCGACCCTTTCTACTCGGTACAAGTTACCTACTCTGTCCGTCGTTTCTCCAACTGATTCGTCCCATGAACCCAATCCAGCAAACCAATTGCCCCGTAATTCAAATTGAACTTCTCATGATGCAAATCATGCATCTTGGCCTTATTCCGAAAGAAATCATAGCCGCTATGCACGGTAGCCGTTTCGACCAGCTCGAACGCCAAGAAGATCCAAAAGGTAATCAGATGGCTGTGCAGGAGCTGCGGCGGAAGGGATATGGGCAGCACATTGGCGAAGATCTGCTCAATCGGATGCGCGAACTGCGCCGCCAGCGCGATCGGCGCGGTGAAGCGGTGGTGTTGCTTGTGGATGCGCTTGTAGAAGTAGGGGACGTGCAGCAGGCGGTGGCTGTAGTAGAACATGGCCTCGCGCATTAGGAGACATAGAATGACATCGCGACATATCTCGGCGGGGCCGGGGAGGGACGACTCGATGCGATATGATGAGGCGGAGCCGGCACGGCGGGCGATGAAAAGGAGACCGAGATGGAGGACCGAGGAGATGATCTGGTTCCGCGTCACGACCATGAAGCAGTGCGCGATCTCGCGGCGCGTGGGCTGTTTCGGGGCGGGCTGGATCTTGTGCCGCTGGGAAAAAGCGGGTGCGACGGCATCCAGGCACAAATAGCAGCTGGACAGGAGCCAGAAGGACAGCACCTGGACTAGAAATGTGCCGACGAACTCGATCTGCTGGGGCGAGTAGCTGGCCACCACATTGGCCCAGTGTTTCTGGATAATATTCATAGTTGAACAGATGTTGGGGTTAAGTCTGGGGTGTGCGGTCTTTTTAAGTTGTGCCTCGGTCCCCATAATCGATCGACGAAAGCCATCGCGCCAATGAAGAAATGGTGGATCTCGGCTGAAATTAGTGCAGCTTCATGTGATGATGAAGTAGAAAATAGACATAGATATAGAGCAATGTTGACGTGAAGCTCTAATGGCCCGAAAGCAACCAGGGAAGGCACGCCTGCCAGGCCCGATCCATTATTTACACCTTCCGTCCTCTTCTTCTCTTCTTCTCATCTTCACTCGTTTCTTACGTAGCACATCATATATCCACTTTCCCAATCCAAAGTATATATCCCCCATGCAACCACAACCATAACTAACACCCAACACAGATGCACAAGTACATCGAATACATGCTCAGCCAGCTCTTCTCCAGCGCCAAAGGCCAGGACGACAAGCTCTTCACCGCAGGACCCGCCTTCGCAGATCATCCAGAGCCAACAATCGAGCTCGCTTGCCCAGAAGTAGGCCCGTCTGGATCGGAACTCCACGTGGATCACTCGGCCAACGGCGCAGGACTCTTCCCGGGACTGAGTTGGCCCGCGGGCTCAGACGAGATCAAGCAATACCTGCTCGTCAGCGAGGACCCGGATGCGCCGTTGCCCGATCCCCTCATCCACGGCATCTACTACGGCATCGCGCCAAGCGTGACAGGCGTCAACTGGGAGGATCTCGAGCTGGCAGATCAGAGTGATGAGCCTTACCTCCTCAAAGGTGGATTCAAGTATGGCAAGAACCGTGGTGGCAATGTCTATATCCCGCCTCAGCCGATGCGCGGGCATGGACCGCATCGGTATTTCTTTGAGCTCATTGCGCTCTCCCAGCTAATTAATGTTACTGCGCTGAGTGCTGTGCCGACTTCAGTGGAGATCCAGGGCGCAATTGATGGGAATGTGGTTGGATGGGGCGAGTGGGTGGGTGTGTATGAGCGCGACTGGGAGTGAGGATTTGATGGTGGTGTTTTGGGCGTTAGTTTTGGATGTGGTATGGACGAGACTCGGTGGTGTTGATTGCTTTTGATTACTTGCATGCGTTATAGATATACCCCTTACCCGACTGGCGATTCGGCGAAATGAAGGATTTGTATATTATTCTTCAAATGGGAGTACATTCATTCTTCCTGGTTGTTCACTGTCAGCGTAGTGCAGGAAAGGTACGGTTGTTAATTTCGTGGTCAGCTTCAGATGCCGGTCGGCCAGTCAATAACTGTGCATTCAGAACAGCATAGATATTATCACGAGACTAACTCTCATCTTATTATAAGACACCAGTCCAGACAATCCCCCTTGACTATTATTTCTCCCCTGCCAGTGGGATACTCTCCCCCTGCCTCTTCCCCTGATTCCCGGAGGGTGAACAAGCCCCTGTACTACAACTCTAGTACATGAACCTGCAAACAACGTAACAGAGATAGTCAGCTCAGGCTCAAATACCGGGCTGGAAGACTCTGTACTTAGGTAACCGACAGTGCAACGTCTCGCATCAGGGCAGTTCCAAGACAGATTTCCAACGCGGCCATCACACCCTATGTATCGATCTATTTGAGTGGGCTCGTGGTACCGAGAATACTTAATCAATAGTTTGTCCCTGCACCGTAATCACTGTCGCTCCTGTATTTGTCCGTTTCTATCAGCAGAAGAATTTTATCGAACACAGGTTTGAATCGAAAGCCTTCAGTCAGGTTAGTGTAACAGAAGTACGTCGGCCAAAGCAGTTGATTGTTAATTGCGCGGAAGATGATTCCGGGAAAGGAAAGGCAAGGCGCCTATCCACCCAACTGGTGGCCAGAGCAAAACATGACCTGCCAAGATAACCGTCGTTCCTGCCCCTGGCGGGGAACTCCCGGGAACCACTAAATATAATCCACAGTCATAGTGAAAACTCTCAGAAAGGGCAGGGCTGCCACCTCTGCATGGTGGCGTCTAGCGTGAACCATGCGGCAGGAATCGAGATGGATCACATTGGACCCATAAGAGAGGACATTATTATTATACTTATCGCTTCTCATACAGCCCCATAGGTAATTTAATGCCTAACTCTCCACTAATATAGTGAGGCGCAAAGTAAATACGCCCAACCATTCGCTGATTTCGAACCCGAGCCCGCTCATCGCATATCATACCACACCACATGCACAACCCTCCCTGGGCCCTGCAGATGGACAGGGCACATAGGGCGCATAGGCACCATCCAGCCGCAGTGCCATAAAGCCATTGTTCCTGATAGCACGGAGGTTATTATAACACCGCTGGGCCTATTTATACAAGGAGGAATTCCCTGGTGGGTGATTGCGGAGCCGTGGATTCCTGGCATTTTCAGCGGAGAGTCTGCCGAGAGGTCTTTTTTTAATATTTTTGCATAGTCAGCAGTCAATATGTTTTCTCTTAGACATATTGTGCCGATTCTCTTGCTGGGGGAGCTTGTCGCGGCCGGCTTTGCGTGTCCGGGTTTGGAATGGTGCGGGCCTAGTATGGTCGCGGTGCGGAAGGAATGGTTTGTATAGCCTCGCCTACTCCAGTCTTGTCTTGTGCTGATGATGAAATGTATGGTATCAGGGGCGAATTGACCGCCGCAGAACGGATAGACTATACCAGCGCAGTCGTGTGTCTGCACCACAAACCAGCCGAGCTGCCCAGCGCCGAATATCCCGGCGTCAAAAGCCGACTCGATGATTTCGTGGCGTGCGTGAACGATCAAATCGTGCTCTGGATGTTGACTGATACCTAGTAACTATAGTACGCACATCAACTACACCCTCCGAGTCCATTATGACGGACTCTTTCTCCCCTGGCACCGGCGATATCTCTGGCTCTGGGAGCGGGCACTGCGAGAGGAATGCGGATACAGAGGGCATCTGCCGTGAGTGTTTCTAGCTTCAGGACCCAACCAGCCCTCCCTAACCACGCAGACAGATACTGGAACTGGCCACTATGGGCCGACAACCTCGCCGCCAGCCCCCTCTTCGACGGCAGCGAGACCTCCCTCTCGGGAGACGGGGTATACGATCCGAACGAGCAACCCCTCACAAACGGCAACCTCACCATCCCGCGAGGCACAGGCGGCGGCTGCGTGCGCGGCGGCCCCTTCAAAAATATCAAGCTACACCTAGGACCCTTCTCGCGCACACTCACATCTTTCACAGAAATCCCCTCCCCAGGATTCGCCTACAACCCCCGCTGCTTCAGCCGCAGTCTCAACGACTGGGTAGCGAGCCGGTACACGAACCGGACGATCGTCGAGACTTTGCTCGCCTCAAGGGATATCAACGAGTTCCTCACCGTCGTCGACCACTGGCCGCCGCGGATGGACGGGGTCTTCGGCGTCCATGGCGGCGGCCACTTTAGTCTCGGAGGAACCATGCAGGATCTCTTCGCGTCGCCGCAGGACCCGGCTTTTTTTCTGCACCATGGTATGGTCGATCGCATGTGGGATATTTGGCAGGACCGGGATGAAGAGACACGGCGGTATGCACTTAATGGGACGGGGGTTATTCTTAACCCGCCGAGCGCACCCCTCGTCACCTTGGATACGGTAATGGAGTTTGGGATTTTAGATCGGCCGCGCACGGTGAGGGAGGTCATGAGTCCGGTGGAAGGTGGACTTTGTTATACATACACTTAGCTGGTCGATTGTACTTAATTAGGAACCAGGCACATTCGCTGGGTGAGACAAATGGATACGATGATGATGACACGACTTCTATTTTGGGTGATCCCGGGCCAATCAGTGAGGTGAGTGAGTATCCACGGTTATGAGGCGGGTGGGACCGAGCAGGACTGAGTTGTTCTGAAAGCGTCAATGGAAATAATAATCATGGTCAGTGTACTCCGAACGGTGCAGTACCTAGAATAATCATCAGCATCGTCCGTGTAGACATAGTCCCGAAACACCCAAGCCAAGCTCAAGATCGGCTCCGCCACATCGGAACCTCAGGCTCCACTCCAAATCCGGAATCTCTTGCTTGCTTTCTGGTTTTTCCCTCTTCTCTTTTTTTATTTCCTTGTCTCACCTCTTGTTCCTTCTCTGTTCTTCTTCCTTTTCTTCCTCCTCTTCCACCCCGTCCTCCAGAGATTGTAAACACCCACACCCACCATGCTGCGTCTCAACATTCTTCAGATCTTCCTTTCGCTGATCGGCCTCTTCACACTTATCTCGGCGGAGCAGTCCCCCACTCCCACCACCGACGACCTCACCCACCGCGAGGCCATCCAGAAGCTGCTCGCCAACATCAACGAGGACTCCATCCACAATGCCCTGCATACCCTGTCCGAGAAATTCCGCGACGGCATCTTCCCCAATGACCAGGCTGCGGCTGAGGCGATCCGCGAAGATGACGAGAGCCTCTCGGAACGCCTGATGAATCTCGTCAAGAGAGATGTCAAAAACAACACTGCTCACTCGGACAATGTTTCGACCACTCCTCCGTCCCAAGCTACTACCACGGACTCCACCACCACCACTACGACGGAGACCTCGTCCAAGCCCACCACCACCACAACCACCACCACCACCACTACTACAACTACTACCACCACCACCTCGTCAACCGCCGACACTACATCCACTACCACCACCACGGAGTCGACGACAGCCCCCTCGTCCCACACGACTTCCTCCGGCACCCCGACGACGTTTTCCACAACATCCAGCTCGCCCGTCACATCCAGTTCTTCGGTCTCCTCGAGCACCACCACCAATGCATCCACCTCCACCTTCCAGAGCACAACCACCTTGCCCGACGGTACTGTCCACACCGTCACCGCCATCACCGTGGTGCATCCGAGTGCAACGGACTCCACTTCCACGGACACCAAGCCAGCCCCCGGTCTGCAGACCGGCGCTGCTGCCCTGACGACCGGCTTGACTCGCGAGGTCATTGCCATGGTCGGCGGCGCTGTCGTGGTCGCCATGGCTCTGTGATGGTGATGGTGATGCCATCTCCCTCTATTTCCATCCTGGATTTGCCATGATTACGAGACATCCTTCGCATCTTTTTTTTAATCTTTTCAGTGGCGTTTTTCTCTGCACAAGTTCAAGCATATCACAGCAAAGCAACGGTCCTTTTGCATCTTCTCATGACTCACGTCATCTTACGATCCTTACGCACGACCCACGAGTTTCCTACTCCCGTCTCTCCTTTCTCAAAGCATTTCCCATCGGCTGGCAGCGATTTCTGATCTTATTTCGGTGATGCGGATCTGCAATTTGTACCACACGCAGCGTCACCATATCTACATGTGAATTAGTTAGATCTTTCGGAGTGGACATACAAGAACACTTAGTTCCTGAACATCTTGCGCGTAGACATGTGCATTCATTATATTCAACTAAATGCAAGGGTATGTACGTATGTATGTAAAAAAAGCTCTCAAGCAAAAATAAGTACCGAATCCGAATATCCCACATCTCCTCTAACCTCCTCACTGTCACCGACCAATACCAGCAGCACCCTGCCACCTCTCCTCCCCAGTCCAATACCGCACCACACTCTCCCACCCAGCTAGATCCCCGTCCCTTAACAGCGCCGCAACATCCACATTGAGCGGCGAGTCCGGCTGCGGATCTGTCAGCAGCTGGTGGATTGCCGTCAGCGTCGTCGAGAGCGTGTACACGGGACTCCAGTGCTCGGTGGTCAAGAGCGTGAGACAGATCTCGCCTGTCGTGAAGGAGATGTTCGGGTGGGAGATGCGCGTCGCGAAGTGGATGGTTGGCGGCGCGAGCGGGTAGTTCGATGGGATTGCGATGCGGAGATGCCAGAGGCCGCCTTTTTTTTAATTCATTCATGTTAGTTCAGTTCATTTCGGTTCGGTCCAGTTGGGATATCTATCAGACACTTGGGGGGAAGAAACACGCGAACGACATACCCTCATACGGTGTCCCGGCCACGCCTTTTAGCACAGCCTCCCAGTGGAGCAGGTCCTCCTCGTCGACGGGGCCGAGGTGCAGAAGGGCTTCGTTGGGTGACTTGGTGTAGTCTTTCAGCTCGCGCAGGAGGCGTTGCGTTGTGCTGGATGAGGGTGCGGATGACGACATTGGGAGTGGTTGGAATGTGCTGAATGAGAGTCGGTGTAGCCGAGGGAGGAAGAAGGGAGAATGCAAACGGTATTACGATAGGAGGTGAATAGAGAATGAACAATGCGACTGCACTGGCTGTCGCGCCGGAGAGGGGGGAGGAGGTAGAGGAGGTGAAAAGAGGAAGAAGAAGAGGAGCCGAATCTGGGAAGCGCCGAGGTTGTTGGACTGGACCGTCTGTTCCCCCGGACGAACCAAATCTCCACCAAGACTCATCCACCACCCCATGTGAAATCTACACCAATTCGTCCTCCGTCCACCCTTTTCATCATGCGCACTTCGCGTGCCTCTAAAGAAACAGCCAAAGTGCTACAGGCGCTGTCACCCCCTCCGCGCCGCCAGACGCGTAATTCCTCGCTCAACGCCAGCGCGTTGAAAACGTTCGCCTACAACGCCAATCCGCAAGTCAACCCCCATCCCGCTGTGAAAAGTGAAGATGAGTCCTCTCTCTCCTCTGCCCACACAGCAGACATCGAGGATCTGCTCGAACCGCCCTCGAAACGTCGAAAGAACAACACGGCCCAGTCGACCGCGGTTCGCAAGCCCCGTTCAACGCCCTCCAAGGCTGCCGTGAAGCCCGAATCCGATGAGAACCAACCCCCAGCACATTCGCGACGACTCCCAGCGCGAAAACAACGCGGCGCGGATGGTTCAGTTACTGTTGAACCGCCCTCGAATTGGGAGGCCATGTACAACCTCGTGAAACAAATGCGAGAGGAGAACCCCACTGCGCCGGTGGACACGATGGGCTGCGCAGAGCTCTACTGGCGCGCATCCTCGCCCCGAGATCGCCGGTTCCAGACTCTTGTGGCACTGATGCTCTCGTCTCAGACCAAGGACACTGTGACGGCCGTGGCCATGCAGCGGCTGCATACCGAGCTGGGCGATGCACCAGCAGATGATATTAAAGTCAAAGCAGAAGAAGATCATCTTTCCGAATTTACCAAGATCAAGACCGAAGAAAAGGAAGACGACAAGAAGCTCCCCGCGCCAAAAGACAGCACACTCAATCTCGAGAACATCCTTGCCGTCTCGCCCACCCGCCTCAACGAACTCATCCACACAGTCGGCTTCCACAACAACAAAACAAAATATATCAAGTCCGCTGCCATCATCCTCCGTGATGAGCACAACTCCGACATCCCGTCCACCCCCGAAGCACTAATGGCACTCCCCGGCGTAGGCCCCAAAATGGCCTACCTGTGCATGAGCGCCGCATGGGGACAACACGAGGGCATCGGTGTGGACGTGCACGTCCACCGCATTACCAATCTCTGGGGCTGGCATAAGACCAAGACCCCTGAGGAGACCCGCAAGGCATTGCAGTCGTGGCTTCCGCGCGATAAGTGGCATGAGATTAACAAGTTGCTTGTTGGTCTAGGGCAAACGGTTTGTTTGCCAGTTAAGAAGCGCTGTGGAGATTGCTGTCTTGCTGGTACGAAGCTGTGTAAGAGTGAGATCAAAGGGTTGCCCAGCACGGGGATTGTTGTTAAGAAGGGTAGTCCGGAGGAGGAGCCGAAGGTGAAGGTTGAGATATCATGATCGTGTGTATTTTATAGGAAATGTACAGCTATAACTCAGTCGTTGTATATTCTCTCACTGATCCCAGGCGTAACCATGCAATTGTCAACTATTCCCCTCGATATGATCAGGGACTGTATAGTTGACGATGACTAACTCAACCCAAGCTCCCCACTTAAGCTCCGACGATAAATACCATCTTTCACTGCTTCCTCAGTTCCCGCCACCATGGCCTTGCATATAGACCACAGAGACCAATTCCCCATATCCGCCTGGGCCGAAAAGCAACTCTACCTCCTCGACAAAGAACAAGAAGCAGAAGCCAACTCCTCCAAACTTGCGGGCACCGCCGCCTCCGTCTCCCCGTCTACCCGCCGCACCCTCCAAGCAGCCGGGTACGCCCTCACAGGGCTCGTGCTCTCACAATGCCGTACTGGAATGGGCGGGCGTGTTGTCGGCGAGTTCACGCCCGACCCCGCGATTTCGTCTGCAGGCACGGATGAGAAGCTACGGCTAGGATCGCATGGCATTCGCGTTGGAGATGTCGTTCGCGTGAATACCGTTACATCTGGAGCTGCCAAGAACAAGGACAAAGAGAAGAGTGGCGATGGGGCTAAGGATGGACCAGAGGGAGTCGTCACTCGTGTCTCGGACAAGGGTGTTTGGATTGCGTTTGGGCAGAAAGGGATGGGTCGCCCGAAGGACGAGGATGAAGCCATTGAGCAGCTGTGGAGTAAGAAGCTGTGGATGTATGTTTCTCTTGTTGTACTGCCAAAGAAGTTCTCACTAATTCAGATTGCAGCCTTAAACTCGCCAACGATGTCACGTATCGACGGTGAGATGATTTGACCCGAGTCCCTTCTGGCACCTACTAATTCACGCTAGGATGAAGCAGACGATGACGAAGCTCAAAGAGATGAAACAAGAGGCATACACAAATTTCATCGAAATCGCATTTGGGCACAGTTCTACATCACGGCCCGAGTACAACCTGGACGACGTCCAATTTGTAGACCCCTCGCTGAACGACTCGCAAAAGCACGCTATTTGCTTCGCGCTGGCTTCCAAAGACCTTGCCCTCATCCATGGACCCCCTGGCACAGGAAAGACGCACACGCTCATCGAACTTATCTTGCAGCTGGTTCAGCGCAAGCAACGGGTGCTGGTCTGCGGCCCCTCCAATATCTCCGTCGATAACATCGTCGAACGGCTGGCTCCTACCAAAGTCCCCGTCGTGCGCATTGGTCATCCGGCGCGCTTGCTTCCCTCGGTTCTCGACCATTCGCTCGAGGTCCTGACGCAAACCTCCGATGCGGGAGGCATTGTCAAGGATGTTCGCAAGGAGATTGATGCGAAGCAAGCTAGTATCCGGAAGACAAAGACCGGCCGGGAAAGAAAAGCGATTTACAATGATCTCAAGTCATTGCGCCAGGAGTTCCGCGAGCGGGAGTCCAAGTGTGTTCACGATCTGGTGCGCGAGAGCAGTGTGGCTCTGGCTACACTCCACGGTGCCGGAGGACACCAGTTGAAGCAGCAGCAATTTGATGTGGTGATCATCGATGAGGCGAGCCAGGCATTGGAGGCCCAATGCTGGATTCCGCTGATATCTGCGAAGAAGGTTATCCTTGCTGGTGATCATTTACAACTGCCTCCGACGGTCAAATTTAAAGACCCTGTAAAAGGCGCAAAAAAAAGCAATGGCAAGGAAACCAAAGACAACGAATCGGCTAACCCCGAGGACAACAAATGGACCAAAGACGTCTCGCTTGAGACGACACTGTTCGATCGTCTCCTGTCCATGCACGGCTCAGAAGTCAAGACCATGCTAACTACCCAGTATCGGATGCATGAGAAAATCATGAACTTCCCATCCGACCAACTCTACGAGTCGAAACTAATAGCCGCAGAAGCAGTCAAGGCGCGTCTGCTGATCGATCTACCCTACGAAGTCGAAGATACCGACGACACACGGGAGCCTCTCGTCTTGTGGGACACGCAGGGCGGCGATTTCCCCGAGAAGACCGAAACCGATGATATCGGCAAGAAGGAGGCTCTTCTGGGCGAGAGCAAAAGCAATGAAATGGAGGCGATGGTCGTGGCTCGACATGTGGACAACCTCGTTGACGCGGGGGTCCACCCCGAGGACATCGCCGTCATTACCCCGTACAACGGCCAGCTCGCGGTTCTGTCGCAGAAGCTGCGAGAGAAATATCCCGACCTGGAACTCGGCAGCGTTGATGGATTCCAAGGCCGGGAGAAGGAGGCTATTGTGGTTAGTCTAGTGCGCAGCAATGACGAGCAGGAGGTTGGGTTCCTGCGTGACAAGCGACGTCTCAATGGTAAGTCAGCTGTCTTTTCTGCGTGAGAGAGTCACAGCTGAGGTTTTGGCTGAAGTGGCAATGACGCGCCCAAAGCGCCATCTTTGTGTCTGCGGGGACTCGGAGACTCTCAGTCGGTGAGTGAAAACTCAAATACCCTCCTATTATTCTACAAACAGGCAAATGTTAATCAGAGGTTTGTGGTACAGAAGCGGGGTGAAGTTCCTCAAGGACTGGATGGGCTTTTTGGAAGAGCATGCTGACTTGCGCTATCCCGACGCTGGGGAGCTACTCCAATCAAGCGTGTAGTCAATCGAATCATGCAATCCATGTCTCTGTATAATGAATTAATCGCGAGATCATTCCAATCCCTGGGAACGGTCGATCTCGGTTTGTGAGATCTGTAGGCACACACACTTTTCGTTCAAGGTTCGAGGTTTGACTTTCCAGCCGCGCCGCACGGTCTTTCTCATCTCAGGGTCCGCGCGCAGCATCAAGATCCGGAGCTGGTAGCGATAATGCGGGACTGCAGCACCAATGCCTAGACAGACAAGCTCCTATCAGGAAGGCGAGCCCACACCGTGCGCCGGCCAGATAAGGCACGCAGAAACGAAACGGTGGGCGAGACAGCACAACACAGCAGCCCAATCTAGTCCAGGCTAGCCTAGTCCAGTAGTCCAGCCGGCCAAGCGATGATCTACATTACGGCGGATGGGTCGGAGATACTTTACCAGAAGCAGCATCCAGTGAGGGGTTGATCCAAGGGGCGACAGGAAGGACAGGAAGAGCATCCCGGTCAGAGATTCATATTCGTTGAGTTGTGCCACTCGGTCGTCTCAGCTTGGGGGTTCGGCAGTGGGTGATTCGTCGGCGGGAGGCCGGTCTGTGCGAACGGGTTAACTAACCATGTGGTGTTTCAGACTGGGGAAGAGGAATGCTTGTTGCCAGGATTGTAGAAATAGCCTGCTTGGTAGAAGATTCAGTCTTGAATATCTGCTATCAGCATCATTCGTCTTCCTAGGCCGTCCACCACAGCTGTTCTGGCTGGGTCTACCTCTCGTCCCCTGGCGACTACAGATCTACTGCATTAATGACACCGCGATCATCATCATTCTTTTTGCTCCGAATCCTGCTACGCCCACACGCACCCCACCTCTTCGGGAACCCCTCCAGAACTGGTCTCGGCATGACTTGATTGCGACCTGGTCTGGATCCGTTTCGGTTGTGGCGTGAAGAAAAGGGCCCAGCCGCGGTGTGGGGGGTGACCAAGTTAGTCTTGCAGATTCCCCTTTTGCAACACCCACTTCCTTTCCTCTCTCTCTCTCTCTTCTCGTCTCTCGTTGCCTTATTCTCTCCTTGCATTCATTTTCACCTCGTTGTTTTCACTTCCCTCTTTTTCCCCCCCTCTTCTCTTCCGATCCTTCTCTCTTCCTTCCATTCTCTCACTTCTTCTCCCCTTTCCCTGGAACGGTCTCGCAAACGCCGTTCCGCCGGCATATCCTCCACGGTACTTGCAACTATGATCCTGATTACACCTGGCCATGTGCGATCTCATCCTGTTTGCCCCTGCTTGGTTTCTGCCCTGACTGACTGGTTCTCTCCCGTTTGATAGCTCCGTTCGATTCCCCTGCGACTCGTTTAAGGCCGTCCCCTGGTTCTCTTCCGGGATCCGCTGAGCGGGTCCGAATCATCTAGTTTTGCTTTGCTTTTTTTCTCGACATTCGCTCACTACAAATTCCTTTTTCGTTTTCGTTTTTCTGCGACGACTTTATACCCCCATGTTCTGCGACCGACAGCAATTCCTTGTAATGATCACCACCGAACCGTCTTTCTAATCCGTCCGATCTTCTCCCTGTGACCGTCGGCCCTGATATAAGTTATGTCGAGGAACGCCGATCCGCGGTCAATTGGAAGTCCCGGTAGCGATTCAGGGAGTCCACGACACATCTCCATTTCCTCGCCTTCCGGCCAAGAACTCTCTTCGTCTGCGCCTGCGCCTTCCTCTTCTTTTTCGCCTGATACCAACCACTATGATACCGCCCTGCCGCCCATCAGCAGCTTCACACAACCTCCCATAGCGCACCGTCGGACAGGAAGCACCCTGAAGACCGTCATGCGCAAGATCTTCACTCGGAAAAGGCAGAGCCAGCCGGATTGGTTGGAGGAAAGCCCCCATGAGGTTCATTATTCTGGCTTTTCGCCGCGAAAGTCTGGGCCTGAGGCGGAAGGGAAGTCGTTTCTGGTTGTTCCCACGCCCACACCTCCCTCGGAGTCGAAGCGCAGTAGCCCTCTTTCAGAGGAAAACATGAATCTCGCGGAGCGTCATCTGTCTCCCACAACGGCCACCCACAGCCCATTGGGGTCCCCGGGCTTTCCTCCGCGCCGCCGGCGGGCTACACTTCCCAGTGTGGTCTTTTCTGATGATGGATCTCGGTACGACGAGGTGGCTCCAAGTGCGGTTTCTGACCCGCAGGACGACTGCTCGTACATGCCGGATCTGTCGCGGCCACCCAGTATCATGCATGCTCGCAGGCGCTCAAGAAGTACAGAGGCTCTACGAAGACTGGTGAGCGACGAGAGCACACGCACTCCGTTCCCCTCCGAGCCCCGGCACACCAGACAACCCAGCTCCAAGACGCCGCCGAGAGGATCGAGCTCTGCTAGTGGCCAATCTCGCAGACCGTCCACCGGAACAGCAGTGACCAGTGTCACTCGCGGGTCCGCGGATCCATCGCTCCCCGACTCAGACCAGCATGCCGAGCAAGCCAGTCTGCCTCCGAATGTCGGCAATCTAGTGCATACCATGCAGCAAGACGACGGCCTCACCCTGGAGCAGCGATTGACCACGCTTGAGGTCAAGTTAATCGACCTCGAATTCGCCATTGCCCGAATGCAATCGCACTCCATCGACAGCTCCAACAACAGCGCAGAGCGATCCTCAAGACAGAAACACGCCCCTCCCCCAGACCCATTCTCCCCTCTTGTGCGCAACAAACCATCCTTCCAAGGCTCCGAGGACCGCGACAACTCCCCCAGCCCGCTCACAACCACCGTGCATGGCGGTGGTCGCCCTCTGAGCACAGCAACCATCCGCCCAGACACAATGCACTCCCGAACCGTCCGCGCAGCAACATCAACAACCTCTCTCTCGGACTACAACGGCGTCTCGATCGAGCAATATAGCGCCCTGATCACCCTCCTGCGCCGCGAGCAGACCGCCCGCCGGAACCTAGAAACCCAGGTCGCGGGTCTGCGCGACGATATCCGCCATGTGCAACGCGCGGCTCTGCACTCCATGGAGCTAGGCACTATGTACCCGATTCATAGCGCCGAGTCCCAGGAGTTCTTGCGCTTTCGTCGCGCGCTCGATGACTCAGATACGTCTTCGCCTATCCATGCGTCGGATGAGAAGCCCAATGGAGGCACTTTTGATAGTGACTCTGATTGGGACCGTTCGGATAGTTTGCAACGCGATGATCCCTTCGGGTATCCTAAGTGGGAACGCGGTCAACGCGTTGTCACGGCTCCGATGATTTGATCTGATTGTTCTCTGAGAACCCGGTAGATCAAACCAATTGGCTGCCTCGCTGAAGGAGTTGAGGATTTTGTTGCTTGTACAGCCTGCCTGCCAACTCCAGCAGCAAGGGTTATGATCAATTCTCTGGACGCGCACGGAATACGTTCTAGACTTCGCACATGGTTCGAGCGTAACTTCCCGCCTTGCGACAGGATCGCACCTTTCCTCTCCCATCACATACACGCAATTTTTACTTTCTTTCTCTGCCGCACGGCGCTTTTGTCATTTCGGCCCAAGGGCTGGCACAGCATGATGTTTTTCTTTTCTACGTACAATATGCAGTCTGCCTACATGTGATATGTGCATAAGCAATTCAAAGTTCGGTTTCTATGCCGTATGAGTATCGTATCCATTGAGTTTCTATTCTTGTAATTGACAGGTTGGCGGTAGATGGGTCACAAGGCTTAGCACTGAGATAAGGGTTGGTTTAACCGTACACCCCTGCTATTCATTGCACACCTCCTAGTTTGCTTGCACACCCATTCCATATCAATTAGTGCTAGCGTGGAAGGTAGTGTACCTTTCTCTATGTACCCGTGATCGGACAATACAGAGTAAATACGCATCTGCGTATCTATGCTCTAGTGTTCCATAGAACCACTACCTTCCACCCTCATTCCCACTACCAAAAATAAGCATTTGAAGCGTGTCATGAATGTCATCAACAGAAAAGCCTCTCCTGATAACGTCCTTGGTGATTTTATATAGGATTTAGAGGCGTGATGGTGCCATATCACGGCCGGCGAGCTACGGGTTGGGGTCGAAAGGAGAGGAGAGAATTTTCGTACCAAATGACACCTCACTGACGCCTCGATACCACCAGGGGTACATAGGGAAAGATACACTATCTTCTACGCTAGACCTATTTTGTACGGGATGGGTGGGCAAGTAGACTAGCGGGTGTGTGATTAGTGGTAGGGCTGTGCGGGTAAAGTGACCTGAAAATAATATGTCCCCGTTCGAAGATAGTTACACAAAGGAACACTATCAGGATCGAAGTATAAAAAGAGGGTTTTGAGACATCAAAAACTAAATAGATCCACATGACTAGATCCACTTAGATATCCACAGACATATCCACATACATAGAGCTTCACGTAACAGAAACGCTGAAAAAGAGACAGCACAAATGTGAAAAAAGTGACTATGTACGTACCACCACCCTCGAAGTTAGGCAAACGCCATCAGAAGTAAAAAAATGAAAGTTTTCTTATGTATTAAAAGTAAATAAATCTACGTACATCAAGGCTCAAGTAACCGACCAGCAAAAGCGTAAATCACGCCGAATCGGAGGCACCGGCACTGATCTTGGCACCGTCCTCCGTGACACCAATGGTGCTGCTCACGGATTTGGTCCACTCGCGAACCAAGTGGCCCTTGAGAATGATACCGGCCATGATGAGGTCAACGAAGAGAATGAAGAAAGCGCCCATGCCCCACATCCAACCGGTACCAACTGCCGCCTGCCACTGAGTCACGATGAACACGGACATCAGACCGAAGGAGACTCGGTACGCATTCAGCGAAACCGAGGCCTCGACGGGGTTGTTCAGGAAACACTCGATGATATAGTTATAGCAGACGGGCAGGGCGAGCAGAGCGCCGAACCAGATCAGGAACCCGCCCAGCGCCAGGACCATATAGTGGAGGTGGTACTCCAGGCCGGCGCCGTAGATGCCCAGCCCGATGGGGAGGATGATGCTCGGCAGAATGGTGTTGGCCAGGCGGTACTCGGTGTGCCAGGTGCCGCCGCGGCGGCGGGCTAGCATGAGTGGGATCTTGTCGTTGAAGAAGTAGCCGTAGACCTGAGCGGCGATGATGCCGACCCAGGCTGTCATGGTGAAGAAGGCCATTTGCAGCGAGGAGAATCCGTAGCCGCCAGCTTCGACGGGGGGTTGGAGGTAGGTTGCTAGCGTGGAGGCTTGCATAATGGGAAGACCGAGGGCAACGAAAATGTATGTGCCCGTTAAAAGAGTGATGGGAGAGAAGGTGATCTGGAAAGGAATGATTGCGCGGCGGACCTAGAATAGGGAATTTTGATTAGTTTTTGATTTTCCTTCTTGCAATTGTAAATATCTTACCATTTCCTTGCCCTTGCCGGCAGGCTGAGTTTTCGTGCCCGGTAGAAAGGTGGCCACGCGTCTTGCAAGCCAGTTCTTGGGAAGAGGATCGCGACTGGGCTTGGTGCCATCGCGAGAGTAGGTGGTATCCTCGACGAAGAGCAAAACAGCGATGATAGCACCGCCGACGGGGCCGAGAGTCCACCAGAAGACATAATCCCAGGGGTTTGTCTCAGCAATGAAACCGCCGAGGGTGCCACCACCGACGACCGCAAAGATGATCAGGACCTCGAAGACGGCAAATGCCTTGCCACGCTGGTGCAGAAAGAACATGTCCATGATATACCCACTGCCTAGGATGGCAGGAATACCACCGAAAAGCCCGCAAATGAGACGCGAGATAGTGAATGAAATATAGTCATCTGGGCCGGTCATCTCACCTGCCCAGATCTGGCAGGCAAAGATAGCCACCAGACTCCAAAGGACGACAGCGCTGCGACCGATGACTGCCACAAAGGGAATAAAGAAGAAGGGCCCGGCAACCCAGCCTGCGAGGCCGGCTGCAACAGAATTGAGCAGGGCCGCGGGTGTGCTGTGGTACGCGGGGACTTGTTCCATGAACGTGAGCTGGTTGGAATTGGGCGACATCTGGGCTGCAAAGCCAGCCAGACAGATGGCGATGAACACGGACAGCTTCTTGAACATCGGCCAGTTCTGCAATCCCGTTAACATCGCGATTTCTGCATAAATGGGCTTCTTTCGCTCTTACCAATGGATCCTCTGGATCATCGCTGGGCTGAGGAACGAGGACAATGCCATCATCGTTCTTCTTCGAGGCCAGTGAGTCTGTCTCCGTGCCCACCTCCGGCGAGGACACCTTCGCATCTCTGTCTGTCATGCTCATCGTGAATGCCAGCGCGTGGATGCCACGTTAGAACCAGGGTGTAATGAGAGAAAAAAGGAAAGATCGGAGGAGAAAAAGAAAAGAAAAGCCAAAATAGAAAAGGAAAGTGGGTGGGATTTGGCCTAGAACTCGACTGAAATGCCGGAAAGTTCTTGTCTAGCTGCAGGACATCTCAAGGCCCAATTAGTCCAGAGATATGCAGACGGGGGCCAGGCAAATGTAACACCTCAGCCCGAGGCATGAACTCACAAAGTCTGTCTTGGGGCGCCTGCAGACTGTGATTCGTTCGCAATCCCTTAGATCCGATGCTAGTTTTCGACCGGTCGCGAACTAAGTTGTTAGCGACCCCTGGGATGGAAGTGTGTGGATTGCCTTGGCAAATCTAGTTGAGATGCCCTAGTAATCTATGGCGTTCCGTGGTTCCTGGCGGAGTATTGCTGTTACCCTTAGCACATCCCCCTCACTTGTATAATCCACATTCGGACGAGGGACCGAGCGAACTAAATGCTAGTGGAACATTTCAATTGTAAACGAACACGGATTATTCTAACATAGCCATTGACCCTTAACTCCCCGTTTTTACAATAAAGCCATAAGTTACAGTACAGTTTTCATACTTGCCTATGTTCCTCCACGCGTGGACTGTGTGGCGAGGCGGCCCTTCGGGTCTCGTTGGTCGGAGGTGCTTCGAGGGGCCAGTTGGTGGGTGTTGGAGGTTCCCCGTCCGATCCATGCCCTTGGGTTGTAACCACTTCCACCGACATGGTCTTCATGATACCATGTTCGTCCGGAGCGGCCCACAGGTGAGATTGGCTGTCGCCGTCCGATTCCTTTCCGCGGTCGTCCACGGTATCCAACATGCTATCGATCATTCCGTGGCGGGAGCTCCGGCCGGTGCGCATCGAATGGAGGGGTAAGGATTGGGAGATTTGGCGCGACTTGGATCGGGAGTATTCGGTCGACATGGAATTGTGGCCGATCAGCGGGCGGACGGACGGCGCAGCTGCAGCAATAACACCCAACGTGGCTTCCAGTCTAGATCTGAATTAGTTTGGATCGTTGCGCGAGAATCTTGCGTTGATCACTTACACTGCCCATTTGAAAAGGTCGACAAGATCCCCTAGATGGAGAGTTAGCGTTTGTTGATCCTGTGGGAGTGGTATCCCTGTATCCCTGTAGGATGGATATCACATACAAGTCGGGTCGTGTGTTGCCGTCAAACTGGGAACAAGTGCTGTGCGAACGATGGCAAATGCGCCGCTCCTGGAAAGGTATTCGGTCAGTCATGTTCAGAGATCATTCTCAAAGGCGGGGAACCTACGCGAATCCCAATGCCATAATGCCGCAGATACCAAACTTGACTCGGCGAGGGAGTTTGACATTCCACAGGAACATGATCGGTAGGATCGAGAGAATGAAGTCGGTCGCGGCAGCGATTGCTACAAGTATATCGTCAGCTCATACCACCTGGATCCAGAGAACAGAAAAAGCATACATCCTTGGGCAATTCCGGTGCCGTTGATCACAGAATCGGGCCAGCAAGTCCCCTTAATGCCCTTGTTCCAGTTGTACTCCACCGGGGTGCATTGTGGGAAGATAATGGCGGCGTCAAGGGCACTGGTAATCGTATTAAATGCGATGAAGCACCAAAAGAAGACTTTCCACTTCTTGCTCGTGAGACTAAACGGTTCCTTTTGTTAGTTGATGGTGGATAGCGAGGCTCAAGAAGGAAAAAACCCACAAAAGTCGTTTCAAGAATAGACTGATGGAGATCTTCAGGAAGATCGTCGAGAAGATCAAAAAGAACTCGGAGATGCGCAGAAGCTTCACGCAGTAGGCCGCTCGAACAGGATCGAGGGACAAGAAATGCCGCCCGAGGCCATACTTGGTTGCTGCGATGACCAGGCCCATGACCACAATTGCACACACCTAGTGCGGGATTTCGGTTAGATACAGAGTGGGATGAGCCTTGGAGGGAGACACGCACCAGCGCAAGCACATTAAACACATCATCCCATCCAAACATTCGCATCATAAATCGGCGCACATAGAGTCGTAGGCCAGTGAGAATGAACGCAACGACTGTGGTGAGAATCGTCGGAACCAAGACATCAATGGCCCGAGAGTCATGGTTCTCGGCCAGAGGCGAAGCGGACGCCATTGGAGAGGGTGGGCGACTATGCCGGTGTATAGTGTTGTTGGGTCGTCCGAGAGGACAGTTCTACATGTCTTCGCGAGAAGAATGTGAGGGCCAACGAAGAACAAATATGATCAAGGGATCTGCTGCACTCATATGGTTTTCTCTCAAATCCAACTGACAAGGTTTCGGGCAAACTGTAATGCCTGATCTCAGGTACGAGATTGGTACCATACACAATCCTTGGCTTCTAGTGGATCCTTCCTGCTCCTTCGCGCCGCTGAGGACCCGTGGATCATTGCTGTATAATAAAATCCACCCCTGAGATTCATCGATCGATCGAGAGCCAGTAGATGGGGTACTAGTCTCCGTAGCATCGGGCCCATGTTACCATCAGCTGAGAAACGACGCACTCCGCCAGGTTGTGTTGGTCTAGGCTTGTTCTAGCTCCTCGTCCGATTGGAGTGCTTCGGTTGAACTCGCAATGTACACTCGGTGAAATGGCTGTATTATTTTTTGTGTGCGTCTGCACCGCGCCTCTGGTCGTACTAACTTTTACCGAGCTGCAGGCCGGGCCGCCTTCCCTGCAGGGGTTCCTAGGCAGAGCGCCATCTTGGGAGCCGAGGGATTTTCCCAACGCCATGGCTATTCTTAGTTTGACGCCTTGAACCATGGAACTCGATTCACAATGACAAATTGGGGCCCGATGTCATGATCTACGTTAGCCAGAGAAATATCGTCGGGGGATCCTCTGAGAACTCGACGATCTATCAACACTAGGCTGCTAGGGATGCCCAGCCACTCCACCCGAGGAGTGGGGTGAGGTGTCACTTTCGCATCTATGGCCCTGTACAGTAATTATTGAACGACCGGAAGTGTTACCTCGGGATAAGAGTTCCTGCATGGTCTCGGACCATTAAAAGTCTATTTTTGTAAATCCAACAATAATTTGCATTGTAAGAGATAGAGTTGGTACGATACGGCCAGGGCGCACTCCTTCTCGAAAGGTGGGTGGCCAATCGGGATTCTTATCGATAATTTGGGCGTCGACGCTATCGATGTCGATCGGTGCCGCTTCGGATGTGGACAAACTCGACTCGTTGGATCCGAGCTGGAGCCAATTAATCAATTCAAGCGCATAGTGGCGTTCGGTTGCCCCGACTTACATAACTGTATTGTGGCCATTATCAACGGTATTCTAATTAAACCAAATTGGGAAAATGCATTCCCCACCGGGTATGTCTCTCCTCATTCCTAATCACTGCCATCCTGCGCAAACCCCCACCTGGTGTCACGGTCAACCTTCAATCAAAATAATAATGGGCAGCGCATCGTCCAACAAGAACTTCACCGTCACCATTGTTGGTGGCGGAATAGGTGGTCTCACTCTTGCGGCTGGTCTTCTCCGCCGCAATGTCCCCGTTCAAATCTTCGAGGCCGCCTCTGCTTTCACCGAGATCGGGCTAGGGCTTTCCATTGGCCCCGCGGCTCACCGTGCCATGCCGCTTATCGACCCCCAAATCCGAGAGATCTATGACTCGCTGGTCACCACGCATGCCGATAGTCCTGGCTATGAGAGCTATGCGCAAACGTGGTTTGAAGTTGTTTGGGCGAGTGGCGTCCACGAGGGGGAGTTATTGATGGACCTCAAAGCTCTCCCGTCTGGGCAAACAACGCTCCGTCGCGCAAATTTCCTGGAGGCCCTGGTTAATTTGATTCCGCCGGAGATTGTACAGTTTGGCAAGCGGTTGGAGAAGCTGGAGGAGACGGCCGACGGCGTCAATCTGTTCTTTGATGATGGCACTACAGCTATCGCAGATGTGGTTGTCGGCTGCGATGGAATCAAGTCCAAAGTAAAGGAGTCCATGCTGCCCGAAGAGTCGAAAGACAAGCAGCCTCAATATAGCGGCATGTACGGCTACCGCGCTGTCTTCGACATGGATGAGATGGTGCAGGCTGTCGGCGATCAACGCGCCAGGGTCTCTACCATGTACATCGGAGACGGGGCATATGGAATCTCATATCCGATCATGAGGGCCAAAAAAGTTAATGTCGGACTATATATTCTCAAGGACACATGGGACTGTGATACTTGGGTACGACCGGCAAAGAAGGAGGACATGCTGCGAGATGCCAGTAAGATGGGCAGATACTGGAAATCGCTAGTCGAGGTATGACACCAATTTCCGGTCTCGGAATAAGGGCTAACCGAATATCTTGTTTTAGCACATGCCCGATCCTTCCCAATGGGCCGTCTTTGAGCACCCTGCCCTCTCGACGTACTCACGATCTCGAGTGGCCATCCTCGGGGATGCCGCGCACGCCTCTACGCCACACCAAGGCGCTGGAGCTGGGCAGGCGATTGAAGATGCGCTTGTACTTGCAGAACTTTTTGGTGATTCCCGAGTGAGTTCGGTCAGTGATGTCAAGGCGGCATTCAAAGCATACGACGATGTCAGACGGCCTCGAAGTCAACGCGTGGTCACTAGTAGCAAGGAGGGTGCATATCTCCTTTGCTTGTGTCTGGACGGAGTTGGAGACGATGCGGAGAAATTGAAGGAAACATTCCAAAAGCGACTACGTTGGCTTTGGGACCTGGATGTACAGGCACATGCAGATGAAGCGAAACAGAAAATGGTCGAACATATGCGAACATAATGTGTCATACTGCGGGTCTAAATACAGGAACCATGAAAGGTGTGTTGCATTTCCGAGCGTTTTTGCCTCGGTTTATATAGACTCATAGCGATCTTCCTTTTTTTTTCGCCAATATAAAGACGCTTAATTCTATCTACAATCTATCGTGTCTACAGACCTCTCTGCCTTGGTGAATTTCTACGGTTCTTTTCCCGAATATCTCAACGGCGTTCAACACGGATTAGGCTTACCAAAGCTTTGCCAAGGTGTGGGGTAGGACAGCTATCCAAACAAATGGTGATACCTCGGCTTTCCAACCATATTTAGGCATCCAAATACTGAATAAAAGCCCGCGGATTACTCGGAATTCTATTCATTTGCGCGACCCAGAATCTTACAAGACCATGGCAGACATCCAAATTTCCGATGAAGCTCTGAAGGGCATCCAAGATAAAGTGGTTCTGATCACGGGTATGTCAGCAATGTTCTGCGAATAGGTTGATTTAACACGCTCGTTCCAGGTGGCTCTTCCGGTATTGGCAGGGCTACTGTAGAGCTATGTCTCCATCTCGGCGCGAAGGTTATCATTGGCGATGTCAACCCGCCGCGGCCCGAGTTCCCCGAATCGGAAAACCTACGGTTCTTCAAGGTTGATGTCTCAGAGTGGGAGAGCGTGCGCAGCCTATTTGTTCAAGCTCAAGCGTGCTTTAACCGGATCGATCATGTATTCGTCAACGCCGGGGTTGGTCCCACGACGGACTTCTTGGATGAAACACTGGATGAGTCGGGCCAGCTGGCTGCTCCTAACATGCGGACCATGAATGTCAATCTCACGGGTGTCATATACACGCTCCGACTTGCTGTACACTTCTTTAGAAAGGAAAAAGATACTGCAGCAGCGAAAAGCATCGTCCTCTCAGCGTCAGCCTCGTCTTTCCAGAACTTCAGTGCTGCCGACTATGGAACAGCCAAACACGGTGTATTGGGAGTCCTGCGCGGTGTCGGGGGTCAAATTGATTCCAATATTCGGGTGAATGCTGTCGCACCATCCTGGACAGCGACTGGGATGGTTCCCACCGAGGCCATCCGGTCCATGGGGGTGGCAGTTCAGGAGCCGGAGGCTGTGGCTCGGAGCATCGTGTTGCTCTTCGCTGATCAGCAAAGATATGGAGAGGTTATCTATAGCTGGGATGGCAAGTTCAGGGAGATCAACAAGGCAAAAGGTGGGCTACTTGACAGTGCACTAAGCGTCCTTGGGGACCTTGTCTCTGAAGATGAAGTGATGAATAAACTCAAAGCGGCGGCAGAGGCAGCGAGAGCAGCAGCGCAAGCAGGACAGTCCTAAGGCAGACATCTAATTCTGGTCCTAACATCTTGCTCCGTGGATAGCTATGGCAGAATGCACTCCTCCTCCTCCGATTCGCCATCCAGGAATCTCTTTGGTCTTATTCGCTCATAAATGCTGCGCAGTAAATAACATGTAGCCGAATGCAAACATAATGCGTTATATTGGCTCCATCCAATGTGTAAAACCAACACCTCCGCCTAGATGTTTGCCCGGGGTCTTGGCCCTTCCTCGGTTCTCCGCATTTTGATGTCTGATCCTTGCCATCAAGAACCCCCCCTCGGCATTTATGAACGAACATAAAACCATCATCTTTCTGTCAAGCTTACAGTGTCCAGCAAATCACCATGACTGGCTTTCCGCTTCAGCACCCGGACAACGGCGAATTAACGGGAGGCGATCTGCTTGCCCAGTCACTCAAGCATATAGGCGTGGAGGTTGCTTTCGGTCTCCATGGCGGCCATCTTGACTCTTTCTTTATGGGCTGCGAGTCCATGGGTATCCGCCTCGTGGACACTAGGCATGAAACTGCCGCCATCCAGGCCGCTGAGGGATACACTCGAATCAGTAACAAGCTGGGTGTATGCTTTGTGACTGCTAACAGTGGGTGAGTATTTTCCCGTAAGAATTCTAAGCAGCCATTTCACTAATGAGTAGCTTTTCAAACGGGCTCGCTGGACTTGCTACAGCCTATGGTGATCGGAGTCCCATTCTCTGCATTACATCCTCGCCACCAACTCGAGATACCGAGAACAATTCACTGCAAGGCTCTATCGACCAAGTTGTAGCGGCACATCCGATTACAAAATTTGCACATCGGGTTGTAGTTCCAGAAGAGTGTCCGAGAATTCTGTCGCATGCTATTCGACTCGCGCAATCGGGACCTCCTGGTAGGTGACATCGTGGTCTAATATTTCCTCTATTGATCCGGCTTTGTTCTAGGCCCCGTCTTGCTTGACTTTCCCATTGATATACTATTCTCACCTATACATCACCAGCTCATATCTTGGGGATCAATCGCTTCTCCTCCCTCGTTTCCTCCCGGACCTCATGCAGACGCAGTTAGTGCGGCTGCTCAACTGCTTGCTCGTGCCAAACGACCAGTAATTATCACTGGAACTGGCATTAAATCTCCTTCGGTATGACCTCTTTCCTCTGAGTTCTTTCCTTTTCTTATAAATTCCAGGCGCGGAAGAATCTGGTGCAGTTTGCTGAGACATGTGGCGTACCCATCTTTAACACTTCCAAATTTGCATTGTTCACCGAGAAGTCTCCCATGCTATCTCGAGGCACAGCCGGAGAGCTGGCTAAGTTGCCACTTCTCAATCTCCCTCGACCAGATCTTATTCTTCTTCTTGGTGCACGCACGGGGATGTTCCTCGGTGGCCGGGGTGGTGCTATTATTCCGCCTCAAGACTGTACATTGGTTCATGTGGACCTCGACCAAGGCGAAATTGGCCGCACGCTTCCAGTTGATCTAGGAATTGTTTCCGAGGCGGATGCATTTGTGACAGCGATGAAGCTGAAGGTCGCAACCGCCCATCAAAATGCAGTTGACAAGCCATGGGTTCAAACCGTACTTGGTCTAGCGACTCTGGAACTTCCCTACGAAAAGGAGCCCGAGGCTTCGGACTCTGGGCTTCTCCATCCGTACCATGCGGTAAAACACGTCTTCTCTGCTGTTGAGCCGGGAAGCATTGTGGTCCTGGACGGGGGCGAGGCTGGGGCCTGGGCAGGCAATCTCGCGATGCACTGCCAGCCCAGCGCTATGATGACAGCAACCGGCTATCTAGGCTTTCTGGGCACTGGCTTCGGATACTCATTGGGCTGTGCCATTGCAGCTCCCGATCGAAAAGTGGTCAATATCCAGGGAGACGGGTCTGCGGGTTTTCACCTGATGGAGCTCGACACATACAAAAGACTCGGTCTCAACATCATGACCGTCATCGTCAACAACTCCAGCTGGGGTATGAGTTCCAATGGACAGGATCTAGTCTATGGATCCAAAAACCCAGCAAGGCCCATTAGCTCACTGAGCCCTGGAACCGAGTACGATGTCGTTGCCAAGGGGTTACAGAATGCCGCAGCGAAAGTCTCGCGTATATCCGACATTCGGAGCACGGTTACCTGCTTCCAAGCAGTGAATGGACCAAGTTGTATCAATCTCATTGTGGATCGAAAGCCTGTCCATCCTGTTACTACCGCAATGGTTGGAATGACGGAGGATCCTGATCTGATTGTGGTTCCATATTACGATAATATTCCTCGAATACGCTACAAACTTTAGGATCGGTATCAAAGTGACCCATAGCTTAGTTTTAACTAGTCCGAAGAATGTCAAATGGAGAATATTGGAGACGGAGTGAATCGGTTATAACCACTGACAGTTAAGCCAATGAGGATTGCATAACGTGACAGCTGAAAGAAAGTGTTTCTCGCATTATATATATGTATCGAAAAATATGCCGAGAATACAATGGTTCGGTGGCTGCGTTCCATATAGGACATCACCCATGAACATAGTAGGCAGGCATACCACAGATACTAACTTCATCAGAACAACATTCCTCAAGACTCACATAGTACAATTCAAGAAATGGGTATTGACATCAAGTACACATAAGAGACACAGACAGATATCATGCAACAAATACCAAAATCCTCAAATAAAGCCATCGTGTGTACACTCTCAAAACAGAAACACACAAATCGAGAATTCCTGGACACAAACAAGACCATCCCAATTACTACCTACTTGAAGTGCTCGAATGCAAACCAAGCGCCTTGCCAACATCCAACTCAACCGTCAACTTATTCGCCGCCAGCGCTGCGGTGAAATAAGGCAGATTCTGACCGTTGTAGACGCTCGAATTGCCTGTAATCTCGAGGGGGATAATCCCACTCCCGTACTTACCCTGCAGCAACTCGAAGACGGCGGCTTCGTCGACTTTCGAGGTCATGGGGATGGAATTGTTGCCTGGTTTCAGGACGAGGTCCTTCAGGTAGGACTGGCCCATTGGTCGACCGTCAACGGAGAGGTCGAGGGTTAGGTTGCCCTGTCATTTGAGTGAGTATTGCTGCATATCGTATAGATATAGAGAATATACTCTAGGAAAGGAAGAAGAGGAGGGGAGGACAGACCATTGTGATAGTCATGACAGACGGGTTGGGAATCAGCACCGTTCCGTTCGTATTAGTTCCATCCGGTTGAGGACCCAAGTTAAACTCAGTGACGTTGAAGCCCTTGAGCTTATTCAATCCTATGTCCGTTCATCAGTTCCACTCCACACTGCATAGTAGATTATCACAAAGACTTACCCTTCATAGTAACGGTCTTGTTATACGTAACCGTAGTCTTCGGCAACGCACCCTCCTGCAACACAGGCGTCCCATAAATATTCAGCTCAACCTCCTCATTCAACATGACCGCCTTCGCATAATCGCCAAACGCAGGCGAATCACTCAGGCTCAACGTCTGCGAAACATCAAGCACAGCCCCGTCCTTAGACTGCACCGCAGGCACCTGCACAGAGGCGAAGGGAGCCGCCGCGCCGAGGAGGGAGACGCTAGCGGTGAAAGCGAAGATCTGTGGATGGAACGAGCTGTGCGAGCCGATGACCTGTGTTTGGTCGAGGTGGAATGAGTCGGGTGTGGGATCGCTGATGACCATGCTGGTGATGTTTAGGGTGGATTCGTTGACGTCCGTCTGGGCGATTTTGGGATAGGCGACGTAGACGCTGTGAAGATGTCAATATTTATTGTGAAGTGACACTTTGGATGACTTCGGATTCAACTTACACGGGCAATAGCACAACCAGCAGCACGACGATAATGACAATCAGATGCACCCACCACCACCTCTTGTAATGGGTTTTAGCTCGCGAGCCAAAGCTGCGCTTTGCTGGCGCGGACACGGCCCTAGCCTCGACTGTGGCCTTGGTAGTGGACATGCTGTCAAGCTTTCTCTCGATTATGCCTCAAACCTGCCTGCAATGAACGGCATTGTCAGCTTAGAGATATAAGCACGAAGAGGGAGAGCGGGTTAGTGAAACACTCTGTACCTACCTGTCCGACAGTAAACTGCAACGATAATACGAAAATGAGTAGGGGAACCAGTCCGTCCTACTGCAAAGAAATCAAGAAACGAACAGTAAATAAAAACGAGCGACAGAAAGGAAGCAGGCACGAAATCGGGGGACGGAGTCAGGGCCAAGAAGGGCGAGGGTTGCATTTACTTTTTATAATAAAACAAACGTGGAGAATGGCATTTTGGCCCCGATTATTTTTACTTTTTTAGCTTTCTTTCTATGACTAGCAAGCAGGCAGTGGCAGTCTTAGTGACTCCTCTGTTCCAGCTTAGGTCCAGCCAGTCCAGACATGAATTCCAAGTTAGAGAAGAATCAGTGTCACATATGCAGAACCGCAAGGAAATAAGCGACAGGCAGGATCTGTTAATGTGGCTGGTTGTTACCTTTTTCGCCAAAAGGAAAGGCGTGGGTGTTGTGGGGGGAGGGGGGAGCACAAGTAAGTAGAAGTTCGGAGTAATGAACTAACTGAGTCTAGGTTAGGACCCTTTTTGGCTTTTGTGCGGGGAAAAGAAAAGAGAAGAGAAACACGATAATCCCTACTGACTAATAATAACCGACCCCCAAAGGCCGATCATCTGCACCAAAAAAGGTATTTCGTGTTTCAGGTTGAGTGAGATATCCCGCGAGTCCCCCATCGTTCGATTGTCGTTTGTGCCTGTCTGTCTGTAATAAGCACCAACACAAGCAGAAACACTCCATTAGCCGAGGCAAAGGATAGACAGAAATACATAATCTGACTGAATCTGACCCAGCCATTTTGAAAGATTCAACCACGGACTAGACCGAATGCAGCTCTATGAGCAATAAATAATAATAATAATGGACGTGGTAGCCGTCCTACCTACGATTATTATCTGGCGGTTCTTGTCTGGTGCACCGTGCTGTGTAACTTTTGCTAACCCACTCGGTCAGTAGGAAGTAAGTAAATCAAGGGACATTCTGCAAGCCGCTACAGTACATAATGTCGCACCAGCTACCTAAGTTATCCGTCGGCCGTCGAGTACAATGTATCCTATTGGCCGAACCACGGTGAAACTAGTCGCAGAAAGCGGCGCTGGCCAAGGCCCGGATACGATGAGATGATTAATTTTGCGGGTCCCGTGCCCAGCCGAACACTACGACAAACTAACCACTTTCACTCAAAAAACGTTATTGGAGTGGGAAGGGGGGAGAAACGGGTCTCCTGAAAAAGTGTACCTGTCCCGTAGGATTGGATCTAGAACCCTTTGGGCTAATTTTCCGGGGTTGAGACAGATATGGGTGTTTATTCCGGTCCGGCACTAGACATAAGACAAGGTGAAAGTCCGGACCAGGTCAGACAGACAATGTACACAGGAAGAGTAATTGATATAGGGATCGCGATTTTCAACGCATTTCTTTCTTCCTTGCTTCCATTCGTCCTTCATAATCGTCCGTCCTGCGGCCCATAAGATCCAAGGGAAAATACACCTTAGTTAGGAGACGGCAATAATGCATATCATCACAACTAACTTGTAGTACAGGGGCAAAAAGAACAAAAAAAAGTCAACAAAAACAAACACAACGAATTTCTGTCATGAGTTCATCGCGTCGCTTAGGGATAAGCGATGGCCGAAAGATTGATATAAGTAACAGGCAGGTTGGTTGGAAGAAAATGTCCAGAAGGGGAAAAAGAGCCAAGGAAAAATTAGGTGTTGTTAAAAAAGGCCATGGGAAATTATGCGGATCAGGCAATGGGACTGACTGACTGCCTCGCAAAGAGTGTAACCAGAAAATGTGAACTGAAGAGAATATCAAAAGGGTATCCACGAAGAAAAAAGCATTATGCCCGCGACGCAGATGGACGGGTGGGTGGTCGTCCAATATGCTCGAAAAGAAGCTGCCCAGGCGGCTTGAACACAAAAAGGATAAATGATGAGTGAGAGGAAAAATATGCAAAGAAAGCAAAAATATCCTGGCCGAGAAATGGCCAGAAAGAAAGGAAAGTTCGGCTCGGAACGCTCCAAACAAAGTCGCGTCATGGTTTTAACGAATGTTGATCGACGATGGGTGGGTTGATGAGGGAATTGAAATACAGCTCAGCTCAAGTCTATGCCTCGGGCACGATTGACTTCTTCCGCTGGAAGATGCTGCGAGTCCGCGATTTACTCCGCGGCTTATTCTTCTCCTCGCCGGCGTGACGCCCACGGGAGCGGGTGTTGGGCTCTTCGTCGCCCATATATTTGTCCTTGTAGATCCTGCAGACACGTTATTAGCTTCCGGACAGCACATGAGGGAAAAAGTATCAACGTACCAGCTGTTTCCAACCATGTTCATACCCTTGGACTCGGCCTGCCGGTAGTACTTCGCGGCCTTTTTCAGGTCCTTCTTGCAACCGACACCGTCTGCGTAACAGAAGCCTGCCTCCGCCATGGCGTCAGCATCACCCCATTGCGAGGCAATCTCGAAGCATCGCAAAGCCAACGCTTTGTCCTGCTCGATGCCCCACCCGTTCAGGTGGCTAACGCCCAACTCGTAAATACTCAAGGCAAACTGCGCCCGGTAAGCCTTCTGCAATTGCTTCGCGTAGGCCGCGCCCGGCGCATCGGGGTTTTCCAGCATCTCCAATCCCACCGAGTCCACCGCTTTGCGTAACCAGCGCACACCCTCGGTCTGGTTGGGGCGCATGCCCCATCCATGACGGAGAGCAAGCGCATATAGTAGCATTCCCGTGGGATGGTTTTGCTTTGCGGCAATCCGCAGGTGATATGTGGACTCGTTCAACGATCCTTTCTCGTGACATTCGATTCCCTTGGAGACATGGTCATCCGCCGAGAGGGCAGCAGCCGACGACTGAGTGGTGCGAGCGGTTTGAGGGCGCAGCGTGCTAGCCGAGCCTACTGACGAGGCAGTCTCATCCTTATCGTTACTTTGCTGCGGTGGCGGATTAGACATGGTAGTCTCCACGGAGGGACGTGGTGGATCCGCAGCCGGAGCCGGAGCCGGAGCAGGGGCAGGCTCAGTTCGCTTGGGAAAGGTTCGTTGAGGCACGGTAGCGGGTACCTCGTGCATTGAGTGAGCCTTAGGCGACTCCGCAAAAGGGGGGCGCGGGGAAGGAGACGGGGTGCGAGCCCGCATAGGCTCCTCGGAGTGACGGGGAGGAGGCGAATTCTCAAACAGTGGCTCCTGCCATTCGAAATGCGGTGTTTGCAGTCCCGCGAAGATCACCGAGTTTCTCGAGACCATTCGCCCACGTGGAAGTGAATACTTGGAATAGGTATACGAGGCCACGGCGGAATTTGGGTCCTGTTCGGCCAATTGGTTTCCGCCAATGTCTTCAGTAGCCAGAGGCACAGAGATCGGGGCCGGTTTACTGGCACGGTGCATGTTGTTTGCCTGCGGTGCTGAGGTAGGCTCGGGAGTAATCTGGCCAGACAAGCTGGTGCTCGACCGGCTCAGCGGACGGGAGAAATTGAACGAGGGCCGCGGCAGGTGATTCGGGCCAGTGGTGGAGGTCTCTGAGCTCAACGACGGTGAGCGAGGGTGCGGCCGTGCGGGGAAAGTTGACATGGGCGAGTACGGCATCGACGCAGTGCTTCCAGATGAAAGCTTTCGCGGGTTTGAGAAGGTCGAACCGGCATTGGAGCTGCTGTAGTCGTCATCGGAGCTCTCGTGTGTCACCCGGGCACTACTCGAGGGTCTTGAGTACGGCGACGCTGGCGGTGGTGCCAGTGTCCGTGGAATATGGAGTCTTGACTGTGTAGAGTCCGTCGACGGCTGCCGCAACGGGTATGCCATCCCCACTGGAGCAACCTCCTGTCCTTCATGCAGCGACAGGTCCTCTTCTGGAGACTCCGCGCGCGGCAAGGCATAGTCATCCATAGCCCCATGAAGCATCGTCGTACGGGGCGTGGCATCGTTGTCGCGATAACTATCACGGTAGCTGTCCCGGTAGCTAGCATCGGTATAGCCCGCATCGGAGCCAGCGTGGGAGACCGAACTGAACCGGGGATGTTCCGACACGGGGCGATACTTGGGCTCCTCGACCTCCGGCAGGCCCTTCTGGGTCGGCTGGCGAGTGAGGCCATCACCGCGAGAGGAATCATTCGAGGAGGGCGATCGGAAGAAGCCCGGTCGGGGTTGGGACAGCGATCGCGCCACGCTGGAAGGCGGCAGTCGGCTCATGCGCCGGTCCTTTTGGCGGGACTCATCGAGTTGTTTGGCGAGAAATCGGCCCTGGGCGGCGAGCGCGTCGAGCGGAGACAGTGCCGGAGGGACAGCGCCGGCAAAATGTTCCATTCGAGGGGAGGGCATGCCGTTGCGCAAGCTATCGTGAGAGTTGGAGCGATAGTCGCTCATGTTCTCCCGCGACGCCATTCTGTCGGGGTGGCAGTGAAGATCAGAGGGAAGCGTCAGAGCATCGATTCAAATAATAATTATTGGACAGAGGCGCAGTCGGCGATTAAAAGTGGTTTGTTGATCAAAGACGTGGCAAGGGGGGCGCTGTCTGACGGGCGGGCGGGCGGGGGGCGTGGTGAAAGGAATGACAGCCCGAGAAGGCCAGGGTGGGAGACAACAATGACAGTCACGGCATGGATGGTGGTGGTGGGAAGAGAAGGATGAAAGATGACAGGGGAGAGAGCGAGGGAAAGAGAGTGGGAACCAAAAAGACAGGTGGGCAGCCCTGACGATCCCAATGCAGCAGCAATAACACGGAGCTCCAGGTCAATGGTTAACTACTACTAACTACGGCTCAGGGGCAGCCAAGACCACCGCCTATTTGGCCTGACGCCATCCAGTCCCAGTATTTGTTCTTCTAGAACGACCCCTGTCTCCCCACATTACACGGGCGAAGTGGGTTTCCACCAGCTCTCAGAATACCCCCGTTATTCTTCTTCTTTCTGCCCTAATAAAATACTGGGACTATTATTCTTTGTGTGGTATTATTATTATGATGCTTTCAGTCATCACCATCATCCTTGGATCGAATTATATGACATGGGTCAACTCCCAATCTGTCCTGTGGAGCCTAACGGAGCCGAGCCCTAACTCTCGTATAATACTACCTCACCAGCACCGACTAGCTTCAGGCCGAGAACAGCAGTAGTAGATGATCGTAAAAAGCAACCTAACCTTCCCTCCCTCTCTCCCCTCCACCACACCATCCTCGGTCTTTAATAATGCGCCGCATCCCACCAGCGACGCTCTTCGGGGTCCCCTCGTACGACGACTCGCAACACCGCTACGAAACCTCGTGGCTCCTCCCGCCGCCGATCCTCGCGTGTCTACGCGGCCTGATCGCGCTGTACATCTTCACGACCATCATCACGATCTGGGCCTACGACGGCTCCCACGGCGACCGCGATGCTATCGGCCAGTCCTTCAGCTACTTCACCTGGCTGACGTTCTGGGGACTGGGCTTTTACTTTGTTTTCGCGACGCTCCACACGGCGCTCTATGCAAGGACGGGACGCTCGGTGCTACTGGATCGCTGGCCGAGGGCCTTGCGCGCGCTGCATGGGCTGCTGTACGCGACGATAACGACGTATCCGTTTCTCGTGACGATTGTGTATTGGGGGATCTTGTTCAAGCCGCCGTGGTTTGTGGAGGTTTTTGGTGCTTGGTCGAATGTATGACTGATCGATCCACATTTTTTTTTCTTTCTGTCAGGTCACTGTCTGTCTCAGCCCTAGGAAGAGCAGAGCAGAGCCGCAGAATACCTGACTCTCCTCTGGAATGCATGCTAACTCACTACCCAAACAAAAAGATCTCCCAGCACGGCCTCAACTCCCTCTACGCCCTCCTCGAAATCATCCTCCCCGCAACAGCACCACACCCCTGGATCTTCATCCCCTTCCTCATCCTCATTCTCCTATTCTATCTCTGCGTCGCATACATCACCTACTCCACCCAGGGTTTCTACACGTACTCGTTCCTGGATCCCGGGTCCAACGGCCAGAAGAGCGGCATAGTGACGGGATATTGCTTCGGAATTCTGGCGGCGATTCTGGTTATCTTCGTGCTCTCGTGGTTGGCTATCCGGCTGCGTGTGTGGCTTACGCGTGATAAGATTAAGCGGTCGCGGTTTGATACCGGGGTAGATAGGAATAATCTTCATGTTGCTAGGATGCAGCAGGTGTCGGATGTGGGAGAGGTTGAGCAGAAGACTTCTGTCTAAAGATAGGGCGTCATTTATGGTATGAGATATGCAGTATTCATAATTTCAATCGTTAGTAGCCAGTTTGGCGAAGAGCGAGGAGAGTCCATGTACTACTATATATATCATCTGTTTTCCAAACGAAAAAGGGGAGTTTTCAAAAAAGCCAGTTCCGGTCACAATCATACCCTGTCCCAGCTGGTCTCGCTGCCACTACCGCTCGGGCTGTGCAAGGTTACGCCATGCCCGCCGCGGTAACCCAACATCAAACCCACCAGGCCGGCGGGCACCCAAGCACCGATCACGCTGTATGACCGGGCTCCGCGGCCGGCGTAGATGACCTGATTCTTTCGCGATCCGAAGATCCCCCGAGAGGCTGGCTCCAGGGCATCAAGCACGGCGTGATGAAGGTTTCGCGCCGGGGACCCGCGCACCGTGCTCGGTCCAGCCGATGCGACGGGTCGTTGCTCGACGCTGGACAGGTACTGTGAGCCATACAGGGCGCGCTGTTGCGCGCTCCAGGCCAAGACCTCTGTTCCTGCAATCTGGTTCTGCGCGTTGCGGTATGCCGGACCGAGATCGATATTGCCGAGACGCAGCTCGACGACGTCGACGTTGCCCTGCTCGAGGAGACGGAGTTCCTGGCGCAGGGATGACGCGAAGCCGGAGATTGCCCGCGCTGTGGTGACTTCTGGTCCTGCGAAGGGCGCGGATAGGGAGGAGGAGATGGACGGATAGGCGAAGACGATGGTACTGCTGTTGTTGCGGAGGGTTAGGAGGGGCAGGAATACCTGCGCGGTGAGAATGGGTGAGAGGAGACGAGTGTTGACCGTGTCTGCCCAGGAGGATGGTGGGATTGTCGCCACTGGTCCAGCGGAATAGTTGGGCGATGGGATGATGATCACACCGCTCAGTTGGCAGGTATGCGGCGGCACACCAGGTAATGGGGATTGGGGTTGTGTGAGCAAGGAGTGAATTTCATGTAGCGAAGGATGGATTTCTGATGGCGACGAGGATGTCTGCTCATACATTAGCTTCTAGTCCTGCTGTGACGCACATCCATCCACTTACGGTTGTAAGATCCAGCCAAAGAGGCTTGATATCAGTTCGGTGCTCAACCTGCACGATATGCTCTTCCTCCGCGGATGACACCGTCACATACACGATATATCCTCGGCGTTCGAGATCGACAGCAATGGCTCGAGTCATGGGCTCATGCGGCGAGCCAGCAACAACTGAATGGGTGGTCAGTCAGCGCATAGCTATAAGAATCTATGTCTTCTTCTCACAACATACCAACTATTTCCTTCCTCGCCCCATTCGCCGCCTTTCTAGCCTTCCTCCTCTTCCCATTCAGCTTCTTATTCCCATAGAACAAAACACATCCCGTCCCAACAAACGCGATGAGAGCAGCAGTCCAAGCACGGTTGCGTGCTACCCAGGTTTGGACTCGGTCGGTGACGCCCTGTGGCGGGGCGCGCTGGCACGAGCGAGCAGACGGGCGGATCGTCGACGGCAGCCATGTCTGCTGCGCCAGGGTATCGCGCATCACCTGCGCGGCATGGTCGACCTGTCTGTCGATCGAGTCGGCGACTTGGTGCGAGTATCGCCTTACGTCATGCGGTATAGACGCGAGCTTTATCAGATAGTTGTCAGCGAACGGTCAAGACTGTTTGTACAGGAGAGGTTCTCACGTAATCGAAGAAGAACTGGTCATCGCTAGTCATCGCGGCGTGTTAGTTAAAGCGGGGAGGAGGATGGAATGCGGCAAAAGTTCGTTAATGATGTCAGTCACGTGGTGTGACGATCTATGGATCAGATCGACTATGTAATATCAGTGACGGTAAACCTGCCGCCTCGGTAACGACTGGCTCTGATATCACGGGGTGAGCCGCTTTCTGAGCACTTAGAGCTGAGCTAAACCAAGCTCTGACCTGAATCAACAAGGTGCTTACGGGGCACAATGACCGCTCGTTCTTTTGGAAGACATATGGCCAACTGGGGGCCAACTGGGGGCCAACTGGGGCCATCTACTACCGATATGGAAAGTTTCGTCCTAAATATAGGTACCCAAACGGCCCCCATACGTCTCGGCAAACACTTTACTGTTTATTTTGGCAGCTAAATTGGATGAAGCGATGCTCAGGAATATAAAAGGAAACCAATTGTCTTCTTTCCAGGTAGCCACAACAATTCTCTTTCTATCTTCCTGCTTCCCTTCTTCATACCCCTGCTTTCTTCTTTATCATCCTTTTTACTACAATGGGTACCGTGTCCTACCAAGATGGCATAGCTATTCTCCAGCTCGTCATATTTCCATTTATTCTCGCCGCTGCGCTTTTCATTTGGAAGCGGACTGGCTGGAGTGTCGGCAGCAAGATTTGGCGATACGGCGTCACGCTCTCTCTCATTCGGATCGCCGGAAGTATTTGTTCGCTGTTGACGATTAGCCATGATTCATACAATATCGAGGTCGCGGTGGCAGTGTGCGAGCTGATTGGTATTGCACCTCTGTTGCTGACCTATATCGGACTACTGAGACAAATGTAAGTTTGTGCCGGTGGACTTCTTGAACCTGATAGATGAGGACTAACAGAAATGTCTCTACTAGCGATACGGATGAGAGGATACATCCTAAGGGTCTCAAAATTGTAGCTATCGTCTGCTTTATCGGCCTCATTCTCGGTATCGCGGGAGTTAGCAGCGCCGATGACAACAAAGGCACCTACCATGCAGACAGCATCGTTAAGGCGTCCATGGGCATCTTCCTCGCCGTGTTCGTCGTCATTCTTGCAATGACTGCTTGGCTATGGTTCCAGCTCCGTTCCACATTATGGGTGTTCCAGAAGAAGCTGTTCCTCGCCGTTGCCCTTGCTTGTCCCTTTCTATTAGTCCGGTTGATCTACTCGGCGATCAGCGATTACACCGACAATTCTGATTTTGCTATCCTCGTTGGCAACCCCACCATCTACCTGTGTATGGATGTGCTGGAGGAGATCATTGCTATGGCTATCACTATGGCCCTTGGGATGTCAGCTGTGCTTGAGACAGACTTCGTAAAGCTCACTCGACATAAGGCGATCTCCGACCCGAAGGTTGATGAAGTATAAGCTTGTGGGGTGTAGCGCAGTGGTTCCTGACACGTTGTGGATGTCGTGGCGGTGAGTGGCTGTACATTGGAGATGGTGGATGATTGAGAATAGCTTTCAAGAAAACTCTATCCAAAATACAAACACTATTCGAAGCATGGTCAAGCTTTGATCAAAAAGTGTTTTGGCTGTTTACCCACGTGGACCGGATCATGACCGTGACTTCTGTATGCCGGTAGCTGAGACTCACCGAAAGGAGAGCGCTGTGATCCGGTCTCCATTGCCCTCCGTGTCTAGGACCTACTGTGTATGATTTGATTGAACCTGCGCCACCACGTAAGGTTGCTGTAGCGTGTGACAGAGTTAGCGTCCCTGTCTACCCCCCAGCACTGACTACTTGCGGAGTGCCACGTGTGGTTTCATTTGCACGCCCACAAAAACTTTGTCATTACCTATACACAGATTCGAAGCTTGGACAGACCCTGCCAATAGTTTGTACCGCAATCAAACAACCAGAAAAGGGTAGGTGACTGACTGAATGAAGCACGTGCATTGAAGGACTGGCGGAATCACAAGGAGCCCCAACCTTGACCACCGATAGTGATTTCGCGGCGATGTCAGGCGTTGGGGGTTAATAGCGACATGGAAGCTTCGTTAGATGGATTGTATCGCTGTGAGGAGACCCATGTGTATTTCCAAAGCAATTACCTAACTGGCCCTTGCGTTTTCACAAAAATTACGGACTCTTGGCAAGGCCGTCAAAGCTCGCTTCCACCAAATAACTCCAAATATCGCGAAAACTGCGTCTGGAAGGGACAAAAAAGGTCGTGTGAATTAAAATTTCCTGATGTCTCTGTATTTTAGTATCTAATACATCTATTTACTATATCAAACCTATATGTTTACTAAGTCTTGTTGACATAAATGGAGATTGAAGATGAAATATGGAGAATCCTTTCGTATGGAGCGTTCCTTTTATTTGTGTCGGACCCTCGCAAGCAAAGGAGCCCGTAAAATTTTTGAGAAAAATGTAAGTGGCCGGTTACTGTTGCCGCATAGACTTTGGAGCGAACTTTTCTGAAAAGTCTTTGACCCATGATTTTCTGGAACAATACCACGTGCTAGAAGGCATTGAATTTGTTCGTAGATTATTCCTTATTGGGGTAATTTACTACGATGGAATGGCGTTTACATTGGAGACCGCTGGAGACCGTTGGAGAATCCAGATCTTGATGGGATGGACGCTATTTCTGCCTGCAACATTATAAATAGAACGTCGTAACATGTCTATATCCTACCATCCTGCATAGATTGTCCTTTTTAAGCACTGTTACTGAAATTGAGAATTTGTGGTACTTGATTTCAAAATGCGCGCATTAGTTACCAGCTTGCTTGTCGGCGTCGCGCTTCTGGCTCCTGCTAGTACGTAACCGACAGCATCTATACACTGCGCATTGCTTTTTTATTTCATCATGCCCGAGTTTCTATCGTTGTCCAAAGCTTATTCTACGAATAGTTGTGGCTAAGCCGTTTCGTTTTTGCCAACTCGGTGATGTCCAAATCGGATTTGGCCTCGACGGATGGCAAAACGATACTTACCGCATGGGCTTGGCCACGCAGCAGGTCAACGTGGCGGGCTTCGATTTCTGTATCGCGGTTGGCGATTTGACTAATGATCGGTTAGTTTTTTGCGCAGGGTTGTCAATGGCACTGCTCACATCACGCAAACTTAACAGGTTCGACTACGAGATCCAGGCTTTCCAGGACACCTACCCTGAATTCAAGTTGCCTGTCCACCTTCTCCCCGGCAACCATGATATCAACGACGTTGCATCACTTGAACAATTCAGCCAGGACTATAATGTCAGCGACCACCACGCCTTCACCCACCTGGGATACCGTTTCATTCTCTTAGACTCCGTCACCTTGATAACCAATCTCCCTGAATTTGAGAACTATACCACTGCAGAGTGGAACTGGTTTGAAAATCAGCTTAAAGCGGCCGCTCACGCACACGAACAAATAATCATCGCCCATCATCACCTCCCTTTCGAAGTCACGGAGGATGAGCCTGACTCTTACTGGAATTTCCCGACCCGCGTCCGTGGCAAGTACCTCGATCTCATCAGGCAGTACAACGTTCACCATATCCTTGTCGGACATCGCCATGAGACCTTCAATATCCAACCTGCTGATAAAGCGTTCACTATCTATGTTGTTGCTGGTACCGCTAGATTCTTTGATAACAATGGGTTTGGAATCAACTATTTCAGTATTACTGGAGAGGATTCGGCCACGGATGTGTCGCAGGAGTACGTCCATTTGGAAGGCGTTACTCACATGAAGAGGTCGGAGGGTCTACCCAACGGCTGCCCGGATATTTTCGCACACTGAGTCACTAGTGCAATCATGGAAGCAACTAGGGTGTGGGGGTAATAAAATCAGTGCTGGGTGTCGAGTTGAGAATTGACAGCAAGGGCAGTAGCAGAGGAAGGTCAGGACGCCCTAGCCGTGGAGGAGCGAGAGATCTAGATAGAAGAAGCAACGAGGGAAGGAATGAAGAGAGTTGGTTCTATCTAGAGAAGGGGTGACAGAAGGCCTAACAAGGAGGGACGGACAGAGCAGGCAGACAAAATGCACCAAGAAAATTGACGGACCAACCCCTTTCTTCTCAGCTACGCTGACTATTTCGAAGCTCAGACTCTTTTGTAATAACGTGACCACTACTTCATGTTCGTTCAGAAGTCGCACAAAGCCTACCACCATGACTGGGTACGTACAGGCTCGATACAGAGAGGGGCCAATGTGGGGGATGGGGGGAAGTATCGCACCGAGAATCGGCTGCCCATAGCTTATCAGCGGGGTTTCGTGATAGTGAGGTGCTACTTAGGCTCTAACAGGTTAATAGAGCCTTGGATTGGTGTCTTGGAGGTAGCTGGCAATTATTATCGCCCGAGTGACCAGTGCGACCGTTATATACAGCTGGCAGCACTCACCTTGCCCACTGGTGCGGAGTGGTTCCGATCCTGTTTCGGCTCTCATATCGGTGTTCCTTTCTCAAAACTACACTGCTGTTGTCGGAGACACGTGTTATCGTCGATCTCCTTACATCGTCCAGCTACCTACTTCCCCAATGGCAGCATACCCTATCGGCAATGACCCGGCGTGCCAGTGGATTTATGACCCTTCGACGGGCATCATCGACCTCACGCGCAATGGGCCCGCCGAGACGGCTGTGACCATACAAACAACGACGAACCCGATCCGCATCGACCCCGCCAAGACTGCCATGGTCATCATTGACATGCAAAACTTCTTCCTGCACCCTGCGTTGGGCAGATCCGTGTCTGGACCGGGCCTGAACGCGGGTGAAGTCCTTCTCAACAAGATCCCTGCCGCTCGGGAGAAAGGCATCCGTATCCTCTGGGTGAATTGGGGTCTCACGGACGATGAGGTGGCGACGATGCCGCCGGCCATGATGAAGGCATTTACCGTGCTGCAAAAGACACAGGCCGCCGCCGATGATGCCCGGCCCAAAATTGCAAAGAACCCAGCCCTATACAAGGGGCTCGGTGTGGATATCGGCGCCGTCCAGCTGCCCGATGGAACGACCATCGAGGCTGGTGGTGCCCTGATGCGGGACACGTGGAATGCGGCGCTATATGGCGCCCTGGATGCAGAGTACCGCAAGGGATTGGCAATGCCATCGCGCCCAGACGTGTGGATCCACAAGAACCGCATGTCTGCGCTGTGGGGTCCCCAGACTGACCTACAGAATCATCTGCAGGCGGACGGTATCACGACCCTGTTATTCGCCGGGGTGAACACGGACCAGTGCGTCGGGGGCACGCTGATGGATGCCTTTAGCAAGGGTTATGATTGCATACTCTTAAAAGACGGCGTAGCTACCACTTCGCCGCAGTTTGCGACGGATACGTGGGAGTGGAACAGCGAAAACACATTTGGTTTTGTCACGTTGTGCAGTGCACTTTAGGACGTTGATATATAAGTACATGTCATCAGTACAATTCCAATTCCCGGTTTACCCGTTCATACATCAATTCATTCCAACTTCCCCGGTAGCAAGTTGCCGTGGACGCCTAGAACCCCTACCTCTCGCAGTTGCCGAGCTCTTCATCCTCAAAGATCTCCGACTTGTCAATCAGCTGTGCGGCAAGGCTGTACATTCCAAGCGGCCAATTAGGATAGACCAACGGACGAATGTCTCAGCCCTCTTCCTTTGGATTATTGCCCCGAAGAAGTCGACAGGCCCTCGAAGCTCCAAAACCAGTAGGGCTTGTTGTGATCTTCCAATGTAACCTCTTCCCCTCTCTCCTGTAAATCATTGTCATGGTTTGGTGGGGCCAAGCTCGGTGAATGATGATGACCTGAACGGGGGAACGTCGCTGGAGTATGGGTTTTTTCCAGAGAAAGGCTCACGTTTTTCCTGTACCTAAAACCATCGGTAAACTGGCATGCTACAGGGCGAAGACCCAAGTAAAATAAATAATGATATGATTCTAATTTATCGATCAAGCCGCAGAACAATTCGTCGCCAATCTGAAGGTTCAGTACGAGAAGAATGACCTAGGAGATGAAAATAAGGAGGGTGTATTCGTTTTCCGAAGTGCTGCCAGTATCTTGGAAAAATGTCGCTAGGGGTATTATTAATCGCTTTGACGTTTTCAAAATTGTCTGTCACTGTGTCACTATCATAGGCCTCCCTTTAAATTACGCCACTGCAGAACCTTCAATAACTATGCTATGGTAAATACTGTGTATAGTTGTTGTCACCTAGCACCGGGGCCTAAAGTCATCCTAATCTGATGCAATCGCCTCCACTGGTCTTGGAGAACTTGGAGAACTTGGGGTACTTGGAGGCCTAATTGGAGACTTGAGATAAAGACCTCCGTCATATCCTCTTGTATCCTCTTGATAAGCAAACTCGCATGAGAACCGTACCGTGCGTTATCATGGCTCCCCAAGAGCAGTCGACTGCAATTGGACATGGGAAGTTTCAATGTTGGAGATGCCATTCGCGTCTTATCATCGTTCTATCACCGTCCACTAAGTGTGCCAGCCGAACCGTGTTGTTTCTGGTCTCGTTCTGGTCGGCGTCATGTCTTGAGCGCGTGGTATTCTCTTATCTTAGGTGGAGCACCCCTTCCTACCCGACATCCGTACAAAAGAAGAAAAGAATTGCATTGAATGACAGAACGATATACTGAATGATAGCTACACTGCCTATCATTCGCTCATAGCCTACACTGGCATTGTAATTTATTTACATATCTAGATCATGTCCGCTATTCTCTGCTGTAGACACTTGTCCCAGCACACGTCCACGGCCACCAGACCTGAGTCAGTTATATAGGTCCAGCCATGGCTTCCAGCACAGTAGCCTCAGTGGTGTTCCCCCAGGGTGTGGGGTATGGAGTTGTCATCGGCATCGGCTTCTTCTTCGCCCTTCTCATGATGTTCATGTCTTATATTCAGGTCCGCTCTCCTACCGCCGAGTTCATGCACGGTAAACGGCGAGCTGCTTGGATGACTCCTGCTGATCCATCTGGTGTAGAATAAATACACGCAATACTCCACGCGCACCAGCGAAGAGTTCAACACTGCAAGCAGAAGTGTCAAACCAGGATTGATTGCCAGCGGAGTGGTCTCGGCGTGGACATGGGCGGCGACCCTTTTGCAGAGTAGTACCGTCGCCTACGAGTACGGCATTGCCGGTCCCTTCTGGGTATGTTCCCGCCTTCCTGCCGCCCTTCTTTGGGGCGCGACTTCTTGTCGCTGTACTGAACGATATGTGACTGCAGTGTTAGCTTATCCATACCCTTTGCCTTGTTCGGGGCCTGGTGAGAACACACCAATGAAGCTAACTCGATCTCCTCTACAGATGCCGCAGGTGCAACAGTCCAGATATTCATGTTTTCCGTGCTCGCGTGCAAGGTCAAGCAGAATGCCCCCTACTGCCACACTTTTTTGGAGATCATTTACTATCGATACGGCAAGGCGACCCATATCACTTTCATCTTCTTTGCGCTGTTGACCAACGTGCTGGTTGCCAGCCAGCTGCTGCTAGGCGGCAGTGCCGTTGTGACGGCGCTGACCGGCATGAATGTCTACGCGGCCGTGTTCTTGATCCCCTTGGGCGTTTGCGCCTATGTCGTCCTTGGCGGCCTCCGTGCGACGTTTCTGTGTATGTCTCCGTTCTAGCTTGTTTCTCCTTCCCACTTCCCCCAGAAGATATACCCGACCCCTACCTCCCGGCTAGCAACAACGTTAGAAACTGACAGGACCGGACCCAACGGGCTGCAGGTGACTATACGCACACGGTCATCATGCTGTCTATTATCCTGTACTTCATGTTCTCCGTGTACTCGACCAGTGAGCTCATCGGCTCCCCCGCCAAGATGTTCGAGCTTCTGCAAAAGGCCGCAATTGAAAGACCAGTCAGCGGCAACATGGACGGCTCCTATCTCACCATGAAATCCAATTACGCCCTGGTCTTTGGCGTGATCCAGCTCTGCTCGGGTCTAGGCACCGTATTTCTTGATCAGGGGTACTGGCAGCGAGCTATTGCCAGCCGTCCGACAACGGCCGTGCGGGCCTACATCATGGGTGGATTGGCCTGGTTTGCCATCCCATTTGGGTTTGCCACGACACTGGGCCTGTGTGCAGTCGCTCTGACTGATAACCCTCGGTTTCCGACATATCCCAGCCCAATGTCGGACTCACAGGTCTCGTCGGGATTGTCTGCACCGTTTGCGGCCACCGCGTTGCTCGGAAAGAGCGGCGCGGGTGCGTTGCTGCTGACCCTCTTCATGGCCGTCACGTCGTCCGCGTCGTCGGAGCTCATCGCTGTGTCGTCCATCCTTACGTTTGACATCTACAAAATTTACGTCAAACCGTCAGCCACGCCGGAGCAGCTCATCTTCGTCTCGCATGTCATGATCTGTTTCTTTGGACTAATCATGGCTACCTTTGCCTGTATCTGGAACGCCGTCGGCGTCGACCTTGGCTGGCTGTTCTTGACGATGGGCCTCCTTATCGGCGGTGCCGTCTTCCCCGCTGCTTTTGCCATCACCTGGAAGGGCCAGACCCGTTTGGGCGCCATGTCCGGTGCAATTGGCGGCTGCATCGCCGGCATCACCGCCTGGCTGGTCGAGGCTAAGGTGTACTACGGTGAGCTGACGATTGCCACCACGGGCAGCTCTTACCCAACGCTCGCGGGGAACTTGGCCGCTGTCATGACCGGTCTGATCTTTTCGGTTACGATATCGCTGATCAAGCCAGACGATTTCAATTGGGAAATCACCCGCTCCATCAATATGGACATGCCCAAGGCTGCCGAAACCGTCGTCGCGCGGACTGATGGCGGGCCGTTATCTGAGAAGAACGTCGCCGCGATGTCTCCTCCGGTTGACCCCCCCAAGGACAAGACGGCGGCTAGTGACAATGTGGCTGCTGAAGGTCCCATCTTTGACGATGAGGAAAAGCGTGAAAACGAGGGCATGATTGAAGACCCTAAGAGATTGAAGAGCGCCTTCACGGTTGCACTCGTCTCGTCGGCAGTGCTGTCTTTTATCATGGACTTCCTGATTCCCATCCCCATGTTCCTGTCACGCTACGTGTTTTCCGAGGGATTTTTCACTGCCTGGCTGGTCATTTCGTTCATATGGGTTTTCGGATCCTTGACACTTTGCGGCTTCCTCCCTGTTTTTGAGACGAGAGATTTTTTCAAAGAGTTGCTGATGCGCTCGGTCTGGTCCGGCAAGAAGAGCTCATGAAACCGATAAATATACTTCCTTTTCACTTCTTTCACCACCGAGAAGGGGGGCGGGGTTCCATTGTCCAGATATACCCGGCCACCCCGGTAGATTTTGATAGACGAATGCGTCTAATTTATTTCATATGCTCTCTGCCTTCTTAGTCGTTACTGAGTCCAGACCTATCTGTCTGTGTTATTCGCTCATTGCTTTCTGCTTCCGGACTCCCATACATTCTGCTCTGTCTGCCTAACCGGCCTTTTTCATAAATTACCATTTATTACGGAGCTCCGCTCACGGGGAGTCTGTACATGCTTTATCCATTTAAATCCCGTAATGACTTTCGCAAAGGACATCCATCTAGCTGACATTGTCGTCACCGCCAGCATTCTTGCGTTCAAGAACACGGGGGCCGTTGCTGTTCAACATCGAGTTGATTCTATCGCTCAAAGTATTGCTGACCAGAGGCACATTCAGATGTTGGGCAAGACTTTCGCTTCCATTCAGTACACCGAACTAGCTTAAGTATAAATCGCAGCTTGATCTGCAAGGGACGAAGTGGAGGGACTGTAGGTTCACAAATGTGCTACGAGCCCAGCTATTGGGGGATAAGCCTCAATACTCTCTGACGCGTATATGATCGACGTTACATATATATCCTGACGGAGAGTACCAAGGTACAAGGCAACACGCACCAATCCAGAAGTACATTATTGTTATTAGCATAGGAGATTGGCTACTTTTATTTTGGACTTCTCTATTCCTCTTCACCAATTTAAGAAATCTAATAGCAAGATAGACCCCCAGGTTGTCAATTCCACGCGCAACACGTGACCAATAGACACCCGAGTTCCCAGGCCATCAGTATCACCCGTTGATTATCAATGTCTTTCAGTCAACACTTCCAAGATTCTAGAAGAATCCCAACTCTCGTTGCTGCAAGCACCCATCTCCCTCATGTCTTCATGGGGGACTGGCTCGACCACGCACTCTCACTTTTGGAGAATGACGCCTTAACTCTGACAGTAGCGCCTGTCCATCACGGCATCTCTCTTTTACAGTCAGTCCACATTTGATCATCCATCAAAAACAACACCAAGAAAACCGAGAAAATGAGGGAACTAGACGCCCTCATCTCCGAGTACCGGCATGAAAAGCAGCGCCCGCGTGAATCAGAGGCCCTGCTGATGCTCCGCAAGATCGCCTCCCTGGTGAAGCCGATAATGCGACAACGCTCCTGGCGCGTCGACGCGCTCTGCGAGTTCTACCCGCGCCAGTCGAATCTGCTCGGGTTGAATGTCAACTCCGGGCAGAAGATCTGCCTAAGACTACGGTATTCCTCTGATCAGCGCCAGTTCCTGCCTCTGGAACAGGTCGTGGATACCATGCTGCACGAGTGAGTAACTATACATACCATCGTCGCCGATCAAATCTGGTAGTTAGTTCGTTTTTGTCGCTGATAATGATTGATTAGACTCTGTCATATTGTCCACGGTCCCCATAACCGGGATTTCCACGCACTGTGGAACCAGCTCCGCGACGAGCACGAGGAGCTTGTTTTCAAGGGGTACACGGGCGAAGGCTTCCTCTCCGAAGGCAAGCGGCTCGGAGGAAGTAGGATCCCGCTAGACGAAGCTCGGCGACGCGCCCGTGCTACTGCAGAGCAGCGCTGCATTTTATTCAAGAACTCCGGGCGGAGACTCGGGGGCGCGCCGGTGCTGCGGGGCACGGACATGCGCAAGATCAGAGCGGATGCAGCGCAGCGCCGCGTCGAAGTGACGCAGGGGTGTGCGTCTGGGACAGAACGGAGCACGGAGCTGGCTGAGGAGGCTTCGAGGAATGGGTTCAGGACGAAGGCTGAGGAGGACGATGCGAACGAGCAGGCTATTCTGCAGGCTTTTATTGAGTTAATTCAGGAAGAGGAGAAGGAGAAATATGGCGAGGGCTATGTCCCTCCGAGCCAGGAAAATCCGACTGGTCCACGCGCGAGGGCTTCTCCTCATCCGCTACCGGAAAGTGATTGCAGCACAGCACCCGATGCTGTAACGGCGGAGAGCCCCGAAGCTCTGGACCTTACGGCCGATAACAGCTCCTACGACACACCGTGGACCTGTCCAACATGCACTCTACAAAACCCCTCTAATTTCCTGTGTTGTGACGCCTGTGCGGAGGAGAGACCAGTCCCCTCCAACACAAAGCCTACCACCGGACAGGCTCCAACAACAACAGCGAATGTTCGTCCCGAACCACGGAATACAAGCAAAAGACCATTAGAAGAAGAAGAGGACAAGCCTCGGGATACATTTGCTTTCAAGAACCGCAGCCGTGCCGTACATTCCCTTGCTTCCTTGGACCAGAATGTCAATAAGCGGCCGCTGGGCTGGCTCTGTGCATCATGTGGTGCTTTCATGGAGAGTCAGTGGTGGACATGCTCTTCGTGTGGGAAAATGAAGGATTCTTCTTGACTTGATCATTGTTATGACTGTTATGATGGAAATGGAATGTATATTATACAATACAAGGCCTATTTAAGAACATCAACTGCCTAGATATTCTATACCTGTACATTATTTTCCAACATATTCGAGCCCTGGAGGTTTCTTGGAGTAGGGCGCATGGGGAGCCTATAGTTAAGCGTCACGTGATCACGAGCATTTTCTTTTCTCATTCTGCCAATTCTTCTTCCACCTCCCACACTTCTCTTCTTCCAACATCTTTCGACTCACAACCACCAGCTTCATTGACACACACAATGACACTAATAAGAAAATAGGTACGTTACCAATTCCCCCCTGCTCCTATTTCCTTTCTCCTGCATCCCTCCGAAAAACCTGGGCCCCAAAACTCCAGCATGATGAGATCTTTTCAAGAACCGGTTTATTAGGAAGAGCCGGAAGAGGTATGGCAGATTGGACTTCACCTTTATAAAGGGCTGCTCGTTTGTCGTCGATGCTTATAATGGTTCTGCTGAATGGAGTTTTGGGACCTTTTTGTTTTTTTCCCACTGGTGCCGAATGAAACGGTTGTGGAGAGGGGCACGCGTTTTATGGCCTGTTGATCTGATGGCTAATTTTGCTTCGTGCTTAGGTTTTCAGTTGGGGTTTTGGTGATCAGTATTATTGTGACTGTGGGTTAGATGGAACAGAGGGCATTGGGTTGGTCGGGATATTTTGGACTGTAGTCGTGATATAGACTGTCTACTCGGTTGATAAAAGTAATTGAACTTTCTTGATTATAATACATTCCTTGCTATTTTCAACTCCCAAGGATATCGAACTTTTTATGGCACCAAATCCAAATAAAAGAAAACGCCAATCCACAATGCTCATACACAAACACAGCTCAGGCCATACTGATAAACTGGCGTTTCTTGCCAGACCCCTTCTGCGCCTGCTGCTCCTCCCAAGTATCCTCATCAACATAGTCCTTGCTGCTGTGCTCACGGATCTGAACACCAATAAACTGCAGGGCAGACAGATTAAAGCCCATTTCATCCTTTTGCCTTGCCAGGACCCTCCGCAGGGTCTTCCGGATATCGTCGAGCATGGGCCGCATCATCTTGCTGGAGACGATCTGGCGGTGGTGGGTCTTCAGCATGAAGAAGAGCACGCGGCAGGTTAGCGGGACGTTCCATTCGCGCTCGGCCCAGATGTTGAGGAAGGTGAAGAGGGCGGCTAGTTTGGAGAAGGGCAGCACCAGGAGCGCATCCTGCAGTGCGGCCGCTGGGATTTTCTGGACCACGTTCAGAACATGTTGCTCGGCGGAGACGTTGCCTAGTGCTAGGTAGAGTGGGTTGCGGTCGGGGGGTGCGGCTGCGGCATTGGGATTGGCGGCTTTGATCTGGCGCCATTCACGCATGGCCTCGAGATCTTCGATGCCGATATCCAGCGCTTCCATGATCTTTTCTCCGGCCATGAGTGTGCCAGTCGTCTGTTTGCCCGCATCTACTGCTTCGGCCTTCTCACCGTCCTCACCATCTTCGTCCTGTTCCAGAGACGCCGTGAGGGTGGCATCGTAGGCCTCCTCCTCTTCTTTCTCGCGCTCCTCCTCTAGGAAGAGCGGCTCATCGGTCTGTTGCCAGATGCGGATGCTCTTGTCGTGGCTGGCACTGACGATGAATTCGCCAGAGTGGCTCATCGCGAGCGCCCAAATCTCTCCAAAGTGTCCGGTGAGCCGCTGGATCTGCTCGAACTTGTCCCCGTCCCAATACTTGATGACTCGGTCCTTGCTGGCACTGAAGAAGTTGTGTCCGTTCCCTTCTTTGTTGGTGGGAACGAATGCCACAGCCATGATGCTGTCCTCGTGCGCCAAAAGGGCCTTGTGGCAGTCTCCAAAGTCCAGTCCCCATAGGCGGACCATCTTATCCGCTGAACAGGTGACAATCAACTTGCTGTCATAAGAGATGTCCATGCTCAAGACGGGAAGCTTGTGACCGTAGAGATTGAGGAATAATTTCAATGAGTCCGTGAAGAACACCTTGACCGTGTTGTCCAGCAATGAAACAGCCAGCAGTCGCGCATCCGGCGAGAAGCGAAGACTGAGGATATCATCCGAGACCTTCAATGTTCTTGTGTGCACTAGCTTCAGGCGTGGCGTTGTGCGTTTGGTACCGGGGATTTCTTCCTGGACTACCTGGAATTCCCAGAACTTGGCGCTCTTGTCCGCGCTTCCGCTGACCATGGACTTGCCATCGGGATGGACATGAAGTGACCAGACAGGGCCATCGTGGGCCTTTATGGTGTCCAGAAGGGTCGAGGATGCAATGTCGAACACCTCGAGCTCTCCGTTCTTGTTTCCAACCACCACAATCTTGTCACCCGGTAGAAACGCGGAGCAGAGAGAATAGCCGCATTCCAAGGTCCGTAGACAGTTCTCCGTGCGAACATTCCAGATTTTGAGACCGCCATTCGATGCAGACGCAAGCATTCGGTCGTCGGAACTCAATGCGATGGAGCGAATATCCGTTCGGTGGCCGGGGATATCCACGGCCAGATTGCGGTTGTAGTCCAGGTCGTCACTGTCTTTGCTCTTCTTGTTCGCCGCCACTATACTGTACGACTCTAGCTGGTTGTTCGTTGTTGCCGCCAGAAGGTTGAGTCCACTTGACTTGGTAGTCATCCAGTCAAAGGAACGAATCTTGCCTCCAGTCCGCACGATAACGTGAGAAACGAACACCTCCGTGACAGGCGCCGAAGAGGCATCCTCGGGTTTGTCGTCCGCCTTGGTCCCAGCTTCGGACTGTTGAGCCTCCTTCTCCTTTCTCCTCTTCCGTTTCCGAGCTAGGCTCTTTTGCACCTCTGTTTGTGACCGAATGCGCCAGATCTCAACCGCTTTCTCAGACCCATGGAAGGCAACGTAGTCTGATCGAGGGTGGAATCGGATGCCGGTTGTGCGATCCTTGCCGTGTCGGTAGAATGTCCCTCTGTCGGTCAGAATCCGGCGACCTTCCGCGCCAACCTTTTCCTTTGAGATTTCAATCAAGGCGCTCTCATCAATCGACCAGACTTTGAGCTCCCCGTCATTTCCAGCAGTGATACATCCACCCTGATCAGGCGAGAGACCCAGGCTCCAGCATTCGCCATTGTTTTGCGCCACATGTGTTTCGATACAGTGCTGTGATGCCAAATCCCAGACCTTAATCAGCGAGTCCTTGCCGGTGGTCAACAAGAAGCCCGAGTGGTCGCTCATCCCGGCGGCACTGAGAAGGTCTGGCGACGGAAACAGGAAATGAAGCGAGGTGATCTGGTCTGTATGCCCACGCAACCTGAACAGTCCGACCTCCGAGATCAAGTCCCATAAAATAATATCCGTATCTCTCGCGCCACTGGCGAGGCGCACGCCGGCGTTGTCAAAGGCCAATTGGGTGACGGCGGACTTGTGCCCGTTGAAGGAGATGATGATTGAGCCGGTTCTCGAGTCCCAGATTCGAATGCTGCCATCTTCGTACCTAAAATGGGTCAGAAAATGGATGGTTGGCCCAGCCAATAATGACTTACCCGACTGCGAAGATATCCTCATCGGTCTTGCTCTGCGTGACCACCGTCACTTGGGCCTTGCATGCTACATCGCGCCATCTGCCGAGCAGCTCGCCCTTCTTGATATCCCAGCACAAGACTTGTTCCCCTGCGCCGACAATGGCTCGTCCGGCACCGGTCTGGCGTGTGGCACCCCCAGCGGTCTGCTCGTCCTTGGCCCAAATCGCATTGGAGGAAGCCGAAGCGACGAGCCCGAAGGTATTCGAGTGCTCGAATTTTCTGTGTCGAATGAGTATGCGATCAGTCAAAACCCCAGCCAGGGTACTTACAAGTACGATTTCACCATCGTGGGCGCCGAGGAAAATTTTAAGGAAGAGCAAATAATGGATGGCTATCGATAGGCAAAAATTAATACGGGCGCCGACAGCGACACCGCCCGCCGCCTTTCCCCACCGTCCAATGACGATGGCCTCTTCACCTCGACAACGCTGTTCCCTCGACTCAATCCCTCGCAGCCATGCTTCTCCTGGACTATCAGAATGCGCTGATTCAGTCGCTCTTGACGGAGCGATTCTCTGGGTACAATTGCCCCCGGCCTATCTCTCCTCTCTGCGCTTAGAGGGCCATTCCCCCTCATCAGCATCAACAGGCAGCTAACGTAACCCACCCACCGCAGAGCTCCCCCCGTCTCGATCGATCAAGTGGTGTCTGATTTTGACGGAGTGACCTTCCACCTTTCTACCCCCGAGTCCAAATCGAAGATCCTCATTTCCATCAACGTCAAGTGCTTCAAGGAGTTGGTCCAGTATGGCGCCCAGGAGGTGCTGGAGCGGGAATACGGCTCCTACATCGTCAACCCGGAGCCGGGCTACGACTTCTCCGTGCAGGTCGACCTCGACAACCTACCCGCCGAGCAGGAGGCCCGCGATGAGCTGATCATGAAGATTGCTCTCTTGAAACGAAACGCCATGGCTGCTCCCTTCGAGCGCGCATTTGACGAATTCACCAAGTTGGCAGAGGAGGCGTCGCAGTATACATCCGAGTCGGCGCCACAGGGTCTGCAAGAGGGCGGTCAGGTTATGGCGATTCATTACCGGGAGGAGGAGGCCATCTACATCAAGGCTAACTCGGACCGAGTGACGGTCATCTTCAGCACCGTCTTCCGGGAGGAGACGGATCGGATTTTCGGCAAGGTGTTCCTGCAGGTGTGTTGGCATTGCGTCTTTTTGTGGTGCCCTGTTGATTGACCATGTCTAGGAATTCGTCGACGCCCGACGACGGGTCTTGTCGCTCCAGAACGCCCCACAAGTGCTTTTCCGCAGCGACCCTCCACTGGAGCTCCAGGGAGTCCCAGGGTTGACAAACGCCGGTGAGGGCGCAATGAGCTATGTTACCTTTGGTGAGTTGAGCCAGAAGCCGCCCGCCGTACCCTACTGACAAGGATCATCAGTCCTTTTCCCGCGCCACTTGACTCCCCAGCGTCGCTACGAGAGCATCTCCCATATCCAGACTTTCCGCGATTACTTCCACTACCATATCAAGGCCTCCAAGGCATACATCCACACGCGCATGCGCAAGAGGACAGCCGATTTCCTTCAAGGTACGTTTCCCATTCTTTGTGTTATTGTCAGGTGTTGATATATGACAGTGCTCAACCGAGCCCGGCCGGAGAACGAGGATCGTGAGCGTAAGACTGCCAGTGGGCGTACTTTCCGGGTGCAGAGCTAGAAGATTAGCGAGAATTATGTGATTAGCAGAACTGAAATGCATTTTCTTATTGTTGAGTTGTTTGTTCTAGGCTTCGTGATTGGTAGCTGTAATGTGTTGTGTTGTATGGTATGCCTGCCTTCCTATTTGGGAGTCTCTTCTTCCACTTTCTCTTGCCCCGTCGTTGCCTCCGGTCTCCAAACACTGCTTGATTCACACGCATTGATTCGTTCACTCGACTGCACTCACCATGAACCATTCACCTCCACGCAAGATTCATCGCTGGCACCTTGCTATCGCCAAGCTTCATCTCAAACGTGGGCATCGTCGCCCCAGCTCGAAGGCAAGTGAGGACGTCCACAACATAGCTTCCGAAGTGGGCGACGGTCCCATGGAGGACCAGAGGGATGGCTTCTATCGTTACTCGGAGACTCTTCTCGAGGAAGAGGAAAAGGCGCTGGCTTTGGCCTTGCAGAAGACTCGCTCTTCCCAGCAGACACAAACCTCCAGCTCTGACGGCTACGTGGTGAGCCCATACACTCTTTCCCCTTATATCTTCCAGATTACTGACAGGCTGCTGCATGGCTAGATGGCTCTCAGCCAACGCCCATCTCGCCCATACCGAGTCAGCTCTGACGAATGGGTCATTCCTTCGACTCCCTCGTCCTCGCCCCGTGTGCTGTCCCTGGACGACCTGAGTGACGTGCAGCTCTCAACTCACTTTGGCAACGTTCTGAACATCTTGGTCAAGCTGTATGCAATGGCAAAGCTTCTGCAGGTGGTGTTCCTGAGCTACGGTGTGGAGGTAAGTATATAACAATAACAAACCTTGTCGGAGCAAAGCTGACCAGCACTTCTACCCCAGCTGGACGTTTCCGAGAACAGCCTCATGTTCTGGATTGATCGGACCGAGGCAGAGGTCCGTACCCAGTCACTGGCTCTCTTGATCCATACCACGGAGAACCTGTACTACTCCTTGTATGCGCGGGTCGTGCTGGAGATGGCCAACATCGAGCTCTGCTCGTGCTTCAACATCGACGTGCGTCCCCGACACATTCGTCCGCAGTTCATCTTACCCGATGCCGATCATCTGTATCGCATTTTCTTGGTGTGCAAAGACGCCCTCGACGGCGATGGCATCTGCGAGGCCCTCCAGCAGGGTGTGGTCATGCAGCATCAGGAGGACTACATCAATCACGTCACCGCGAAGGAAGCTGCCAGGGGTTTTGCGACCGATGACCTGCTGGGATATCGTCGCTATGCGCTCAGCATTGTCTCGGAGCGCTCGTCGGACTTTTGCAAGAAGTGGGAGTTCCTCACGCCGTTCTTCTGCGACACCCCTCCGGAGATCATCACGATCCTGTCGGAGAAGTACCTTACGGCGATCCCGAAGCGCATGCCCGACGTGGACCGGTCGTACCATGACCTGCCTTTCACCGACCCGAAGACCATCGATCCCGTGGTGTGGGAGAAGGAAGTCATCCAAAACCACCGTCTGGCGACACTGGCCAAGCTCGAGGGCAAGTCGATCGGGGACGAGCGCCTCGCCGACTCCCAGTTCAACTTGCTGCATCTGGTACAGGAGCACAAATGCATTTGCTCATCGGTCTGTTCGTGCGCGCACGATTGCACCATGGATGTCGAGCGCCCGTGCCCCTGCGCAGAGCGGCAGCTGCGCATGCTGCTGGCCAAGGGTCGCACGGGGCCCGGGTCTTCGAATTTCATCAATCGCATGAACGGCCTGGCGCGCAGCTGCTTCGAGGAACTAGCCATGACCCGGCGGGACGCGACAGATGAAGACATGATCATGAAGCTGGGTGTGGTGTTGGAGATGTTCGACCTGGAAGTCTACCAGGAGCGCACCGCTGCTGCCCTATCGGCAATTTTCTAAGGGGACTATTCAGAAGTCAATGGCGTTTGTGGATGAGGAAGGAATATCGGGTTTGAAAGGCGAAAAGTGGGCATTACGACGGAAATGATGAATTTAGCATGAATTAGAATGAATTGCATATGCTTCGGCGACGCAGACCAGTGATAACCAGCTCCTCGATCGGCCTCCCGGTGAGTAAGGCAGTGGCCACTCGCTCACCACTACAACATCATCCTTCTCCAGGATTTGATCTGAGAAATGTCCAACCCATCCACCCCTTGACGGGTCACCTCCAGGCATGTCGTGTCTCGCGCGACGCCGGTGGACGGGGGTTATCTCGAGAACTATTTTTACCTACAGACGATCCTACCGGACATCCACCGTATGGCCCTCCTACGGCATCACCACCCCCGGACCTGGACCCGACCACAACAGTACCAAACCACCCAGTCCCTTCCGCTTCGAAACGGGCTATGCCCTGTGTGCCAAACGACCGTCCAGACCCTTCCCCCCACCGTTCCTGTCTCCGCCGTCATCCTCTTTCTCCGATCCCCTGACTACCCACTCGCTCAGCCAGGATAAGAGATTATCCGTCGCGGGCGAGCGGGTTCGCGGCTTGAATAACGGGGACGATGCCGTGCTGGTCGCGGAGAATTGTATCGCGGTGGATGATGGGGTTGGTGCTTGGGCGACGAGGCCGCGTGGTCATGCTGCGTGAGTTTCTTGCTTCATTCTCTTTGATCCGCTGTTTCATGTGTGATTGACTGACATCTTCCGAAGTCTCTGGTCCCGACTCCTCCTACACTTCTGGGCTCTGGAAATTGAACAACTAGACTACTCCACTACACCCACACCCGACCCAATCTCGTACCTCCAGCGCGCCTACGAAGAAACCATCCGCGCCACGAGCTCGCCAACCGAGTGGTTCGGAACAACCACCTCCGCAACAGCCCTACTACACTGGACTTGCAGTTCCGAAGATGGTATCCCTCACCCATTACTATACGTGACGAATCTGGGCGACTGCAAGATCCTCGTCATCCGGCCGAGCGAGGAGAAAGTCCTCTTCCGCACAGCCGAGCAGTGGCACTGGTTCGATTGTCCGATGCAGCTGGGCACGAATAGCGTCGACACTCCTCGCAAAGACGCAGTGCTGTCCACAGTGCCGCTGCAGGAGGATGATATTGTCCTCGCGCTGTCGGATGGCGTTATGGATAATCTGTGGGAACACGAGGTTCTCGGTAATATCCTTGAGAGCATCGCGAAATGGGAGCAGGCACGTGAGGACAAGGATAAAAAGGGCGCTGAGTTGTTGCAGCAGCCGGAGCTCTCAGATAACCGCATGGTCTTTGTGGCGAGGGAATTGCTCAATGCGGCGTTGATGGTTGCGCAGGATCCATTCGCAGAGAGTCCATATATGGAGAAGGCTGTGGAGGAAGGGTTGGCTATTGAAGGAGGTATGTTCTTCTTTTCTTTTTTGGGGTCTGGAGATTTATACTGACGCGTTCTGGGTAGGAAAAATGGATGATATAAGTGTAGTTGTGGCAGCTTGTAAAAAGCGAGCTGGGTGACGCTGCTCTTTCTGCGAATATAGGCATCGACATACATACAAGGGATTGAATGATCCTACACCTACATATCTACAGCCACCCGCTCCAGCCAGCCAGCGAGACGTGTTGAAGCCGGAATCCTTTGGAGGACCCGCGCGCCATCTCGGATGTGGATGCTACACTACAGCCAGGCCTCCCCCTCATCCATATCATATGGAAAGACGTCTCTGCAAACACGAGCTGGCATGAAGTATACGAAGGCATGAAGCGGTAGCTACCAAACATATACCCCCTTTGTGATCAATAATACCTAGTTAAATTGTCTGGTGAGCAAAATAACCGAATAATAAATGGAATTCCCCGGTCTAAACAAGCAGGCAACTCTTATTTGCCGGTCTATATAAACCCCCTCCTCTCCAACTTTCCTCTTCCTCATATATTTTCCCTCCATATATCTACATACTCTGTCCTTCCACCCTCTACTTTTTAGATCACAACCATGATCATCATGAGGCAGATATCAGTGGCATCAGCACTAGACCCTCCACTCTTACTGTTCGCCTTTGACCCTGACCGGCCATGGTGCCAGGTCCTTCACCGTATAACTCTCACTCACCAAGGTCACGCTCGATCATGAGAAAGCCGCAGTCTCTCTCACTGCACGATCTCGCCGGCCTCACACTCTACCTTGTTTTATCCTTCTCGCTATACTCTGAGGGGTTGGTTACTGTAAGGGTGTTGTGACCTGAGCAGTTTCCCCTGCCGATGCTCTTCTCACTTCACATCACGTGGCCCTACGATCGCTATTCACGAGTACGTCTACCCCAACTTCCCAAGCTGCTCTGCTGCTTGTTTTTCAGAGATATCACTGACATGATGAATGTGAATAGGATAGCCATGGCCTGAAATGTGGTTGGAAAGTAAGTTCTTTCAGGTATCTTTCTCTATACAAAAGGCCAAGACTTATTGTTGTTGTAGGATTTATACTTGCCTATACTGCGTCTACACAGACACTAAGCGCTACCATGCCTCAACTGTTCCCCAACATTGAGACAGTGCTTTTTGCATACGCATCAAGTTGTTTGACATCGGTGGCGAAAACCCACCGCGGATATCAGAGCACTCAAGAACCAGACTAAAGCGCTCACCCCGACTGTGACGTCTTGCCAAACTCCACCTGGACGCCTTGACACCTTGACACAGACGCCAATCTCGACAACGAGCATCTTCATCAATATACGGAAAGTCCTGTTCGTGGAAGACGTCAAAAAGATGACGCAAAACTGGGTGGCCGAACACCGGATCCTCACAGTGCCAGGTGCCATTCCACGAGCTGCTAAGCTGGCTCGGTTTCTCTCAGAGGAGGAGATCCATGATATCGCATAATATGAGGGTGGTTTGGCCGGTACCTCCAACCTACCAAACCCATCAATTCTATGTTCATACACTGAATCTTCGGTGTTCGCGAACTAACAGCCTGCACTCGCTGGCTACCAAGCCTTGCTGCATGCGCCGTCGCCCAATGGCCTTAGCCGAGAGGCCTGGGATCGGACCCCCCGACCTATGCCGTTACTGCAGACGAGTACGTCCTTCTTCATTTCGTCATGCTACCTCCCTGGCTTGCGGCTGCGAGCGAGACGAATACTCGGTTGATTCGTGGATCCCCTCCCCCTGGCTCGCAGGGGATCTCTGGATGTGAGATGAGGTGGTCATGCAACCCGTTGTGCGCGATGTCTTGTTCTCTGGGCTTCAGGATTACCAACAGCTTCGCAACCGTACTCAGCTCCGACAGGGCATCCTGAGTCGTGTGTGTTTACCACGAAGAACACCCATCTTAACATGAATGATATTCCAGACTTCGAAACGTTTATTTCATTCACGATCCACACTGCGAAAGCATCTCGACGAAGCTCATGGCAAGACTACCTCAACTTCACTTTTCGCTTATTTCACTTCAGCCACGACTATGATGGGGCCTATCTATTACCTCTGTCTGTCCAATCAAATAAATTGGAGAGACTGTTCAGGATTCGTCGCAAATGTTGAGGCGCTCCACTAGTACCTCGAGACTCACCCGACCACTTTCCTATTCAGGAACGGTCGGAACACCCCATGCCCACTGTGTGGCCAGCTGAACACCTGGATTGATGGAAGCGACCGCTGAGAAGCACATTGGATAACACTCTCCACCGATACAAACGGTAAACAGCCAGGCATGGAACCAAACGACAATATCACACGCCCCATCGGCTTCGAAGATACCTCTCTATACTGCCACCTCCCCGCAGTCTAGCGTTTACAATAAAAATACGGGCGTTGTGCCTAATTGATCACTGACTTGGACAATGGCGACGCACGGGACAGCATCAGACTTCCGGCCTATCCTTCGCGACATAATTCTCCGGTCTCCAAGACCACACCCACCTGCAATATTGTGCGCAACCAAGATGCAGCTTGGCCACTACTTTACGGCCTCTTCAAGTTTGGGTCCCTCGACTACGCATCAACGGTCGGACATGATCACAACAGAGGACGCGACCCCCTTTTCTTCTCTGTTTCTCCTGATCACAATTTGCTTGGTTGTACCTCATGCAAAGGTCGAATGGCAAGTTCGGGAGTCCTGCCTGCAGTTTCATGATCAAAAAGGACAAACTCCTGACCTTGTTCACAGACGAAATAGTGGTGACTACCAGCAAGGAAGAAGACATTCATGCCCTTGTCGAGGCCAAGCTAGGCCTATCGTAAACCATCCAGCGAGGCTACCCTGCGGCAGATCGGTTGGGAAATGCTCTGCTCAGTAACCAGGCTCTATCTATATCAGGAGCTGCTTTGGCCAAACGGAAATGCCCCATCACGCAAAGGCAGTTCTGCAGTCGGGCGGAAGCTGGAAGGGACGCGGTGATCTGGCGTCTGATGGTAAGTACTATATTCTATTGAGGTTGACTTGTTCTGTAACTAACTGGTTCCTAAGCGTTCCGTGCCGGTGCTCATGGCGGATTCCAACCCCCCACCACGCCGAGACAGTTCTACAGTCGGGTGGAAGCTGGAAGGGACGCGGTGATCTGGCGTCTGATGGTAAGTACTATATTCTATTGAGGTTTACTTGTTCTGTAACTAACTGGTTCCTAAGCGTTCCGTGCCGGTGCTCATGGCGGATTCCAACCATCTAACCACAGCCTAGAAGGAGCCAAGCGTATAGCCTCCTGCGTCCGTTCGGCTGATTGATTGCGGAGTCTGGGAGGTAATGCACTGGTTGACCCAGGAGCAGCGCGGGGAACGATTTGCGTGGGATTTTGACAGTGGTTGTCAGATACGAGAACCGCAGCTGCCTTGCCTTTTAAACCTTCTGAGGAAGACCATGGTCCATCAGAAATTGGGGCTTGAGAACATTCGGATTTCCAGCGTTGATGCTGCCCAGGGAGCAGAAAGTCCGTACGTCATCTTGCCGACCGCTCGGCCAGAGAAACCGTGAGGCATGGCTTTTACCAACGCCCCTGCTCTGATTGCCAGTGCGATACAAAAGATTGCAATAGGTGGTCTTTGAGTGTTGTTGACTTGGAGTTTGTTGGTCCATGTCCTGCCCTCTGGAAGCAATGTTTACAACCGAACTTGGAAGTTCTTAGAAGCATTAAATTCAAGTAGGATCCGCATCCTACCAGAGTCAGACAGCTATAAACGAAGCGCGTATGGCTACTTTAATATGCTGCAAACCTGTGATTGCCGATCACGAGCATACCTACGGTACTGGGGAATCCGTTCTCTCGAGAGATTTGCGTCTGTTCACAGTTCAACCAAATCTGCTTCTGCTCGTCAGCATCAAGAGCAAGTTCTCAAATCGCGAACGACCCGAATAAACTTCGACACTTTGCGGGGTCTTCAGTTCCGGATGGCCCAGAGCGTTGGCGATGCTTTCGTGGATTTGGGACTTCGACTGGCCAGTTCTCCCCGCTCCCTGAGTGCTTTATTCAAAACAGCATTGGACCCTCCTTTGCACCGAACAGCATCGGGTTTATGAACAATAGAAATGCCTGCAACTGTCTTCGGGTTACCTTCGGCACTGGTGCGAAACATATGGATCAGCATCTCGATCTCACAGATGACCTTTTCGCGAGGATCTTACCTATACTAGCTTGCGCTTATAAGCCATCTCTCTTGTCATCTTCTCAAGTGCTTTATCTTCTTTCCTTCTCTATCTTCTCGCATCAAACCCTGTGAGTAAGTCTTCTACAGACAGGAACAGGAGATGATCAAGAATCTAACGGAGCAATCGGAAGCTTCGCGCGTCCAAAATTTCGGCTCGAAACTTGCACAGGCGTCGAACACACAGAATGAGAGGGCCATAGATGTTTTCGCATTCAACGACGGCGTAAAGCCCATGTCGTCCCACCTCGGCGCAGGCGTTGAGGAGCGGTTCAAAGATGAAGTCCAGAATTTGCTGTGGGAGTTGACCTATATCTCTCTCTGTTGAGATCACATATCAGTGACACTCCCTCGCGAGAGCCGTTTAGATAGTCTTTCTAGATAGCTTCATTACTTCCCTCTTCAGACACACACAAATCATGACATTCATTTCTCCTCCCTGATCGCCAGTATTTCAGCTCTCAAGAGTCTTTTTACTCACTAAACGCTTTCTACTCTCGAAAAGCCGGTGTGGGCGACCTTAACCATATACCGGCCATTGACATCAATGGGCACCCTGAATGGAAGGGAGTTTCGGTTCCGGTCAGTTGAATAAGATCCTGCAGTACCAGGTGATTAGGGTTGGGTAGGTATGCAACATAGCCGGTTCCACATGCGTTCATTTCCGTCTGGCCGCTTTACATAATGGAATTCAAAGACGCAATTTACCAAGATAGTCATCTAGTATTCCTTTATAGCAGTCTATTTTTCCTTTCAGTCCTATAGATCTAATATCTTTCTTGAGAAAGCGGTGTCCAAGGCGGTGACCCATAGCGTCTGCAGTAAATCTGTAAGAAAAAAAGTTTCGGGCGTCAACCTTCCGCCAACCAACAATTGATTCCGCCAGACATACACAATGAGGGCCAAGCGTTCGAAGAAGTATCGTAAGCTGATGCATCAGTATGAGCTTACTTTCGGTTTCCGTGAGCCATACCAGGTGTTGGGTATGTCCGCGTCCTGCTCACGATGCTGCATCCAGTGTACTGACCTGCCTTCCAGTGGATGCGAATTTCCTCCGAGCTGTCGACTCGTTCAAGATGGATCTAATCCCGGCTCTTGAAAGAACCCTCCAGGGCAAAGTGAAGCCACGTTAGTCTCCGCTTCGCCAACATACAATTACTGCAGGACACTGACCCATCCGCTCACAGTACTCACTAAATGTTCCCTCGCTGCGGTCATGGCCTCGCAGCCAATCAATCCGAAAACCAGCCAGCCCTATCGTCCACACCATCTCCCTCCGCCGACAACATTACCACTCCGCCATTGCTCTCATAACGAGGATTCCTCGCCCATCCCTGAAGCAGATTGTCTTCTTTCACTACTATCCCCGAGTCCCGATGCCAAGAAGAACAAGGAACATTACATTCTCGCGACGGCAGATGCGCCCACTCAAAAGAAGAGCGCCCAAAACGACTTCCAGCAGCGAAAACGGAAACGCGACGATGAGCGTGAAGAACAGCAGGCCATGCGCCGTGCCCGGGCGTTGCGCATTGGTGCGCGCTCGATCCCCGGCGTGCCCATTGTGTACGTCAAGCGGTCGGTTATGGTTCTCGAGCCTATGAGCACGCCGTCTGATATGGTGAGAGAGGGTGTCGAGAAGAGCAAGTTCCGTGCTGGATTGAATGAGAAATCTGCGCCGGTGAAGCGAAGGCAGGAAGGCGAGAGCAGTACGGGCACAGATGACAAGAAGAAGCGTGGGTCCAAGAAGGTGAAGGCTCCTAATCCGCTGAGTATGAAGAAGCCGAAAAAGAGGAACGAAGAGAAGGGCCCATCATCCGCGCCAAAGCAGGCCGCTGATGCTCCACGGGAACAAGCTGATGTCTCGGAGCAACCGGATGGGGATAACTCGGCTGCGTCTAAGCCCAAACGAAGACGCCGTCACAATAAGAGCGGTCCTCGCGAAGGAAACGAGGAAACCGAGCAACCGAATTCTGGCACTATGGAGGTGGACGCATAATTTACTTGTGTGCTGTCTTTGCATTGAATCGTCTTCATCTTTTCAAGGCGCGGCGTTGGGATTTGGTATTAGTTCATACAAAAAGTTAAACGAACCGTTACAAGTGTACATTCAATCTCATTCATTTGACAGAAGCCGAGGAATTGGGAAATTTGTAGGAGCAGAGTGGTATATTTGTACACAGAATATAAGATATACAAGACAGCGGGTGTTGTACATTTGCCGAAAAGGCATGCGACGATAGCATGAAGAAAGCCGAGGGAAGACCATACGCACAGGTATATGTCACACTGTCGAGACAGCATTTCACCCGGCAGACAAGTACAATGCCACCAATGCGGCGACCCTCAACTCATAAGCGCATCTCTCCGTCCCCCAGAAAAGAGCCTGATCACTCCGAACACCAATCCCAATCACAAAGAACGCAATCCTCATTTATTGCTTCGAAGCGGCAGAACCTTCGGCACCAGCCTGATTAGACCCGCCCTGTTCAACAGTCCTCTCGCGCGCCCAGACGTCTTCAATGCGGCGCCGGTTGCTCTTGGCCTCGTCTCGATTCCGCTTTGCCCGATTGTACCGCTCTGCCGAAAGACACTTGTTCACCTCCCGCTTGATGTCATTGCAATTGCCCATTGCTTTGTGGAGGAATCCGCGGGCGTGGCATTCGTCCAGCGCGGTCATGACTTCTTCGCAGTCTGGTGGGGGGTAGTTGTCAGCACATCATACCAACGCAATAGATAGGAAGCGGGAGCCATACTGGCATTGTAAGGAGTATGCAAATGGGAATGCATGATGAGTATCCGTTCCAGAGAGTCTCGCAGTGCAATGAAGAAGGAAGAGGCAGATAGTAGTAGGATGAATATGGGCGGTAAGTGGATCGCCCGGCAGAATCGGGCGGAAACAGTCCAGCCAAAAAAAAGTTGAAGATTTGGATGATCTTCCTCTCTCACTCCCAATCATGTCGTCCATGATCACCACAACGGCTTGGGTGCGGCGCGGTGTCGCTGCCCAATTCCCCACAAAATATGAGATTGACGAGGAGGAAATGGGCCGGATATCCAAGCTTGCGCGTATGCAGCTGGAAGATGCGCAAGAGGATCTGAACGCTGCCCAAGAGGGCCAAGCGGAAGAAGACACTGCCATGGATGAGGACGAGGATCACAAGAATGGTGGTGTGTCAGTCGCAGGCCAGGATGCCGCGGAGAATGATAGTGGGAAATCGGCCACGAAAGAGTGAGTTGGACAGAACCCGAGGAGAAATAACTGCATACTGACGGCATAAAGTGACGACGATGTTCTCAAAGAATTCGACCTGGAGCATTATGACAGTGACGAAAAAGACGAGGAGGGAGAGAAAGTTACTATGTTCGGCAATGTCAAGTCTCTGGCGTATCACCAGCCCAACGAGGCGGACCCGTACCTGGTCATTCCTGAGGAAGAAGACGACGAGGAGCGCGAGGAATTGCAAATCTTGCCTTCGGACAACATGATTCTGGCTGGAAAGCTCGAAGATGAGGTGGCTCACCTTGAGGTCTACGTTTACGAGGACCAGGCGGACAACATGTACGTTCACCACGACATCATGCTGCCTGCCATTCCACTTTGCCTGGAGTGGCTTGATATTCCCGTGGGCAAGAACACAGAGGGGCGGGAACAAGGAAACTTTGTTGCCGTGGGCACAATGGAGCCCGACATTGAGATTTGGGATTTGGATGTGGTCGACAGTATGTATCCCAACGCTATCCTGGGGCAGGGCGGCCAGCCCGAGACCAAGAAGAAGTCAAAGAAGAAGAAGCCCAAAGCGAACGACGAATATCACATCGATTCCGTGCTGGGGCTCGCAGCCAACCGGCTTCACCGCAACCTTTTGGCATCGGCATCGGCAGACCGAACCGTCAAGCTTTGGGACCTTAACACGACCAGCTGCGCCAAGTCTTACTCGCATCACACCGACAAAGTGTGCTCGCTAGACTGGCACCCGAAGGAGTCGACGGCTTTGCTCACTGGTAGCTACGACCGGACCGTTGTGGCGGCCGACATGCGTGCCCCCGATGCCCAGGCCCGCTGGGGTGTCGACGCCGACGTTGAGACTGTGCGCTGGGATCCGCACGACCCCAATTACTTCTACGTCACTACCGACGGTGGCATGGTGTACCGCTATGACGTGCGCAACATCCCCGCTACCCCGGCCGAGTCCAAGCCGGTGTGGTCGCTGCAGGCCCACGACTCCTCCGTCTCCTCCTTCGACATCAATAGCTCTATCCCCGGCTTCCTGGTGACCGGATCGACAGATAAACAGGTGAAGTTGTGGAATGTTGAAGACAACAAGCCGAGCCTGGTTGTTTCACGCAAGTTCGACGTCGGCAAGGTTTTCTCCACTAGCTTTGCTCCTGATCCGGAGGTGAGCTTCCGCCTGGCTATCGCCGGCAGCAAGGGTGTTGTGCAGATTTGGGACGCATCGACTAACGGCGCCGTGCGCCGCGCATTCGTCTCGCGGATGCCGGATCTGGCGGGCGAGGTGCCGGAGCGGATGATTGGGATGCCTGCGGATAATGACGATTCGGATGATGACGGTGATGCTGAGGACGGCGCGGGCCCTGACGTTCCTGGAGCCGATGGGTGGGAGTCGATGGATGAGGATTAAATGTCAGATACCCGAAGAGTCAATTCTTACACAAAAATATAGACCGCGCGTTGATATTATCAATATGCAAGTATAAATTACTCTATTCGCTTGTCTAATCCTTCTAGATCGCCATCTAGGCTCTATATCTATGAGCGATGCATGTAAAAAATCAAAGATCACGAAGTCTCCCGCTCATGCACCAGAGTCGTCAAATCCAGCAGACGATTCGAGTATCCCCATTCATTGTCATACCAGGCCATAATTTTGAAGAACTGCAGACCAGTCAATATCCACATCCCCTTGAAAAGGCAACATAATAAACATACCTGAGGGTTAAGCTCGGCACAAGCAGGCGCATCGATGATAGCACTATACGAGCTGCCATTGTAATCACTGCTGACGAGCTCCTCGTCGGTGACTTTCAGCACGCCGGCCATGTCCAGCTTCGCGGCTCGACGGAAGGCAGCCAGGATCTCAGATAGAGATGTGGGTTGAGCGGTGCAGACCGTCAAATCGATCATGGAGACATTGGGTCTAGTTCTATTTGTTAAAAGGGCAAAAATAGATGCATCAAAGCACGTACGTTGGCACCCGGATCGACACGCCAGTCACTTTCCCCTTCAACTCAGGCAACACGGCCGCGACGGCTTTGGCTGCACCTGTGCTTGTGGGAATGATGTTATTGAAGACTCCGCGGCCTATTCAATATTAGTACCTATCAATATGAAGATGCAGTTTGTGGTTGTCTCTTACCCAGTCGCTTGTTCTTCTTGCTATACCCATCTAGCACCTGCTGCGATCGCGTGGCAGCATGGACCGTCGTCAAAAAGCCCTGAGAGATCCCGAATGCTCCATGAAGAACTTTTAGGACGGGCGTAACGCAGTTCGTCGTGCAGCTAGCATTCGACACAACGCGGCAGTCCTCGGTAGGAGTATACGAATCCGAGTTCACGCCATAAACAAAAGAAGGCGAATCCGAGCTCGGCGCAGAGATGAGAACGCGCTTCGCCTGGCCATGTGTGATATGGTCCATTGCCAAATCCCGCTTGGTGAACTTGCCCGTGCATTCGAGGACATAGTCAACTCCCAGGGAGGCCCAGTTAAGCTTCTTCAGATCGCGCTCTGAGGTCAGGGCTATTTGATTGCCGTTGATGCTGATCAGGTGGTCAGATAGAGCGTGAATAGGAGTTCTTTCGTCAAGATCGCCCATGGATGAGTCGTAGCGGATCAGGTAGATTAGGTCTTCGACCGTGTTGCAGGTGTGGTTGATCGCGACTACTTGGATATCGGACCGGACTAGTGCTGCGCGGAGGACATTGCGGCCTAGATGGACGGAGGTGTTATTGTACATTCTATCCAGTTTCATTAACCAGCTTACCTATCCGACCGAAGCCATTGATGCCGACTTTACAGACTGTCGACTGTGTGTGGTTGATGGGAGCGTCGTGAATGGAGGGTGCCATGGTAGGTAGGGTTGGGCCAAACAAGGAAGGTCTGAAATTGCCTGGATTGTCTAAACAAGGTAAATACAATTGTTCTACATTTTTTCTAAGATATTCTCCCAGGCCAGAGGACGCCATTATCTATAAGTAAATCTAGCCCTCATCACTGCCGAGTCCTTCAACCCAACGACGATCGGACAAGTATCACGGATATTGCATCGGCTTTCAAAACCTCCGATCAGAGCCAGACAATCCGATCGGAAATACCTCAGTTGCGAGATTACCAGTATAGCTGTCGAGTCCAAATTGCCTTGGTCCTTGCCGTCATCGGATAACCGAGACGACGGAGCAGCCGCAGCCAATAACGATGCCGGTTTTCGCCGAAACTCCCGCCCCCACGACCCGGCTCAGCGGAGCGGCAGTGGAAGTGACGCAGGGGCCTCCGGCCTGCTGGGACGGATTTGTTTAGGATTGGATCCAATTGGGGGAGAAACTGGCGGAAGTCGGAGGTTTCGAATGTTGAGGCTTCAAATAGGTTAGTTAGCCTTGGGACATGGTAGTTCGATGCGCCGGACCTGGATAACGGGAAACAGTTGATACATACTAGAAGAACCAGTAGAAAACAAGAATTGAGGCACAGGTTGACAAGAGGGCACTAATTAAGAACGAATCGATATTGTTCGCTATTATCATTGACAAGAACAGGCTTTCAATGAAGATCTTGGTAGAGATGATCTCATACTCAACTTCGGACAAGACCCGATATTCTGGATGGTGTCTATTTCTGTTAGATAATGGGTTTCAATAGGTGGTATTTCCATCGGCAATTCCTATCAGAAAGAAGTCCAGGCCAATTTCACGAATAAAGGCCATCGTGTATTTGGCCGACATCTCAGAGCAGCGGAAGAACTCTACTCCATACGCTTCCTCCG